ATGTAGTGCAATACTTTTGACTGGCTCTGGTGAAAAGTAGTGCACTATGTAGGGAAAAGAGTGTGCAAAGCTGTCATCAAGGCAAAGGGTGGCCACTTTAAAGAATCTCAAATGTAACATGTATTTTGATTTGTTTAACACGTTTTTGGTTACTACATGATTCCATATGTGTTATTTCATAGTTTTGATGTCTTCACTATTATTCTACAATGTAGAAAATAGTAAAAAATAAAGAAAAACCCTGGAATGAGTAGGTGTGTGTCCAAACTTTTGTATGTGTAGCAGTATTACAAGTTATCACATGCAAACTCCAAGGAATGCAGCCTTCTCTGCTCACCTCCCTTAACCCCCAAGTTTAAACAGCTGTTTTTCCCATTCAACTATAGCTGGCTTTCGCTATAGCTTTGGGCAGCTTGCCTTGAATAGGAAGAAACTTTGCCTAGGCTCTGGCTTTCTCATGAACAGTCTCTGCTGTGATCTATGGGGCTGTGCAGTCTAGTCTTGGCTGTTCTCACTGGTCAGTTCTCCCCTTTGTGGAACACAACTTTGACGTATTCCCACTGTGTGCATACTGCACGATGCATGGTCATTTCCATAAGAAAAGAGGCATTGAGAATGAGTTGGGGCCACAATCCTTTCTTGAGTCTGAGAAGCAGAACAAGCGGAATAGTCATCCTTCATCAATCAATTGTCAATTAGTCTGGAATGGAAATATGCTCCTTGTTGGTGGACTTCGTGTGACTTCAAGATTTTGAGGAAGGTTATGTGATAGAATCAAGGGCCCCTGTAAAAGTATGTATTCTAGCATTAACTTCTAAATTGCAAATTAATCACATACTATGTTGATACATTATTTAAACTATTTAGCCTTTTATTCACAGAACTTAATTGGTTATTTTACATAGCCATTAATATAAACTTATTTGTGATTTACATAGCCTACAGAAATAACCTATATGGTAGTCATTACCCCTCATTTACCACACATATGCAACTGAAGAGTGCCCAAGGTAGGCTGGTAATAAAACATGAGAAAATGGATCAAACTAGCCAGCACTATTTTATCATCCTCTATATCTGCCTGTCCATTTATACTAGTGAGCAAATCAGGCTGCCATTGTCAAGGGTACAACGGGGCGGGATCATGCTGTGTTGTTAGTGGGAGATCACTTGGATTGGTTGCTTGGGTATGGGGGCCACTTCCTACATTATTTCTCAGCGGAGAGAGCGAGCGGTCTTAGTTTGAACAAAATGGCTGCAAGAACGCTGTCAACGAGAGCTCACTGAATGTATTATGACTGTCCACTCCTACATTTGGATTTTTCGAGAATGTATTTTCTTGGATTCGTTTTTCAATTTGCATTCGTGGTAGCAAGATCGTCGGTCAGATGTTGTTGCTAACCTGCTAGCTCATCAGCTAGCGGCCTAAACACAAATTATTTCATTTTGCACTTTAACACAAGTTGGCTAGCTAGCTAGTAATTATCTTCGACAATTTACTGAAAACATTTGCAAATTTCTAATTGCAACAGTCGATGACTAATGCCAACTAGCTAACGTTAACAACTCAGCTACTTTTTGAGTCGAATTGTTTCTCATGCTTTTTCGTTTTTTGCTGCTTTTTTTTCCGATATTTTTTTTTATGTCGTGATACTTCGACGTTTAGCATTGTTTTTTGATGTTGCGAAAATTGTAATTTTAGTGCATCGTTGCCCTAAAATACAAAGTTCTTGCTGTCTGTTTTTCAAATATCGATCTCGGTATTTTTGTTATGAAGCTGCTTAAACAGTTATTCGGTCAGTAAGCCGCTGTCGCACGAGAGCTGAACTTGGCTAATGCTAGCTAGCCAGCCAGATAACTGGGAAGACTGAAATCCTGATTTGTTATTTACGGGTACTTTTCGGAATAGGCGCAGGATAATGTTTTTCTGCATCATTCTCTGCCGTGCACCAACTCTGTATTGAAAGCTGCCAAAGCTCAACGTGTGATTACGCAAGGTAAGGAATACTTTATTGATATCCAACCATAGCTTGTTTGACAAGCGGCGTCACACCAGCTCTAGCCACATACATTGTGTTCTATTTATTATGTGGCTCGAGCAAAGTCCAGTATTTTGCTACTGTTCCAGTTTTCATAGTTACATTGCTTTTATTTACTAACTTATATTAGCTGATTTATAGCAATACATTCTGGGAAAGGGTAACGTCAGCTATATTAGCTGGCAAGTTACATTCCTACCACCATAATAATAATAATAATAATAATATGCCATTTAGCAGACGCTTTTATCCAAAGCGACTTACAGTCATGCGTGCATACATTTTTTTGTGTATGGGTGGTCCCGGGGATCGAACCCACTACCTTGGCGTTTCAAGCGCCGTGCTCTACCAGCTGAGCTACAGAGGACCATGACATTACACTGAGCCTATGCAGTGTTTATTTTTGCTTTACAGTCAACGAGCCAATGTCAATGATAGTGGCTAGGCTGATGGCTATCTAAGATGAGACTTGATACCAACAAGCTGAAGCTTTAAACATAACTACAAGGGCAGCATGCATTGCTGATCAGCATAGTTTCACTTTTATAAAGAATTTATAGCGAGACCTTAATTGAACTCATTTGTAGCTGTTATTGACAGGGCTGCCTTTTCTAAAATACAAACCATGATTTATCCATGGGTTTGGATGAAAATGCATGAGAGTTCTGTGTTCAGAATCTCAAACCAGGACCACCAGAGGCAGGTTATATCATAATCTAATTAATGGTCGGCTTAGCTCGGGTTGAAATGGCACTGGAATGGACTGGCTCTCCTGATTCTAGTGAATGCATGTGTGTTGTAGGAACAGAGCTGCTTTTCTTGAAGTGGCAAACCTTTCCATGTGAAATAAGTCAGTTGATTGTGTCATATTCAGCTTGAAATGTAGTCTAAAGGCAGACCGTAATATTTGAGACCTTTTGTTGTTATTCCTCTATGTTGATTCCATTCCATCAAATTGCTACAATAATGTGGACTGCAGTGTTTGTTTATTTGTTAAACATCACTACCCCCTTTTCATACAGTAGAGGAAGGTATGAGTTGTGATTGAACTGTCACCTTCCTATCCCTATGCATACTCCCATCCCAAGGTTCTGGAGTACATCCTATAGCCCCCACCCCCCCCATCTTATCTCAATCGTCACACACCAGTGGGGCGATAATGAAATGCATAGTGAGCGGGGAGAGAGACCGGGGTAGTGGGGGACATGGCGGGTTTATAGAATACTTAAAGTGCTTACCAGGAGGAGTGTGACCATTTAATGTAAAGCTCAAGGCTCTGGCTGCCAGTTGGTTAATGCGCTGCAGTTCTTAATCAGTTCGTGAAGGTGCCTCCCGTCTCCCTCCACCCTGCGACGCCCCCAGCCCAGCTGACAGTCCCCGAACCCTCCACCCCAGCACTTCCTCAAAATAGTCAGAATTAATCTAGGATAACTCAACGAATCTGTCATTAAATTTATGTGTTTGCCAAGGAGATCTTAGTAACGCAATTCGACATCTAAGATGTTTGGTGCAGTATTTCTCAAGCAAACATTTTTTAAACATGAAAACGAGTCGGCTATCGTTCAATGACAACAAACACTTAATTGAATAATCCCTACTGTTGACCAATGACCAGCGAAGGGGCGTAGACTTCGGCTCTGCGAACAGCCTGGTAAAACCCTTGCCGAAGACCAAAATGGAAAAAAATCACAAAATCGTCATAATATATGCGCAAACTGTTCCGAACTGTTTTGGATGGGAAGCATGCGGACCCCTTTACCCCTTCCAGACAACAGCAGGTGATTGGGGACTGAGGAAGGAAGGAGGCAGTCTAGGGACTGACTGGGCATGTTGTCTTGACATAATGAGGATGTTTACTGCTGATGTTGGCTACTTGTTCCATTCCTGTAACCTACAGGTGTTATTTCGCCATAAGTTAGAAAATGTTTTTGTTTCAGGAGTAAAAGCGTTCTTTATTAACATATTTGACTTGACAAAGTGTTATAAAACAATGTAGAGCTGTGCTTAGGGAATGAAATATGCATGGAACTGGAGAGGGAGCTGTTTCATTACTGGACTGATTACTACACGTTTGTTTTGATTTAGAGTCTTGTAACAGAGCCGAGGGTTGGCTGCCTAGCAACACTACACCAAAACCCTTCCTTATCTCCTGTTCAGATGGATCATTTGTTTGAAATTAGAGTGAAGGCTGCCTGAGGCGAATGTAAGAACACAAACCGCTTTTAATTCTCTCCTTCGATGTCCTCAACAGCCTTGCAGACAAAAACATCATGAGCAGAGTAGGCAAAACCACGGGGTGCCATTGCCTCAGTCTATCCATCCACATCCCACACTGATCTCGCCCAGGCTGCCGGTTGCACCGCTGTAGTACTAAGCCTGGCGATTTTATGAGCCTTAAAAAAAAAAAAAAAACAGGCCTGATGGATAACATGCTCTCTCTGTGTACCAGGAGGTCGTCATGGCTGAGGCTGGTCAGCGGCTGGCGGATAGAGGGGCGTCAACAGTGAAATCAACTTAATTCAATGAGGGTTTCTGCCGAACCATTTATCCTATAGCGGTAGGGTGTTCTTTATAAGTCCCAGGGTAAAGCTTGGGCCAAACAGCTGTTGTCTGACTGACTGGTGTAATGTAATCACACTGGGAATGAATTGAAGATCTTTCAATAGGGTGGACTGTGCCTGCTAGGTTAGTTCCTTTCCTGCCAACACTTGTCAGTTACTACTCAGGCAGTCTTCCCTGAAAGTAAACAGAATCAATATGTCATTACTTCAAGGGGAGTCGGCTTCTCGTGTGTGTGTGTGTGTGAGGCCAGGAGAGGTTGAAAGTGGGAAATGGAAACATCCCACCCCCCTTCCAAGGGCCCCAGTGCCATAACCGTTGCTTACGTGGGGTGGGTGGGGTCGACCGGCCAGGACCCCTAATATAGGAGGCTGTAACTAACGATGGTGCAGCCTGCCTGCCATGTCTAGTCCATGTGAGAGGGGAGGGGTGGACCTGGCAGGGGGTGGGTCGGGAGGGGGAGCCCAGCCCAGGCAGGCACTGTGTCTTGGCAGCGATCCAGGGGAATGTCCTGTCGATGTCGAGGCAGGGGCCGGTGGGGGCCTCCCTCTCCCTTTCCCCTTATGTTGGCTAATTGGAGAGACGTGAGGAGGCATCATCACATGTAGAGGACAGAGAGAAGCTGGACTAACCGCACTGTTTCTGTCAGACTATTAGACAGTAGGCAGTGCTTGTAATGTCATTACAACTTACTTACTTTAAAAAATCTCTTTGGATAGCCAATGTTTGTTTGCCGTTATTATGTCGATAACTAAGTTATATTAGGCTACATGCTGTGGGATAAGTCAAGTGTGTGCTAAGGCTTTTCCAGGTCAGGTTGAGGCTTTGTTTATTTTGAGCATACCTGGCAAATCCCCACCTGCATCTTCATTGATGCTTGTCTGAATCAGCCCAGTGACATGAATGGCATTCATACTTGGCATAGTTTGATTGCGTAGTGTTGACAGTGCTTTAGCGCACATTGCAATTGAGAACTTGTTTGTTCACTTCACTTTTGAATGGCAAAATATTTCAACATTGACTTGCATTTCAGGTTGGAGTCCATGTTTCCATTTAGCCTACATGCACGTTAGCTGTTTTACTATACTTCATAGATTTTCCATGAGTTGAACACTAAATTACAATCAGCTTTTGCAATAGGCTACTTATGGGGTAACTTCAGTACCTTGATAAGATGGCCTACTTGTCCTATTAGACATTAGCTCAATTTCCCATCCATCTTGTCAGCCATGAAGGATTCAGTAAGTTATCACACTCCCCCCTACATCAGCAGGGACCCAGCCAGTCTCTCTCCTCACAGCATCTTTCAAACACATCAGATCTGAGCATGCTTTGTTCCCCCCCAGCTAAACAAAGTGCTTAGATTTCCTCTTTCTCAGACTTTGTTGTGCTTTCTGCTTTTTTCTTTTGACAGATTCTGTCTCTCTGCTGTGGTTGGCAACAGTGAAAGTCAGGCAGTCAATGTCAGAGCAACCTTGAGGGAATGCAGTCAACTGGCTCCATTCAGGAGACCAACCCTATACTGTTTGTTTGCTTTTTCTTCTGTCGATTTCATTGAGTCCTCGTGGCTTGGACAGTTTTATTAGACTATAGTAGTAGTGAAACTGGAAGAAGGCATTCCAATGCCTAAATAGTAGATACTAGAGTCTTTGCAGCTTTAGCGCGACTCACATTCATCTTAGTCCTGATTTTTTTTTTTTGAAGGGCTAGATCAGCTTTAATATTGCAGATTGATTGTAACTTCCATCAATGTAATTGTCTGCATCACTTCCAATCCCCCATATGTTTTTTTTACGTATGCATGCAATGTTTTTATTGCATGCATACATATAAATACATATCCTTTTAAAAATATATATTTCCCTTTATTACTTTCCAACCCCACCACCCCTTCCCTAATTGGAGTAAACTAGTGAACAACAAGGCTTAAGCCTCTACTTCCAGCTTATACATACTATATACATTTTATGGACACAGTCAATTTTATAATAATTCTATTTTGTTTGTTTTTACTCCTGAACTTCCTCTACCCTCAATCATTTTCATGATGTCCATCCGGTTTGCTACTATATGCCATATCTTTCTAACTGTGCTCTTTCACAAAAGCTCTCAACCTATAACCTATATACTTATTATGGACACAGTATGCTTTACGTTAGTTATCTTGTTGTTATTAGTCCCATCCTTCAACTCCATTCAACACCACCCATCTATCTCTTAACACCATCCATATTGGATTTCTATTTGCCATATATTTTTCAACTGTCCTGTGATGTTTTACAAAAGTTCTGAACCCTTCTATTCTCATTGTTTCTACAGATTGTAATTTGAAAATAAACATTTTTGCTAAAAGTATTATTATATTATTGATCGATTGACTATGGTTTTTCAGATCACCCAGTAGTGCTATCTGCAGGATTAGCTCCAGGTAAATATTGCAATCCTTTAGCCATTTCTGGACCTGTGTCCAAAAACAAGCTACAAATGGACAGTACCAAAAGACATGATCTAATGATTCTGTCTCTTCGCAGCAAAATCTGCAGAGCTGGGAAGATTTTATCCCCCATATAAATAACATTCTGTTGGTAGCAATAATTTTGTATAATAATTTAAATTGAACAATTCTAATTTATGAATCCGGCATCATTTTGCGTATCAGTTCATAAACACTATGCCATGGGATCGGTACGTCAAAAATCTCTTAAACTATTTTGCAATCTATATGGGACGGCTGTCAATCCTTTGGTCCTTAAATGAAACTGGTATACTTTTTTATTTATCACAATTTTCTTTAACCAATTATGTTCTTTAATGCAGGGCCGACAGACAAGTTCCTTACTTTTTCCCCCTTGCACTTTCCTCTTCCATTTTTGCGGTAAAGCTGCAATTATTTGGTTGTAATTTTGGGTAGAGCAGACATTTCCATATGTTTTTGTCCTGAGAAACTTCTTGATCTGGATAGTTAACTTGAAGAACTATTAAAAACAACCTCATAGCATTAACAAAAGCTGAGTTTGTAAAGGTTGTGAACCAGCTAATGTTCCACTCTGTCTTGAGTTGAAGTAGAGTGACTGTCTCACAAATAGACCCACTGTCTCACAAATAGACCCACTTTTCTCTCACCTCTCCAGTGGCCTATGTGGCTTGTCAACCCAGCTATAGTACAAGTTATCAGAGTACCGTGCTCAACTAAGAGCTTTTCTCAATTACCGTTATGGTCATGTAACTCTCCTTAGCCTTAGAAAAAAGTACTAGGGTACTTTCCCTTATTGAGTGAGTCACAGCCCACAATCCACATTTCTCTGGCAGCTTAGGCTGCGTTCAGACAGCCTAATTCTGATCTTTTTTTCTCTCCTTTTGACCAATCAGATCAGCTCTGAAAAAGAGCTGATGTGAAAAGACCAATTAGTGGGAAAGAATATCAGAATTGGGCCGCCTGTCTGAGCGCAGCCATTGACAGCCTTGTCCATTGGCCAAGTATAGAAACTGACAGACTCCCCATGCCGCCTCTATACACTGCAATATGCTCAATAGTCTAGTCTATATGCCTTTGGCACAACATAAGCTTTTTATCATATTAAGTTGTGATTTCTTTACCTAATGAACCTGCCAGAACATAAGTTCCCTATTGACTTGGCGAGGAAGCAGCTAGCAAAGACATTGAGGTCTAATAAATTCTGAAAGAGAACTTCAAAGGAGTTTTATTCTTAGCTTTCGTTGTGCTCTCAACGCCGCCAGCCAGCAACCAAGAGTATGAAAATCACCACCCTCTTTTCCATTCATTGAGTCAGCCCAGCAGCATAGTTGAGATAGCTGTTGTTGTTCCCACTCATAATGGCTGCATATTGCACTGGTGACTGGAATGGGCATAATGCTCCAAAACTGAAGAGGTTGACACTTTATTACTTCATTTGGGGAATTTACAGGCTTGTTTTCCCATCCGTTGGTGTTAAAGCTGCAATGAGCAATTGAAACAATAACAAAGCCAACTCCCCACCCCTGTTTCGGTAAAAAGCTGAGGGATGGGACTGGATAAATGTAACCACCCTCAAATTCATAGACTGTGCTATGGATGCAAGTACTGACCAGCCATGATTTCAAAATTATAGTTTTAACCATGTTTTGAGGCTAAATATTGTTTACATTTACTTTGTTTACAAACATTGGAGTAAAACAAGCTTATATTTTGGGTTCTGATGTGGTACGACAGTTAAACTAAGCTCATGAGGCATTTATACGTTTTATATTTTTAAAGAATCAATGGGGTACATTTATAAGTCCAAAAATGTATATAGCAACTGCTGATTGCCCCTTTTAAGCTAGACTAGACTAAGGCTAGTGCCAGAGCTGGCCGAAAGCAGTGCACTATATAGGGAATAGGGTGCCATTTCAGACACAGCCTAAGACTACACTAGTCTCCTCAGTCTTTAATGGTGGCTGTAGGATTACTACTCTCCAGGCAGGTTGTGGGTAGCCGCCCTGGATAATGGCTGTGTAAAAGGGCTCAGGAGAGCTGTGGCTTTCCTAATGCCTGGCTGCAGGAAAGCAAAAGGAAGAGGGATGAGGACTGTGGTGGCTTCACCCCCCCCCCCCTCTCTTCCCTTCCTCCTCCTTTCCTCCATGGCTTTGCTCCGTTCTTCGTTCGTGCAGTGGCGCCGTTAGCCAGAAGGGCTACAGAACACCTGTTTGCCTTGGGGCCATCATGGCAACCTTGGCCCTGTGTCAGGGACGTCTAGCTCTGCTCTGCACACTGCCCTACAGTCTTAGCCTGACTCTCTCTCTCTTTCTCTCTCTTCCCCCTGCTCTTCCCCCTCTTCTCCTCTGGCTTCCTTCCTTTCTCACCCAAGGTGGATGGGTAGAATTAAGCTTCGCCTTTCGTCTGTTTCTCGATCTCTTTTCTCCGTAGCGCTCTCTTTCTCGCCTTCCTCCATCTTGCTGCGTTTCGTTTTTTCCTCCCCAGTGAGCTTTCTCTCTCTTTTCTCTCTCCCTTCACAGATGCTCTCCTCTCGTCTTCTTGGCCTGTCTCCCTCTCCCGACGGCTGTCGTTCTTAATTGGTGTTGCTCTGCCCGTCTTTTCATCCTCTGGTTTTCCCTCTACTCCTCCCCGGTGTGATCAGCAGCTCCAGCATCTCTCTGTGAACACGTCTCAGACTCCCTGTGCTGCTGTCGTCACACACACACACACACACACACACACACACACACACACACACACACACACACACACGTTAGTCCCTCTTAACAAGCGCTGCTATTTTTGTGTAGCAGGTTCCTCATAGACCGTATGTCTTTCCTCTGTTATGCTTTCTGTCTGCGTTGATTCTGGTCATGCGGAGTTTATATACCGCTCAGAGATGGAAGGAAACCTTTGCAATGCGACGCCTTTGAATGCTCAACTCAGCAACACTTTTTATCCATAAACAATTGTTAGTGTGCTATAAAGCGGCTAAACAAATCAATCTTCATATACAAAGCGAGTGTAATCCAAAAACGTGGAAAGGTGAATTACATGTATCTAGGCTATAGGTCTTCCACAGTATATAACACCGGCATATGATACTGTATAGGCCTACTAGACCGGCGTGCCAGGAAGGTTCAGAGAGCGCTGCTTCACCAGAACATATGTCAGCTAGTCTCTCTCTGTGTGGAGTGCCTCTGCCAGGCAGGTGTAACTTGATCCCCAACCAACCTGACGTGTCAGCCTGACTCTGGGGGTGTCAGCAGCTCAGTGGAGACAGACAGGAACAGAAGGGCAAAGTCCCACTGCCCTTGTCATTTCCCCTAAGCTGGTGCCCTCTCTCTGTCTGTATCGCCATCTCTCTCTCTTTATCTCGCTTGCTTCCTGTCTCTTTCTCTCTTGTTCGGTCATTAGACAACTATCCTATTTGACAACCTATACTGTACATTTCTCTTTCTCTCGCTTTTCATTCTCATCTTTTGCTTTTCTCTTTCTTCCTCAGTCCTCACCTGGCTCCCTTGAGTGTAATTAGAAGTGAGAAGCACCATCCTCACCTCCACCCGTTACGACTGTCCTGTCTCTGGAGGGAACTCCTGTGAGGAGGAACTCCTGGAGCAGACAGAGCGGTTGCTTCAGTGTCATAGCTGGATGCAGTACTGTCTCGGTCTTAGTCGGCACAATTTTGCTGCTTTTTGGGGTCTTTTCAGATTAGGCACAGCTGCTCGTTAAGTCTTCAAATTGTACTGTGCTTTCTAGGATTAGATTGAATGGCAACTATTTTGGGTTTAGTGTTAGACAGTTACAACACTAAGACACTGTTAGGGACAGAGCACTGGCACTGTGCTGTCATGTTAAATCTCTGGCTCAGACCAGACTAGTATAACATTGACTTGAATGGGGATGCCCGTTCTAGTTAATCTATTTCTATGAAGGCTGTAGGGCACATTCAGCACACTAACAATAAATTATTTTGAGCTAGTCTGTGCAGCGGTGCAGAAATTGATATCTGTAACATGATATCTTGGGAAAAGCCTACACAGGCTAAATGTTTTATTTAACCTTTAGTTTGACAGGGAGTCATGCTGAGACCAAGGTCTCTTTTACAGATGAGCCCTGTAATTACCAAAAATATAGGTTACACATCAATAAATTCACATTAGTGAACTTTAGGTTTAGATTTCAATGCTTCTCCTATGGATGAGTGGGGCGCAGTAGCACAACAGTGAACAATGGCTTGTTATGATCTTGGATACAGGAACACAGTCAGGTGGTTGTGCTGTACAGCGTGGTGTGTTAGTTCAACCTCTACTAGCCTGCTACCAAAATAGACTGACCGTCATTCTTAATCCGTTTACTTAACCGTGTATTTTCTAGGAAATGAGGTAAATAAATAAATGTGCGTGGTGTAGTATTATTGTCATAACCCCTCCCCCTCTTCTGATCTCCTCTGTCATAAACTGGCTCACCAGATGGGCTATGTATGGGAGATCCCATGTTATTAACAGCTAGGACGGTGGTAGGCTAGTAGGCACTAAGCAGTAGATGGACTGAGTGGGAGGCTCTATTTCGGAAAATTCCAGCACACAAAGGGTTCCGCCGGATATTTTTACATCCCGATCCAATTCCCCTCCTTCCACCCCTTTCTATTCTGAGGGTAATTTCAACATTCAGAACAGTGCCAGCTAGCCTAAACCCCCCCCTTTTGGACAGGTGCCAAGGAATATCCGAGCAGGGGGGATGGTGGTGGGGAGAGATGCCAGTTAGACTGACGGGGTGTTGTGATTGGTCGAGGGGGTAGTAGGGGGCAGATGAAGGAGGAATGGTAGCCTATGGGGTTGTTGGATTGTTAGCGCCGTGCAGGAGCGCTGGTCTGGTTAATAGGCAGATCTGAGAGAGGAGGCACTATTGAGCACCTACTTATTACCAGGCAGAGAACCAACCAGCCTTTCTGCCCAATTAGATACTAGTGCACCACACACACTGTTCCCTCTATAATGAATAGGAGTCTGATAGTGTGTTTTACTGTCCTCCCTCAGTCATTACAGCTAGACAAGTCCTCTGTCAGTATTCCCTACTGTTAGGCAGTATACTAGCTGTACTGTAGATTGACAGTTGTTAATGGCCATGCTTGCCAATTTCTTTCTGTCTCTTGTCTCTCTTGCTCTCTCTCTCGCTCTCTCCCCCTCGCTCTCGCTCTCTCCCCCTCGCGCTCGCTCTCTCCCCCTCGCGCTCGCTCTCTCCCCCTCGCGCTCGCTCTCTCCCCCTCGCGCTCGCTCTCTCCCCCTCGCGCTCGCTCTCTCCCCCCCGCGCTCGCTCTCTCCCCCTCGCGCTCGCTCTCTCTCCCCCCCCTCGCGCTCGCTCTCTCTCCCCCCCTCGCGCTCGCTCTCTCTCCCCCCCTCGCGCTCGCTCTCTCTCCCCCCCTCGTGCTCGCTCTCTCTCCCCCCCTCGTGCTCGCTCTCTCTCCCCCCCTCGCGCTCGCTCTCTCTACCCCCCCCTCGCGCTCTCTGTGTCAGAACATGGCTGTCCCTATGGACACTCCTCCCCACCATTACTCAATCTCAGCCTGCCTCTGCCTGTCACTTTGATTGACAGTTCCCTTCCCCTACCAACAGGCAACACACCGGGAGGCGGGCCTGTCATTACTCTCCTGTCATTATTATGATTATTCATTAATGTATTCATATTCAGGCCCCTATGGACACTGTCTGCAGACACTTTTTCTGACTGTCTAAGTCTGGCGAAACTCACTGGCCGCTCTGCTACAGCAGTCAGCGCCAGTGTGTGTGTCATTCACTCAGGCACTGAGAAAAATGTGTGTTTGTGCCCTTCCTATTGCTGAGGACAGAGCACAATGGCCGATTGTGCATGGCAGGCCTGAGTGTGTGTGTGTGTGTGTGTGTGTGTGTGTGTGTGTGTGTGGAGGCAGTTGAAGAGGATGGTGAGATCCCAGAGTCCCAGGATAGCAGGCTGGATATGCGGTGAGAGGAACACCCAGTCAGTTGGAAGCTGTCAAGTAGTATTGACCACTGAGTTTTCCCATTGGCCAGATAATAACCAGAATGTCTACTATGAGTGGCACTTACCTAGCTGGCAACACTGACCAGATTGGAATGGATAACCGGCACTAGCAGGCTTTAGACACACACGTACGTACACACACACACACACGCACACACACACACACACAGGCTCCCCCAGTCCTCTACTCATGCCTTTAATAGTTTCCAGGAACCGTCACCAAATTTCAGCCAAAACAAATAAAGGCTGACATATACCTCTGGCTCTCCAGCTATCTGATCTCTCCTTTGGCTGCTTGGCTGGCGACTGGAGACAGACTTTGGGAAATGCTTAGAGTTTGTTCTTTCTCTTTCTTTCGCTCTCATTCTTTCCTTTTTTCTATCTCTTTTCCCCTCTGTCAGTTTCCGGGTGACTCTCCTTTTGCTCCCCCCGCTACCCCCAGTCTCTCTCTGGCCATGAAGGAAATTGCATTTAAGAAGCAACTCAGTGTGTTACTTCTGAAATGCTGTATGTGCTTGGCGTCTAAAAGTCTTCTCTGGAAAAAGTTTGCTAGCTCTGACATTGACCTCTAAGCGGATGAAAGGGAAATTGTAGATCTAGGTTACTGAACTTAAAGCCTGCTGCTCCTCTCTGCCCTGTTCTGAAAACCTGCCCTTTCTATTTGCAGCTGAGAGAAGCTTAACAACACGAGAAAGAGAACCATTTGATGGAAGAAAATAAAAATAAAAAGCAAGAAAAGACCAAGAAGGAAGCTGCTCAGAAACAGGTGAGTGGTGTTAACTTTATCTCCTCTCTCTCTCGCTGTCTTCGCTGTCTCTCGCGTCTCGCGTCCGTCTCTCTCTCTCTCTCTCTCGTCTCTCCTCTCTCTCGCTTCTCCTCTCTCGCTGTCTCTCTCTCTTGCGTCCGCTCTCTCGCGTCTCTCTCTCTCGCTGTCTCGCTCTCTCTCGTCTCGCTCTCTCTCGCTCTCTCTCTTCGCTGGCCTCTCTCTCTCGCTCTCTCTGCCCTCTCGCTCTCTCTCGCTCTCTCGCTCTCTCTCGCTGTCTTCGCTCTCGCTGTCTCGCTCTCGCTGTCTCGCTCTCTCTCGCTGTCTCGCTCTCTCTCGCTGTCTCGCTCTCTCTCGCTGTCTCGCTCGTCTCTCTGTCTCGCTCTCTCTCGCTGTCTCGCTCTCTCTCGCTGTCTCGCTCTCTCTCGCTGTCTCGCTCTCTCTCGCTGTCTCGCTCTCTCTCGCTGTCTCGCTCTCTCTCGCTGTCTCGCTCTCTCTCGCTGTCTCGCTCTCTCTCGCTCTCTCTCTCTCTCTCGCTGTCTCTGTCTCTCTCGCTGTCTCTTTCTCTCTCGCTGTCTCTTTCTCTCTCTCTCTCTCTCGCTGTCTCTTCTCTCTCTCCTCTCTCTCTCTCGCTGGCTGTTTCTGTCTTTGTCTCATTCTATCTCCTCAAACCGAGTACCTCCTTCCAAAAAACGTTTACATCAGACTACACCGACCCCCCCCCCCCCCCCCCCTTCTCCCTCCCTCCTCTCCTCCATTCACTTCTGTTCCCCAGGTAGGTGTGTTCAGTTCAGTATAGTCGCTATATGACTGTGAGTGTGGGAGTTCCTCCCTAGCTTATCCTCATGGATTAGCCTAGAGCCTGTAACCCTGCAGGCAGCTCACTGCCAGGTGTATGGACCCTATTTAAAGACAGATTAGAGCTGGACTCCATGGCTCAAGGGAGGCTAGCACACTAGCTACACACACTGCTCTGTTGGAAACACTAGCCTGGCTCTGGTAAATTGTCCATTGTATGCACATGTACCAAGGAGATGTTGTTCTCGCACATAGACACACGCCATTCATGCACATTCATACAATTGTACACACAGGCATTTAAAAACACAATGATATGCACATGTATTTAAAAACACACACACCCTAGAGCCCGACAGATAAATCGGTTGACCGATATTATCGGTCGATATTAGCCTTTTCACGTAAATATTTGTTTCTGTCTTTATTCCACAGATAAAGCGCAGATATTATATACATACATTTTCAATGGTTGCCTGAAGAGGGCGCTCTAAGAGCTTCTCATTGAACATCATTCAGCCCTTCATGATAGAGTGGGCATGGTGGCTTTCCACCACCAATGATGGCATATTAGAATGAATAAATAAACAAAAGTTAGCTTCACCAAGAAAGGAGCCCTGTCCTCCTCATATGCTCACTTAGCTAGCTATCCAGCAATGAAGTTAGGCTCTATCTAGCCAGGAAGGTAGTTAGCCTAGCTAGCTAGCAATCTGTGCTACTTATCTGCAAACATTGGACTGGCCCCAAAGTGAACACTGACTCATCCGTGAGCGTGTGACTAAAACCAGTGCGGCAAGCATTTTCCTGCATGAACGTTTTCAGTAATCAGCGCATTCCATTTGCAGTTGAAATATATAGCCAATACATTTTTTTTTTTTATTGAATAACAGTATAATTCACATGATGGTTTCAATAAGAAAACATTTTCGTAATGAACAGCTAGCGCGTGCTTGTCATAAGCTCTTATTGCGAGGTTGCCATAGTGTATCGTTACATGGCCTTTGACTGTTGTAAAGCGCTGTGGTGAATCTACTCAATACATGCTGACGGTGACATCTAGTGGCGATATTACGAACTCATTCTTGTTTATTAGTGCGCTTCAGCGCAAACACTTCTGCATTCTTATCAACTGCCATAGATGGACACATCTTTAAGTTGTACCTAAGAAGGTCAACTGAACAAGTGTTTTGTATTTACTTTTGTATTAATAGAGGATATAGTGGCATTTTGGTGGTTAGCATGTTCTTAAATAATGTTAATTTAATAGTTAGTTACGGAATCAGTATCTGTAACTTCTTTTCACAAATTGTGCTCCAAAGGATTATGTTTTTCAAAATGTCTATTTTTCATTCCACAGCCTGTAGTTATCACGTTCCACTCTACTTCCACTAGCCAGCAGCCGTGCCAAGGCACTTTATAGCAGGCGTTTACCCAGGTGGGCTTGTTTGGGTCTTGGAGACTGAGGCGTTTTACCCTGCATGTCTAGACTGCCCGTTGTATGTCTCAATGTCCCACATCCCTACATTTTCAGCTAATTTCAATCGGATTTTCATTTAAGATATTTGGCCAGTCTTTGTATGAATATGTGATTGTGGGCTGCATCCAATTTGGCAGCCTGCAATGTAATGAAGTTCTACTGGGAATATAATTTCTCATGTTTACTTTGATTATGAGTTTGTTCAACAGTTTCCTTTCCTGTTGTGGAAAAGTACATAAATTCCTTCCTCTAATGCGGTAATTTTTTTGTTAATGACCAACTTTTATGACATACCGTTTTGGTAGCGCCACGTTAATCATTGAACAAAAACAACTCTACGTTTACAGCTGTTGACTTCTCTCTCTGTGTCTCTGTCTGTGTGTCTTCTAGGCTGCTGAGGAGAAAACCAAAGGTGAGTGGAATGACTAACTTCCGCTCCTAGCCGCATAGCTTTTTAAAAAGACATGCAAATGATTGACACACACACGGCCCTTATCACCTCTGATTTAAGGGAGTTGATATGAGCCGTAAAGGCGTAGACATGCAGATAACGGCTGTATAGCAGCAGGTCCCTGTAGCCTACAGCTAACACATCGAGTCAGTCCAGCGTCGTCTAACTAACACACACTGACTCCTCCTCTGAGCTCAGCAGTGCTGGCCAATGAAGCGTGAGGAGGGCACCCAGATGGGAGCTCCTAACAGTGGGGAGAGAGGGGTTGGGGGATGGAGGGGGTTTGGGAGGGTAAGGAGTTCACTCAGTTCCGTGGGCGACAGTCTTTTAAGGGGCATCTTGCCTTCTACGGTTCCTTGTTCCTCTCTCTCCCAGCAGCATGTGTGCCTCGCATCTGTAGTATGTGAAGTATGCATGCTGTTTCTGCATGTGTTCCCATTTGTGCACGTCAAACGTTTCTTATTGTATTTAGCCAACGGATTAGTCTAGTGTGTGTGAGAAATGTGTCATTGCGTGTGAACAAGCCTAGGTGTCATTGTTAGTGCGTATTAGGCAGATGGGGCCAGGGCTTTGGTCCACTCTAAAGCCCATTAGAGCATCTGTTCAGGTTGCACTGGTCAGCACCTCGCCCTCTAAAAGCTGTGTGTGTGTGTACTGTGTGTGTTTGTGTTACCAGGGATTGGCCCCAACACACCCCAGGCGGTCTAACAGCTAGCTAACAGCCCTAGCCAATAGCCATTGGTGTTTGGCCCGACGTCCGTTGGCGTTTTGTAGAGGTCAATGGCACTTTCTTGACCTCTGACCTCATTAAGGTCTGCCTCATTATCTCTGGGGGGGAGACTCGGTGCTCCGTCTGTTGGTGTTGGTGAGTCATCCAGTGAGAAGGAACCATTTTAAGCGGAGGGGTGACGGAGGGCGTCTAACAGACTGAGGTGGTTAGTTAGAAGTCGGATGACACTGAGGAGAAGTGTAAAAACAGAGAAATAGGGAAAAATGGAGCGAGGGAAAGGAAGTGAGTAGGAAAGAAAGTGGGATGTGTGTATTCAAGCATCAGCCTACAGAGTATAGGGCCAAAAAGGAACTTGTGGAGCTGAAACAACTAAATTGACACAGTATAGCCTACCTTTAAAGTAAGCAAGAGAGAGAAAATGTTCTCCACTCAATTTGCTACAGAGCCCTCTAAGTAGCATATGACTTACTTCAGTTAGCATCCATGTCACTAAATAAGGTGTGTGTGTGTGGGCAAATCAGTATGCAGCTGTGATGTCTCTCCAACCATATCAATGATCTCTCATCACTCTCTCAAACACACACGCACTCGTTTGTACACCCACAACCCCCCAGCCTCATCCCTTCTCCAATCACCTCTCCAGCTTCCTCCTCCTCCCTTCCTCTCACGTTTCAATTTGTTTGCGGTAATCGATCTTGCCTGGCTCGTTCATATGTATGAAAATTCGATAAGGCACCGGCGCTGCGGAATTAACTCCTGTGCCCCCCATTAGCAATGGAGGTCCAGTGAGACGGGGGACCAGCCACCATCCTCCCCCACCCAGACAGTCCCTGTTGGGGTAGAGAGAGAGAGCCTCAGCCCTCTATTAGCATGGAGGGTAGGGGGACGCTGATTATTCCCCACAATCAAACCCCTTCGTGCTGCACACACACATAATGCACCACACACACACCATGCACCACACACACCCTCTACACCTAGCTCCCCATCCCTATTGGGACCGGGAGACTCAATCCAGCTCTCCCTGTGATTGGAGAAAATGCTTAGTGTGGAATTGCAAACAGCCCAGGCAATGATATGCTTTCAAAGCCACTGCAACACTACCTTTCACTGTATGCACACGCAAACCCACACACACATCATTAAATAAGTTATGAGAACACACGGAACTGGCTCGGCGTGACGCAAATGCAATTCATGGAAACAGGTGGCGGCTTCTGAGTTTTTGTGAGCGAAATCCGTCAGTAATACCCGGGTACGGCTGACGCGTTCTTTACCCAGCCCTGGTGTAATCAGAAAAACAGCGACTGCCTTTTTAAAGGGTTGAAGAACAAAATGTAATGCATGTCAATCGGTGTCAATCTTCCATCTACGTTTCACTTTAAGGCGTGGGCATGCTTCAGTTCGGCTGGCTGCTAGCTGAAGTCAGCTAGGTGAACCGAACGAGTGTGCTTGCAAACTCCCTTAAAAGACCTTTGCTTGAAAAATGAGAAAAAATAGGTAAAGTACGTTTGTCCATTTTGAGACGCCGTAGCCAGTATATACTTCCTTAAAATAGTCCTAATTAATCTAATAGCTCTTAGTCGCGCAATTTTACATCTAAGTAAGATGTTTGGTGCAGTATTTCTCAATGAAAAAATGTGCATGAAACGGAGGAGTCTCTCGTTGAATGACAACTCTATTGAAGAATCCCTAGTTGACCAATCACTGACGAAGGGGCGTAGTCTTCGGCTTGCCCGAACAGACCAAAAAAAAACATAACAACGTTCAAAATGAACAAAAACGTCAGTGTCGTCATATTATATGCACAAACTCTTCCGAACTGTTTTCGGCCGTGAAGCATGCAAACACCGTTACCCATGCTGTTTTCTCCCCTTCCTGGGAGACACCTCTGCCCTGCTACCATGGCGACCCACCACCAATTGCCACGGTGACTGACAAATTTACACGGTGTCACCACTGCGACATTATAATATGCATATTGGATTAATTTGCAATTTCACATTAAATTAATTGTGTCAACACTTTTTAGTCGGATTTCATGAATCGCAATCTAATTGGGGGATAATTTACTTTCCCGTGGGGGGAGGGGCGCCGTCGCTTTTCTGTGTGTAACTGCAACATTAATAAATACTCTGTAAATTAATAGCGAGTGAATGGATTCTGGTTTACGTCCCGTGGATTAATGGATGCGAAATATAATTGTTTTATCTCTTCTCTTTGCTTGCATGTCAAGTGGATGGGGTTTATTAGGGGTAGAGAGAGGGAGGGGACAAAGAGAGAGATGAGGGGGGAGAGCGAGAGGATCCCAAAACAATGGCCCTCTCTATTTTCTCCATGTATTCATGTTGGATTATCACTCACACGCCGCAGACAGAAGAGGCAATTCAATACATCCTCAGTTATACCACAGCTGAGAGGGCTCATGTCACATTTAGAGGCAGATTAATATATAAGCGTATGTGCTGATATGAATGGCATTTAATGAAGAGGATCCTTTGTATGGAGGGGAGGAGAGCAAGACTGCCTGGTATGTCTGGAAGAGGCGGCCCTCCTGTCTTTTGCTTCAGGTCACATTCAGCCTCTTCATGTCCAAACCACCACCACCACTCTGCCATTTTATGTGGGAAGACTGACAAATCATATCTATGTGGGAAGCATAAGGCACGTGGATATAAGTGGTCCTTGAGCACAGATCTAGGATCAGCTTACCTTCTCCTCACCATAATGTGTAGAAAACACACAACTGACCGTAGATCAGTCTTTGGGCAACCTCCTCCTACTTTGGATAAACTGTATGGATAAAGGAAAACTGACTGAATCGTATCTAAGTGTGGGACTTTGGCTTAGTGTTATCTACCCATAGTTAACTGCAGCAAATTCTAACAAGCCATCTCTATGAATCGTTTCTATAATCTCCTAAAGCATATAGAGTGGAGAGAATGGCTTGACACTGCTGAGATGAGCCCTCTGCTCATTAGTGTGTGTGTCAGGGCTCAGGGTGGGGGTCACAGGAGGCACACAGAGCAGAGGTGCATTAGGCAGGGAGACAGTGCTCATCTCCATGGTGATGGCCTAGTACCCAGGGAAGGGTGAGGGGTGGAAAGCTGTGCCTTTAAGTCTCTCTGTCTGTGTCTCTCTGTGTGTGTGTGGGGGGGGTCTCTGACCCGCTACAGGGTTTACTACTGACAGATGGAACCTCAGACACCCCCACCCCCATGGCACGCACTCACACAAGAGACTGTCTGGGTGTATCCTAACAAGCAACCATCAACACTCAAAGCTACTGCTCCTTCAGTACCTCTAAAGTCTATAGTCCCTCTTAACCTTTAGTACAGGCCCATCAGTCCTCTCAACTACAGTGGATCCACTTAAACAAGACCACTAAACACAAAGACACCTCATCGGTCAGATGGTTTAGTTAAATCTCAGTTACATCACTTCTTTCTAATGCATTTCTTGGATATGAAAAATATGGCTTTTCGTGAAGTCACATTTGATTTTCAATGAGAATCATGTATGTAACCCAATACAGGAGGCAGATGAGCCTTTTCTATAATCCACTTCTATGGGGTTGAGATCTGGAGACTGGCTAGGCCACTCCAGGACCTTGAAATGCTTCTTACGAAGCCACTCCTTCGTTGCCCGGGCGGTGTGTTTGGGATCATTGTCATGCTGAAAGACCCAGCCACGTTTCATCTTCAATGCCCTTGCTGATGGAAGGAGGTTTTCACTCAAAATCTCACGATACATGGCCCCATTCATTCTTTCCTTTACACGGATCAGTCGTCCTGGTCCCTTTGCAGAAAAACAGCCCCAAAGCATGATGTTTCCACCCCCATGCTTCACAGTAGGTATGGTGTTCTTTGGATGCAACTCAGCATTCTTTGTCCTCCAAACACGACGAGTTGAGTTTTTACCAAAAAGTTCTATTTTGGTTTCATCTGACAAAATGACATTCTCCCAATCCTCTTTTGGATCATCCAAATGCACTCTAGCAAACTTCAGACGGGCCTGGACATGTACTGGCTTAAGCAGGGGGACACGTCTGGCACTGCAGGATTTTAGGGAGGGAGATTATCAGTGGTCTTGTATGTCTTCCATTTCCTAATAATTGCTCCCACAGTTGATTTCTTCAAACCAAGCAGCTTACCTATTGCAGATTCAGTCTTCCCAGCCTGGTGCAGGTCTACAATTTTGTTTCTGGTGTCCTTTGACAGCTCTTTGGTCTTGGCCATAGTGAAGTTTGGAGTGTGACTGTTTGAGCTTGTGGACAGGTGTCTTTTTATACTGATAACAAGTTCAAATAGGTGCCATTAATACAGGTAACGAGTGGAGGATAGAGGAGCCTCTTAAAGAAGAAGTTACAGGTCTGTGAGAGCCAGAAATCTTGCTTGTTTGTAGGTGACCAAATACTTATTTTCCACCATAATTTGCAAATAAATTCATAAAAAATCCTACAATGTGATTTTCTGGAGAAAAAAAATCTCAATTTGTCTGTCATAGTTGACGTGTATCTATGATGAAAATTACAGGCCTCTCTCATCTTTTTAAGTGGGAGAACATGTGTTCTACACACAGCCCTCCCCCACTATAAACACGGTCACATATTAAAATGCGTCCTCATCACACAATGGCAGCACGTAGCTAACCTCTGAATGGACGATTCCTAGAAACCTTCAAAGCCAGGCGCACTGTCCGTACCAACCAATCACAATGGCTCCTTATGCACCAGGGCCCGCCCACTTGCCCATCATCCTTTCCGCTCATGCTTTTTCTTCTCTTTCAGTATAATTAACCATTGAGATTGGGGGACAGGAGGCCATAATTACAAGTTTGGCGGAGAGTGCTTCTCCTCCATTCAGAGGGTTTAATGGAATTTACAGTGTGTCGTTATAATGGTTTATTTAGGGCCTCCCTAGTGGCGCAGTGGTCTAAGGCAGTCTTGTCCCATCTGCCACTAGAGATCCTGGTTCGAGTCCAGGCTCTGTCGCAGCCGGCCGCGACCGGGAGACCCATGGGGCGACGCACAATTGGCCCAGCGTCGTCCAGGGTAGGGGAGGGTTTGGCCGGCATGTTCCCATTGCGCACTAGCGACTCCTGTGGCGGGCCGGGCGCAGTGCACGCTGACTCAGTAGCCAGGTGTACGGTGTTTCCTCCACACATTGGTGCGGCTGGCTTCCGGGTTAAGTGGGCACTGTGTCAAGAAGCAGTGCGGCTCGGTTGGGTTGTGTTTCGGAGGACGCATGACTCTCGACCTTCACCTCTCCCGTGTCCGTACGGGGGTTGCAGCGATTGGACAAGACTGTAACTACCAATTCGATACCACGAAATTGGGGAGAAAAAGGGGGTAAAATATTTATTTAATTGACACTCATTTGAACATCAAATAGTGTTTTTAAGGCTTTAGCGACCCCAAAGGATCCAGTATTGCAGTTTGTTTTCATTATTTTCTTTGTTTGCACTCCATCTCTCTCGTTCTCGCACTCTCATTTGCTCTCTTTCTCTAATTCTGTATACCATTCTCTCTCTCTCTCATTCTCCATTCATTCCATCTTTCATTCTCTCCCTTTACTGTGCCTCTCCCTCTGTGTGTTCCTACTATCTCTCAATCTCCCCTCCAAGTCATTGGTGTATGACAGTGTCACACGTATCACCTGCTATCTCTCCCATCAGATATGCAGTTGAATCTCCCATATCTCTCCCAAATGATAGCGCTAGAGAACTTGACTAGACAGCATTTTCATATAGCTTTCTCTCATCCTAGTGAAGGGATTTGGTTTCCCCTTGCCTCGGAAATCTCCCCCAAAGCGCTTTAGCGTTTGTTATGGATCAAAAACGAACTCTTCCCCCAAAATGAAAAGTAATGTTTTGCTAAATCTTTGTTTAGAGCAGAGAGATGTCCTCTATTGTATCGTAACCACCATTCATGCTCACACGCTCTTGCACACAGACTCACAGCTACTCTCTCCTGAGTACACTCTTTTTCACTGAGAGAGTTATTAAATGCAGATTATTCCAAAGATGGCTACACATTACCCAGCTGGCTAGAATAACAACAGCAATTTCACATCATAGTCTAGATAGACTGTGATCATTTACACTCACAACATAGTGCTTTAATAGCTTTTTAATTGTGTTGTAAAAGCACCAGTGTTGTCATAAACAGAGGCTACTGGAGAATAGAGTGGAACCACATCACTACACACACCCACCCACCCACACACACGCACCCCAACCCCCCTCAGACACACTCGCATAATGTGGGAATGTCCACACTCACAATGTACACCCTCCCCCTACGTCATAGAACCTGTGATTCATAGTGTGTGTGGTGGGGGGGGGGGGGGGCTGGAGGCTGCCGGCCTCTGTGAGCAATAACAGCCCAGCAGTCCATCTGCTTCCTCTAATGGATTCAGAGCAGCAGTGAACAATGAGAGTGACTGAATTGGATGAACGAGGGGGAGGGAGCGCCAGAGAAAAAAGGGTGGGAGGGAGATGGACAGGTTGAAGGGAGGGGGGCTGACACAGAGGGAGAGAATGGAATGGCTGAGCTGAGTGAGAAACGGAACAGGAGAGGGTGGACATTGTAAAAGGCGAGAGAGAGGGAAGGCGAGCAAAAAAAGAGGAGCAGGGCGAAGGAGAGGGAGAGAGCCGAGGGAGGGGGTTGGTGGTGAGGACGCAGCACCCTGCCTGCTGATTGGCTGTGACTGCGTCAGGCGGGCTGAGGCAGAATTGGAATCAGATATGTGCGTCACCAGCTGCCTGCTACAGCTCCCAACCAGCTAGCTCGCTACCGCTGCTGCAGGGGGCCAGCTCTGACCAGAGAGGGACGTAGATCAGCAGGCTGTATGAGTGGGAGGGGGAGAGAACCAAGGTTGTGTATGCGCATGTTTGAAAGTATATTGAGGTTGTGTGTGTCAGAGGCACAGGGGGGCACAGCTCATGTGCAGAGGGTAACTCTGTTTATAGAAACGGGGTTGGCAGTGGGACAGGCCTTTGGCAGGCAGAGGGAATGCGTGGGCCTGCCTGCAGTGTTTGCTTTAACCCCGGCTGCTGCAACACAGGACAGCTAGTCAGCCACATCAGGCCTCTACTGTTCACGTGTGGGATTCTACAGTCACACACTGTTAGTTTCTAGTTCGATATCTCCGGAGCCACAACTTGGTCAACATGAACAAATGTCATAAACTGCAGTTGTCCTAATTGGTCAGACTGATACGACCTCAAATGTCATTGTGTGCATTTGTCCTTGTGTATGTCCTTTGTGTGTGTGTGTGTGTCGTGACAGACAGACTCCTGACAGTGGCTCCTGTGTTCCCAGGAGAGTGAGAGATATGTTGCCTGGTTGCTAATCTGCATCTCTCCTGTGCCAATCCCTTCGCTCTGTGTTTCTCCCCCGTCTTCTCTCTTGGCTGTCTGTGATTCAGTCTTCTCTCTCTCTCTTCTCTTTCTCCCCCCTGAGGCATAGCTGCCAGCCTGTTGTTTTTAAAACCAGCCTATGAATTCTCCTCTGTAGCCACCTAGAGAGTATAGAACCACAACAAAAGTATATTCACCAAACTGATGTAGCAGCTCAGTGCAACACTGAGGTCATGAAGTATTGAGAGACAATATGGCTGCCATGCTGTTCTACTCAGCATAGACAGTGAGCACACATACCATGTTAGATATGTAGGGTATTAACCTCTTTCCAATGCAATTGCGTAATGCGTACACACACACACACCTGTGCTGCATAAGCCTTGGTGCGGACACACACACACACACACACACCTGTGCTCTGTCTATTAGTTTCCACTCCAGTCCTTGCGGGTAGCTCTTAGCCTGTGCAGCCCCAGCCTCCTGCTCACCCAGAGGGCTCAGCTAAGCTCCTTTAGCTACAGTAGGCTGACACAGTAGCTCCCGCTAGTACTGACTGCTAATACCACTCAGTCTGGGCAAGGCTTGATTAGAGGGCTGTTCTCTCTGGGAAACTAATAGTCAGAGGAATGCAAAGGGTCAGGCAGAGGTGAGGTGTGTGTGTGAGTGTGTAAGAACCCTTCACACGGCAGAGGGAACCTGCCCTTTCATGTTGCATGGGCTGTCTGTCGGTGGTGTTCAAGCATAGGGAAGAGTTTCTATATTGGCCTTACATCTTATTACTAAAACGGTACTTTGGAAATGCTAACCATGTTTTGCATGATCTCTCCTTAGTAAATGAGGGATATGTGTTATACGGATGTCAGATAATTGGGGTATAATGAGAGTAAAGCCTTGCCATCTGTACTCTAGGGTTAGAGGTCATTGGATCTATCAACCTATGAACATCAGTTCAAATCAACATGTTCAAATGATCATTGTGTTCATGTCATACTCCATCAGGAAACCTCTTTCAACCAACAATGTTGTCTTGTAATGTACAGTGGATTAGTGATGTGTGCTGTGCAGCATTAGCTAATACCTTGCTTCCTGTGTTTGCGTCCTCCTCCAGTGCCAGAGCCAGTTAAGCCCAGCTCCGGCCCCCTCCACCACCCCACCACCTGTGTGAACCTGCCCCAGGCCTCCTCCTCAGTCAGAACCAATGGGAAGCGCGCCCCCCCTAGCACCCAGCAGACGTCACAGCAGCAGACCCCACCTCAGCCTCCGTCAGGCCCCCGCTACCCGCCTCGTGAGGTGCCCCCGCGTTTCCGCCAGCAGGAGCACAAGCAGCTACTGAAGAGGGGCCAGCCACTGCCCGCCGGAGCCCTGAGTAACCTCACCGTTACCCCCGCCTCCGACCCACTCACCCCCGGTGCCCCTGCTTCTTCCACCTCAGCCTCTGCAGGCAAGCGCCACACAGGTCAGTTCCCTGCTTATTGCGTCTTACCCTTGGCTAGATCTCTGTCCTCAGTAGGAATGTGGCCCTTTTCTCCGTGTAACTTGATAGAGAAGCTGATGTTACTAAATTGGTCCCATGAAATGAAGTGTCACAGGTCATCATGGTAGATGGATGAGGCTGTTCAACACGGGGCTCTAGGCTGACCTTTACAAGGCGTACGTGTGTGCTTAAGTTTTAAAAATGTAGGCGCATACAAATACATTTAGGAGCGCAATGAATAGGATTTGAGATAGTAAAGCTAGAATTGTAAATTTTTCTAGGTGCACTGGTGCTCCTAAATAAAAGTTCCAGATCGCACAGCAAAATATTTGGCCGCATATGCGAGTAAAATGGTCTCAGTGTAGAGCCCTGCAACATGTTGAGAAAGAATGGGGTGAATTGCAAATTCATATGATGTGTCCATCAGTGGGTCAGTCCAAAAACCTTGGTGTTACTCAGTGCAGGCAATATTACCCCTGTTCTCTCTCCATACTGACACTGACATTAAGGGATTGATGATGATGATAGTGTGCTACTCTGAGAATCTCCTCCACTCTGACCCATTGGTTCAACTGTTTTCTACAGGGTCTCTGTGCACTGCAAAGAGGCTTTAGCTTGACGCTATTGAAATATGGCTGTGATGGTGTTTAGCCACTGAGTGGGTGTACTGTGGAGACTAGAGAGCACTCAGGACCTCTACTGCCCGCGGTCACCTTTTAATGAACTCACCAGCGACCGTGTCTGTGGACTGCAGAGAAACCTGTCAGGCCCAGAGACCCACTCTGCCAGTGGGCTTTAATTTAGAGCGAAAGAGAGAGTGTGTGAGTGGACAAATAATATGAGCCTTGAGTAAATAACGCTCAGCGTTGTTTTTCCTCCAGTGAGGGAGTGAAGGCACGCTGTCTATTCAAGCTATCTGGTGAACCACAGTATAATAGCCTACCGTCTTCCTTTATATGCCTTAACCCTGCAGCTTTTCTCTGATGACCACCAGTCTTCACATCCCAATGGAAGGTATTTCAACCAACACCTCTAGGATCTATTCTCTTTATTGACATGGTTTACCTCCATGTTAAATGCAGAACATACACAGATAACCGCACCATGAATTGTTATACGACACTTAGAGGAAGAGACGGAGAGAGACTGAGGAAGAGCTGCTGCGGCGTCTGTTCGCATACTTTTTTTTTTTTTTACACTCTCTCTCTTACTCTACCTCTCCATCTCTCTCCCTCTCTTTCATCTCTCCTCCTCCTCCTCCTCCTCTGTGGTGCTGTCTTCCATTACTGACTCACATGTTTACTCTGAGGGGGCTGCCTGCAGCACCAGAACAAGCAGCTTCACTGTAAACAGAATTTCTCTGCAGAGCCCACACACACACTGATGGTCTGCTGTCCTTTTCTCCAACTGACTGGCTGGACAGCTCTCCCAGGGGCCCTCTGCAGAACACCGCCCCAGGCAGGAGAGGCCCAAGCTGGGGAAGGATTTTAGTCCCTGGGGCTTCTGATCCACTGTCTTACCCTCTGGCCGTCTGCGTTGGCATACTGTAAATAGCCATCGGCCAAAGCCTAGTTTTCTACTGCTGTACTCTACTGCCAATTATGGAAAGAGATACAGCATTCGTTTTGGCACTGACAGTGAGGAATACAGATTTGGGATGGATGCAGTCTTGAGAAGCATGCATTTGATTTGGGTATCTAGCAGCACTCTCAGTTTTAGGAGAAGGAGAAAAAAAAATCATGCAAACATGGGCCAATCTAATATGTCCCCAGGCTGAATGTGAGACACTATGTATGTAGATGAGCTTTGGTTTTGGGGTCAGCTTCCATTTGACCTCCCTGCTAGTGAAGTCATCATGGTTCAGAGGGTACACAGATGACACAGGCGCTTCCAGCCCCAGAGGCCTGCTGTGACTGGACTACAGGGGTCAGTGAGGGGATCCACTGTTACTGCCTTGACCCAGTTACATCCTCTCACATCTGTCTGCCCACAGGGCCATCTGGCTATACACACTGTAGTTCTGGATAGTCACAACACAATCAACCAATTCAATAATGAATTAACTTTATCTGACCATTTTAAAATACACGTGACTCGAGTGAGATAACAACAATGCATCAAAAATCATAAAGGACACAAACGCGTAAGTCATAGGCCTATTTCCATTGTGGTCCTCATTAGACACAACCCACCCACCCACCCCCCCCCAATCTCTCCAATACAACAGCTGATGGCATGGCAACCCAGTGAGTGCTGCAGCCTGTCTGGCCTTCGTCTCGTAGCATAGCAGGTGCTACAGTGGGGGTCTGAGATTCAAGCCGTGCTGTGGGAAACGCGCTCAGTGCACTACAACAGCTGGTTCATTCATGGCTCTCTGTCTTCTAAGCCCCTGGGTGACGTAGCATGTGGCCAGAAGGCATGCTGTTGGCTAGGTGTTGTTAACATGCATTGGCCCCGCCGCCCTTCTCATTTGGCCCCTTGGCTTTCTCTTCAAACGCCTGGATGAGGTGGCATATCTGTTCTTTTGATTCCAGTTCCAGCCGCTATTGTTTTGTCTGCGGAGGAAGACCGATACATAACAGGTCCCATTGATGACTGTTCAACCAGATATTCCCATCAGTGATCACTGCCTAATGGCCTGATGAGCTTTAGCCGTAAGGCAATTCCTTTGACCATCGTTGTCAGGGCCACGTAAGTGACCAATGTTCAGAGGTATATGCATGGTAACGACGGCACTAGTCAATGGAGTTGGCTGAAGCACATGCCGTTCTAAAGCCAGACTAGGCTAGAGAGAATGCCTTCCCTGTCCTTTCTCTCCCCCCCCCCCCTCTCCCCTCTCTCGCTCTCCCCTCCAGCCCCTAGTGGGCTCATTAGCCCAGACTCTGCCAGGGAACCAAGAGGAAACTACCTCTTCTCTCCTCCTCTCCTCTCACCCAGGGTAAAACAGACATGAAGAATGAGGTTTTAAACCCTCCTGTGCCAACTCTCACCCCTTCTTTTCACTCTCTCTGTCTCTCCATTTCCGGAAGACAAACCAGGATCTTTTGATCCCGGAGACTGGAACGCTGAAGTTCCTGAAAGGGGAAAGAGGGTCTATTTTGAGGACAAAAGAGACTAAATGGTGCGTTTATTGCTTGTGGTGCGTCACTGTGAGGTTTGGCTGGAGATAATGTGGTGGATTGGCGGTGTTGAATGAATGGGAGAATAATGGCGTCCGGTTCGGCCCCGTTCGTGTGGCTCTCTGCTGCATTTCCCAGCTAGCTCCAAGGCTACGCTATTGCTCATGATGTCGGCTACAGGCACTTTATCCTTTTTGGTGCACTGTCTCTTTCTTTCTCTTATGCCCTCTCTCGCTTTCTCTCTCTTTCTCTTCCTTTGCCACTGCCAACCCCTCCCCCATTCCCCCACTCCCTGTCACCCTGGCTTTCATAGGGAGAGAAAGGTGGCGTCTAGCTTTTGGCTACCTTCCCATATCCCCCATGTGAGCTGCCTGCTAGCAGCATCCTCATTATCAGCAGCAGCCTGATCTCCTGGTAGTTGTTTCCCAGGCAGGGCTAGCATCACTGTCGCCTCTATGATAGGAAGCTGAGCTGGTATAGATGTAGTGTGCATGTGCAGTGTGTGCGTGCTCTCATCTTTTAGTGCCAGGCAGCCGCATCAGCAGCAGAACCAAGCAATAGAAGCCCTTTTGTTTTTATTTCTGTCGCCGCTATTCATTCAGCGAGCACCATAATACCCACTGCCCTCCTAATTGGGACCAGAATGGAAGCAGCTAAACATTACTGACAGTTGAACGCAAACAGAGACGGAAAATAATTGTCCCCTTTCTTTTCCTTTTCTTGTTGCCTTGGCTTTGGTATTGTACACGGGGTACAATACCAAAGCCACACACACACACAAACGCACACACATATTTTTCCCCGAAGCAGGAAAACTTCTCACTAATCTATTGGAATGCTTACCAGAAATAAGGTTGTACGGAGTTAGCAAGGTTGAGTAGACCTAAGAGACGTGACACACACACACACACACACACACACACACACACATTGACTCACACGTACACACTACGCAGCCAGCCTCAATTTCTTGGCAGCATGTCAGCAGTTGCGATGCTTTGCAGCGAGCAGTAGCAGACATATTGAATCGGATGGAGGAGGATAGCGATGGCTGCCGCGTCTCTCCGCTCTGCGTAGCGCCTCACAGCATGGTGTTGTTGCAGCACCACCTCTCTTCAGGTATTTTTCCACTCTACCCCTGACCCCCTTCTTTACAGCTGCCATCAGCTCTTTTATCTCTCTCTCTCTCTCCCTCTTTCTCTCTCTACTCCGGGGTTTTTAGTTGTAGTATCCGTGACGGACGGTGACAAGAAAATAGAGCTGCACTGCACGCTTTTCTGTGTAGTATATCATTAATTTATCATGCAACCTATTTTTATTCCCCTTCAGAGAAAACGTGCAAGGCGAGACTGAGACAGAGAGGGGGAGCGAATAAATGAAAGGGAGAAATCAGAGGGCAGAGCGAGACGTACTTGCTGCAGGCAGCAGCCTCTGAGCTCTTGGCTGAGTTTCAGGTCTGCCTGATAAAATGGCGTTCCTTGCTGCTCGGCGGGCTTGCAGAGAGAGAGGGGGAGCGACGCTAGTGCGTTAGAACCGCTGGTGCTGTCGTCCTATTCTCTCGCTCTTCTTCCTCTCCTCACATATAAACAAACACCTAGCAGCCTTGCAGGTACATGGATTGATGTTGTGGGTGTTAGCGAAACAATGAGCTTTTGTATGTTAGGTTAGCTAGCTCTCTGATTTGACTGAAAGGCAGGCAGGCGTACAGCACCAAAACAATGGCGTTGGAATGGTGCCAAACCTACCAAAGCAAAAGCCCCCCACACACACACACACACACACACACACACACGGGGCTCTCTGTTGTAACTTGACTCCTAAAATATGCACATCATGCAAAACCTCATTGGTTGTTGTGGGTGCTGGCCAGTGACATTAGATGTCGTTTACTGACTTTGACGTGTGTGTTCTCTAAGACCATGAGGAAGAGATGGTGGTTGTGGTTCAGTTGTGGGTTTAAATAGTCTCGGTAAGTAACAATGGAGAGTTATGATATCTGTTCCTAAGTGAACGAAGCAATAGAAAAGTTTTATTGCGTCCCAAATGGCACCCTATTCCCTTTTATAGTGCACTACTTTTGAACAGAGCATATAGGGTGCTTACGTAAGGATCCATGGTGTGCTTACATAAGGATCACTCAGCCTAATGCACTCTTTTGTTACATGGCTGGTCTGTCACTGTGCATTGTGGGATGATGTGTCTTGGACGTGCAGCTCAGCTTGACCTTAGATGCCCCAGATGTTATTTATATTTGTGCAGTTTGAAGAAGTGAGGGGGGGGGGGGGGGGCAGAACCGAACAGCCTGCAGTGAGAGAGACTGAACCGAACAGCCTGCAGTGAGAGCGACGGAACCGAACAGCCTGCAGTGAGAGAGACGGAACCGAACAGCCTGCAGTGAGAGCACGGGAACCGAACAGCCTGCAGTGAGAGCGACGGAACCGAACAGCCTGCATTGAGAGCGACGGAACCGAACAGCCTGCAGTGAGAGCGACGGAACCGAACAGCCTGCAGTGAGAGCGACGGAACCGAACAGCCTGCAGTGAGCGCGACGGAACCGAACAGCCTGCAGTGAGCGCGACGGAACCGAACAGCCAGCCTGCAGTGAGCGCGACGGAACCGAACAGCCAGCCTGCAGTGAGCGCGACGGAACCGAACAGCCAGCCTGCAGTGAGCGCGACGGAACCGAACAGCCAGCCTGCAGTGAGAGAGACGGAACCGAACAGCCAGCCTGCAGTGAGAGAGACGGAACCGAACAGCCAGCCTGCAGTGAGAGAGACGGAACCGAACAGCCTGCGTTCACCATACAGCACGTGCACTTGTTTTTTTCTCCCACAAAATTTAGTAGGAGCGACTTTTAATGGGAAATCTTTTGCAACATTGTTAAAGTTAGGATTTTGAGATGGGAATTTTGTGGTACCTCTGTGGTTAGACTTTCTAGGACGGGCTGTGTAGAGCTGATTACAGACTAAGTTTGTGTGTGTGTGCATGCGTAGAGCTATATAGCCTAAAACGTGTGTGTGTGTGTGTCTGCCTTTCTACACACACACTGACACTGTGTGATAAGGCAGTCTGAGAAGAGGAGATAAGTATGTTGAGGAGAAAATTGCATTTGGAGGGACTCAGAGGCGTGTTGCGCAGTATCTTAAGCCTAGCCACATATCTGTCAGTCAGTGTGTGTCTCAAACGAAGCTAGTCTCCCTACTATTTGACAGGATTGTTTTGACCATAGCTTTATCTGTGATGGATCAACTCCAGGCAATTATGCAAATCACAGAACGATCTGATAGAATCCAGTAGCGAGCTAATAGAAGGTAAGAATCTCTATTTGAAATGAGGTGATGCCCAAATACGGGCTACCGACTGTTTCACACAAACACATATTAATAAAAAATTATGTGAAGCCTCTAAGGAAAGCCGGAGGCTATACGTTTTCTAAATGTCTTAGAAAGGACTTAGAAATTGAAAATGCTTTTGTGTCTGGCCCGCTCAGCCCAGTCAAAGCTATTCGCTGCTCTGGCACCCCAATGGTGGAACAAGCTCCCCCACGACGCCAGGACAGCAGAGTCACTGACCACCTTCCGGAGACCCTTGAAACCCTACCTCTTTAAGGAATACCTGGAATAGTATAACAGTAATCCTTCTACCCCCCCCCCCCCCCCCCCCCCCCCCCCATTTTTAAAAAAAAAAAGGGGGAAAAGGGTGGTTGTCCCACTGGCTATCATAAGTTGAATGCACCAATTTGTAAGTCGCTCTGGATAAGAGCGTCTGCTACATTTACATTACATTTTAGTCATTTAGCAGACGCTCTTATCCAGAGCGACTTACAGTTAGTGAATACATTTTATTATTTTTTTATACTGGCCCCCCGTGGGAATCGAACCCACAACCCTGGCGTTGCAAACGCCATGCTCTATCAACTGAGCTACATCCCTGCCGGCCATTCCCTCCCCTACCCTGGACGACGCTGGGCCAATTGTGCGCCGCCCATGAGTCTCCCGGTCGCGGCCGGCGGCGACAGAGCCTGGATTCGAACCAGGATCTCTAGTGGCACAGTTAGCACTGCGATGCAGTGCCTTAGACCACTGCGCCACTCAGGAGTACCTGCCTTTCTCCTGCTAAATAACTTAAATGTTAAAATGTTATAGATAATATAGCTAGCAATGGGATGCCATTCTTTTTGATATGACAATTGATGAACTTATTGGATTTGTGAATTACAAAAACATATGGATTCTAAGAATACAGCCTTCAACAATGAGCAGTTTCATAACATATAAGCAGAGATGAGGTCAATCTCATTTCTATTCATTCTGAATTTACTCGATTGAAATGCAATTGGCCCCGACCCAGCTCTAAAGTAATGAAGGCGAGTGGGAACAGCAGTGTTCTCAGGCCCTCTCTGTAGATAAGACCAGTTTAGTGGTTGGCTTGGCTTTGCATGGTGGTTGGTGGATCAATACCTCCTCTCCTCTCTGCAGCAGCATTAATAAGGCCATTGATTAGCTGCCTCATTGATTCATTACAGCCTCATGGCATGAAATGGGCCTATTATTCGTTTTTAACGGGACTAGTTTCTCTCATCGGTGTTAGAGTATTGTGTGTCTGTAGGCTGAGGCGATGCAGTGTGGGCTAGACCTATGTCTCATTTTACTCCCGGGGGGTTTTGGGGTTTTGGTTTTTTTCCTTTCTAAAACAACACATTTTCCCAAACGGTGTTTTTTTTTTTAAAAAGCCTTTTTCCTAAAGAGGAGAAAAGTATGTTGGGGGAAAAAATTGCATTTGGAGGGCTCAGGGGCGTGTTCGCAGTATCTTAAGCCACCCACTATCGCAGTCATGTGTGCCCAAAAACAACATCCCCACTTTTTTGACGATTTTTTTTCCCATACTTTATCTGTATGGATCGACCCCGTTTAAATGAAAATCCAGAACGTCATAGAATCCAAATGGTAATAAAAGGTAATCTCTATTTAAATGAGGTGATGCCCAAAAAACGGCCTACCGATGTTTCCCAACCAAAATTTAATTTAAAAAATTAAGTGAAGCCTCTAGGAAACCGGGGCTATACGTTTCAAATGCCCTAAGAAGGACTAAAAATTGAAAATGCTTTTGGTCTGGCCCGCTCAGCCCAGTCAAAGCTATTCGCTGCTCTGGCAACCCCATGTGGAACAATACCGGACACGAGTCCTGACCCCTCCCGAGACACTTGAAACCCTACCTCTTAGGAAAGGGAATGGTGATAACCATCCTATCAAAAGGGTTGAAATGCGATTTAAGCCATCTGGTAAGGCTGCAATGACTTAATGTTAAAATGTTATAAGATTATACTGCAAATGGGTGCATTTATTATATAGTAGCAATTGATTTGGCATTTTTTTGAATTACAATAATATTGGATTTTAAGATTACAAAACATAAATTGAGAATACCCTTCATAATGGTAAAAATATTAGTGGCAACCAATTTGTCATTTCTCCACCATTGTGCATTCCACAAAAAAGAGGGCCTTCATCATAGGTCCACGTCAAACTATGACAGCCCAAATGAGGGAAAAAATCCAGTAAATCACATTGTAGGATTTTTTATGAATTGATTTGCAAATTATGGTGGAAAATAAGTATTTGGTCACCTACAAACAAGCAAGATTTCTGGCTCTCACAGACCTGTAACTTCTTCTTTAAGAGGCTCCTCTGTCCTCCACTCGTTACCTGTATTAATGGCACCTGTTTGAACTTGTTATCAGTATAAAAGACACCTGTCCACAACCTCAAACAGTCACACTCCAAACTCCACTATGGCCAAGACCAAAGAGCTGTCAAAGGACACCAGAAACAAAATTGTAGACCTGCACCAGGCTGGGAAGACTGAATCTGCAATAGGTAAGCAGCTTGGTTTGAAGAAATCAACTGTGGGAGCAATTATTAGGAAATGGAAGACATACAAGACCACTGATAATCTCCCTCGATCTGGGGCTCCACGCAAGATCTCACCCCGTGGGGTCAAAATGATCACAAGAACGGTGAGCAAAAATCCCAGAACCACACGGGGGGGACCTAGTGAATGACCTGCAGAGAGCTGGGACCAAAGTAACAAAGCCTACCATCAGTAACACACTACGCCGCCAGGTACTCAAATCCTGCAGTGTCAGATGTGTCCCCCTGCTTAAGCCAGTACATGTCCAGGCCTGTCTGAAGTTTGCTAGAGTGCATTTGGATGATCCAGAAGAGGATTGGGAGAATGTCATATGGTCAGATGAAACCAAAATAGAACTTTTTGGTAAAAACTCAACTCGTCGTGTTTGGAGGACAAAGAATGCTGAGTTGCATCCAAAGAACACCATACCTACTGTGAAGCATGGGGGTGGAAACATCATGCTTTGGGGCTGTTTTTCTGCAAAGGGACCAGGACGACTGATCCGTGTAAAGGAAAGAATTAATGGGGCCATGTATCGTGAGATTTTGAGTGAAAACCTCCTTCCATCAGCAAGGGCATTGAAGATGAAACGTGGCTGGGTCTTTCAGCATGACAATGATCCCAAACACACCGCCCGGGCAACGAAGGAGTGGCTTCGTAAGAAGCATTTCAAGGTCCTGGAGTGGCCTAGCCAGTCTCCAGATCTCAACCCCATAGAAAATCTTTGGAGGGAGTTGAAAGTCTGTGTTGCCCAGCGACAGCCCCAAAACATCACTGCTCTAGAGGAGATCTGCATGGAGGAATGGGCCAAAATACCAGCAACAGTGTGTGAAAACCTTGTGAAGACTTACAGAAAACGTTTGACCTGTGTCATTGCCAACAAAGGGTATATAACAAAGTATTGAGAAACTTTTGTTATTGACCAAATACTTATTTTCCACCATAATTTGCAAATAAATTCCTACAATTAAAAATCCTACAATGTGATTTTCTGGATTTCTTTTCCTCAATTTGTCTGTCATAGTTGACGTGTACCTATGATGAAAATTACAGGCCTCTCTCATCTTTTTAAGTGGGAGAACTTGCACAATTGGTGGCTGACTAAATACCTTTTTTCCCCCACTGTATAAGCAGAGATGAGGTCTATCGCATTTCTATTCATTCTGAATTTACTCGATTGAAATGCAATTGGCCCCGACCCAGCTCTAAAGTAATGAAGGCGAGTGGGAACAGCAGTGTTCTCAGGCCCTCTCTGTAGATAAGACCAGTTTAGTGGTTGGCTTGGCTTTGCATGGTGGTTGGTGGATCAATACCTCCTCTCCTCTCTGCAGCAGCATTAATAAGGCCATTGATTAGCTGCCTCATTGATTCATTACAGCCTCATGGCATGAAATGGGCCTATTGTTCGTTTTTACCGGGACTGGTTTCTCTCATCGGAGTTAGTGTTGTGTGTGTCTGTAGGCTGAGGCGATGTTGTGCAGTGTGGGCTAGACCTATGTCTCATTTTACTCCCTCTTTTGGTATGAGGAAATATATTCATATTAGCATTTATGTTTGTGTTCTGAATATTATACATTTTTATGCTGTGTTTCTGTATGATTCGTTTTGTCTTATTGTTTGATCCATTTGTGTGTGTGCGAGAAGGAGAGAAATATAGAATTGAAGAAAGCAGAGTATTAATGTGTGTACTCTGCGGTCTCCAGTGTCAGAGTGTAGCTGTGTCTGTAGCAGCCCAGACCTGGTAGTGCTTTGTGGGGACCTGCTGGAGCGTAGGGAATGATGAATGAGGAGCCATCTTGGTTTCATTCCAATAAATGAGCAGCGGTCCACTTGGGTTTCCCTTCACAGCCACAGCTAGGGGAGCCTACATGGAGACTGATGGGCCTCTCAGTTCAGGGGGAGAGAGGCGGGAGAGTAGGGAGGGAAGGGGGGAGAGGGAGAGCGCAGGTGGGAGGAAAGGGAGGGACCATTTCACCCACTCACATAGGGGGAGAGTAGGAAGGAAGGAGGGTTAGGGGGAGAGAAAGTAGGAGAGGGAGGGCTCTTATCGCTCACCCAGTCACTCCACATCTGACTGCACCAAAGCAGGAATATATGGATATGCCATAGCTAATAGGACATGGGGCAAAGTCTACTGTGCATTCTGATTATGGCAGGAATCTGACTGGTGAACAGACCAGCAGTGTGACCACCTCTCACTGCTGCCAAGTCGGATGGTAACAGTTTAACCAAACAAGGAGATACATTACAATGACTTCCTCCAGGAGCTGAGGGAGTTTATTACAAGGTGTTTTCTGTCTCTCTCTCGTAAAAGAGAATGTTTTCTCCTGGTTAAATAAATATTTATCTATTTTTCTCCTCCAGACCTGCCATTCCAGAGTGGTCCTGGTGCCCAGTATGAGAATCCCCACTGGGGAGCCTTACCACCAGCCACCGACCGCAGCAGCAGCACCAGTAGTAGCTGGGATCAAGTGATCATCGACGGGAGCGACACCGAGGCCTGGCCCTCCATCAGTCGCAGCAGCGACAGCCGACCAGCGAATCCTCCAGAATGTGCCACAGCCGCTGACTGTACAAACCCAGAGACCAGCAGCAACATGAGCATGGCCGCGGGGGCTACTAGCCAGCAGGCCCACTACCCCTCCTCTCTCAAAGCTAACGGCGCTAACGTAGCTAGCATGATGCAGCCTGGCGGTGGCCTGGGAGTTGGCGCCATCGGCAGCAGGGGCTGGGGCTCTGGACCCGGCCCCAACACCATGGGCCCAACTGAGGGAGCCAAACCTGACGGCCTAGGGCCCAACATAGGCCGGAGTGGAGGAGCACCGGGCTGGAACTCCCAGCCTAGCTTTAGCCTGAACCTGAACCCCAACGCCAACCCCTCGGCCTGGCCCGTGCTGGGGCAAGAGGGTGCTGGAGGCGGCCCCAACCCCTCCTCACTACCTCCCAACGGCAGCCTGGGCAACGGGAGCCTGGGAGGGGACGAGAACAGCAGCAGTACCTGGGGAGGCATGATGAGCCCTGACGCCCCGTCCTCCAATACGAATGTGTCTTTCAGCAGCATGGAACACCCGAACCTTAACACTGACAGACAAAACAGCCACCACACTAAGCAGCCCCTCAGCCCCATCCACGGGCTGCCCGGCTGGGGAGGCCAGTCCCCTACCGAGTCCTCCCAGCTCAACGGAGATGCAGGGAGCTCCGTCTGGGGCAACGGAGACACCAAGACATCCGCTGACTCCTCCAAGAACTCAGGCTGGGACTCGGCACCCTCCGGAGGCACGTCCGGCTGGGGCTGCTCTGGCAGCGGAGGCGGCGGGAGTGGAGGTGGAGAAGGAGGCTGGGGAGGAGACTGGGGGAAGCCATCCAGCGGTGGAGGAGAGGCCAAAGGAGGCTGGGATTCCTCAGATGGCCCAGCCCAGGACCAGCAGGTGAGCTCCTGGGGCCAGCCAACCCCGGCCCCGGCTAGTGAGGGTAGCGGGAGCGGCGGCAGTGAGGGGCGCTCCCACCGCAGGGAGAGGACTGGCAGCGAGGACGGAGGCCCCCCTCCCCTGCCCCGGCAGGACCTGGATCCCCGCGTGCTCTGCAACACAGGCTGGGGCCAGACACCCGTCCGCCAGCACACCTCCTGGGAGATGGAGGAGCAGCGCGCCGCCAACGAGAGGAAGACCAGCGAGATGAAGGGAGGCGGTGGAGGGGACACCTGGAGGGGCTCCAACAGCCCCTCTTCCGGATCCCAACCGGACCCCCGCAACGGGGGAGCCAACCCCAACCTGGGACCATCTCAGAGGCCAGGCTCAGGGGGCTCTGGAGGCAAGAGCGATGGCCCATCAGGCTGGGGAGGCCCTCCATCCTCAGGCTGGGGGGAGCAGCCTGTCAACAAGGCCCCCAATGGTTCCGTCGGTGGCTGGGGGGAGCCCATGGCCCACGGCCCCAACACCACAAACAATGGCCCCAAGAGTGGAGGTCAATCCTGGGGTGTCCCTGAGGAGAAGTCCTCCCCTACCTGGGACGACGGGCCAGCCAAGACCCAGCAGAACCAGTCCCAGAGCTGGGGAGAGGGGCCAAAGTCCTCCTGCCACGGCTGGGGCTCCGGCCACGGAAGTGGCAGCCATGGCTCCAATGGGTCCAACGGCTCCAATGGAGGAGAATGGAGAGAACCGGACGAGGTGAAGAAGAATGGATCCTCCAGCAGCATGTGGGAAGGAGAAGGAGGAAATGGACGAGGAGGAGGAGGGTGGAAGGACAGCCCCAGAGGAGGTGGAGGAAATGGGGGCGGCTGGGCGTCGAAGCCTGCCCCTGCTGTTGGAGGTGGTGGCTGGGGGGAGACCCAGCACCCCAATGGCCCAGCACCAGGATGGGGCTCCAAGCCCCAGGAAAGCCCCAACGGCCCAGCACCAGGATGGGGCTCCAAACCCCAGGAAAGCCCCAACGGCCCAGCACCAGGATGGGGCTCCAAACCCCAGGAAAGCCCCAACGGCCCAGCACCAGGATGGGGCTCCAAACCCCAGGAAAGCCCCAACGGCCCAGCACCTGGATGGGGATCCAAACCCCAGGAAAGCCCCAACGGCCCAGCACCAGGATGGGGCTCCAAGCCCCTGGAAAGCCCCAATGGTCCATCCCCAGGATGGGGCTCCAAGCCTCAAGAAAGCCCCAACGGCAACAGTGTTGGAGGTGGACCAGGAGGAGGCAGCATGGGGTCCTGGGGCGGCCCTGCATCGGTGAGGCAGAGTTCCAACCCCGGCTGGGGCCCGGGGAGCTCCGGAGCCAAACCCGACCCAGCGATGGAGCCCACCGGCTGGGAGGAACCCTCTCCTCCCTCCATCCGCCGCAAGATGGAGATAGATGACGGCACGTCCACCTGGGGAGACCCCAGCGCTTACAACAAGACCGTGAACATGTGGGACCGGAACAACCCCACTGGCGGTAACGGTAACCAAGGCAACAACCCCACCCAGCCGCCGACCAGTAAGAGCAACGGAGGCATGGCCGTCAACAACAGCAACAACAACCACTCCTCCGTCCCCCCTAGCAACAACAATCACCATCACCACCACGGACAGCCCCCGCCACACAGCCAGCACCATGGCAACAACAATGGATCTCCCAACACCGCCGCCCCGCACCACGGTGGAGGACCCCAGGGCAGACCACCAATGGCCAACCCAGGTAAGAAGCTGACCCCACTCACTGTCTGAAATGTCTATTAAACTGGGTATTATGCACCGCTGTAATGTTTAGTGGTAAAGCCCTGTGATTAACCTATACTGGAAAGACTTCAAATGAGACATTCTATTAATATTTAGGTATTACACATTCCCCAAAGTAGAATTTAGTGTTATCCCATAAGATATAATCTTATGTCAAAGGAAATATCGAATGTTCAAGTATATATTTTGCCATTGAATATTAGTGCTGAGCAATTAACCAAAACGTTTGTTATTTTTCGTTTTTTAAACAACTAATTGAGCGACTTGGTTCAATTATTTAAATTCCATTTTGTTTGGGGGTTTTCTGTGATCTCAATGCACACATTGCACAGTTTCTCTAGAGATGAAACAGATTAAGCCCGAACTGTGTGATCGAGAGGGATAGAGAACAGAGGGATAGAGAACAGTTGCTTTCATCAGTCATAAAAGTATGCCTTATTTACTTTGAAGAACTACAAAATAGTGATTTTGTCAGACCGCATAGGCAGTAGCTCTATAGAGTCATCAAATAAAACAAATGTAATATACACAACTTAAATATTTTAGTAAAGTAATGTGAATAAATGATGGTTAATAAGTATTAAGCAGTAATGGGCAGTCACTACCATCATGGGACTTTTACTAATTGTTTTATTCTGTTACAGCATTCAACCCACATAATGCATAGTGCATTTAATGTTTTTTTATAATCGAAACCGAACCTACCTCAAAAAGCATTAATCGCTCAGCATTACTGAACATGCACAATGCCAGGGCTTTTCAAGGCAGCCCACTGCATAGACAAAGCTTCAGTGAAAGCAGACTGTGGCAGGAAGGCACTGCTTTCACTAAAAGGTTATGGATGAGTGAGATCAGTGCCCCCTGCTGTTTATCTCTATGTACAACCCCAGTAACCAGAGACTGATCAGCCAGGCTTGGCACACACTGCTCTAGTCACAGTGCTCCTCAGTGGACTCAGCCAGCTCAGACAAGAGGATCTGGGAGCTTGGCCAGGAGTTAAACAGTCATGGCTGCCGTCCTCCTCCCCTCTCCCTCCTTCCCTGCCCCTCTCCCTCCTTCCCTGCCTCTCTCCCTCCTTCCCTGCCCTCTCTCTCGCCTTCCCTGCCTCTCTCTCTCCTTCCCTGCCCCTCTCTCCTCCTTCCCTGCCTCTCTTCCTCCTTCCCTGCCTCTCTCCCTCCTTCCCTGCCTCTCTCTCTCCTTCCCTGCCTCTCTCTCTCCTTCCCTGCCTCTCTCCTCCTTCCCTCCCTCTCTCCCTCCTTCCTGGCCAAACTCTTCTGTCGGAGCCTGAAAGCCCTCTGACTATATATAGCAGCATCATGGCACTGCGTCAACCTATGCTTACGTCCAAAATGGCACCCTATTCCCTATATAGAGCCCTATGGGCCTTGGTCAAAAGTAGTACACATATAGAGAATAGGGTGCCATTTGGGACAGCGCTGTATTGCCTCTGATTAACATGTTACAACTTGGCTCACTGTTTTACAAGGAGGAAAAGCCTGAGGATTGGAGAATAGAATGGGGTGTAGCGCAAGTAAATGAATGGAAGCTAGCACACGCTGTTCCTCAGTAGTTTTATGGTTACATTTTCATCAATAAAGGAACCAGTTAGTTGGCAGTAAAACTAGACTGCCAGACTGCAATTGCTAACAATATGTCCGATCACTGTTTGCTGGTCTTGTAAGTGAATATACTTGCAATAAAGTGATGCACACATGACTTTAAAGCATACATTATCAATATGACCTACCCTCTCCTCTCCCAGGCTGGGGGGAGCTGCCCAGTGTCCAGCAGCCCAAGCCAGAGCCGGCGTGGGGGGAGCCCGCTGGCCCCTCTCCTGCAGTGGACAACGGCACCTCTGCCTGGGGTAAACCCCCTGGTGTTCCTGGAGGCTGGGGCGATGGGGGGCACGGGGGGCACGAGCCCAATGGACCCTACAGGAGGGGCAACAACGGACCCTCTGGACCTGCACCCTGCAAGCCAGGTTAGGACCACACCCTGTTGGTATACAAACATAGTCAATACACACTCACTTACTCATCTTATCAGTAAACTACAGAAATACAAAAACAAATACTCAATTGTGTTTTTAAGCACCTGAATGTTTCTGTTAAAGCTTTGCTTTTCTAGTTGAGTCTTGAAGAACATGGTGTCACTAGAGGTTTCCCTTGTGCTAATTATGCTATTGCATGCTTCGATCAATTTGGTAATTGTTGGGTTTTTGTGCCTTTTTTAAATGATTTTTATACAAGGAAGTCAAACAAGAAATGGATGTACTTGCGTGACAATACTGACACCAAGTGGTTGCATTGCCAATTGCACGCAAGGGGGTTGCCCTTGATTTTTGCAAGCAGTCAAAACTCAAATCAAAGTTTATTGGTCATGTGCACATGGTACAGTGAAATGCTTGCTTGTCAACGTGTTATGGTTACACTCAAAAGACTGCAGTATATTGATATAGCAGAGACACAAATACTAAGGTTAGCTTGAGACTACAGTCAGATTTCAGTGAACAAGCTATATTACAAGAAGGCACTTTCTAAATTGTTTTTACTTGGTGATCATCTACGTGATATTCACATTTGCCTTGCACTGCTCCTCTTCAAGCCCCCAAATCTATGCAAGATGGCTGGGGAGGCGGGAGAGAGGAGGAGATGGGCATGTCTTCTGGCCAATGGGATGCTGACGCTGGCGACATGTGGAACAGCCCTGCCTCCCAGGAGAGCAGCTCTTCCTGTAACTCGTGGGGCCATCCGCTCAAGAAGGGCCCACCCAAGGGCAAGATGGGCAACCAGCCAGATGAAGCCTGGATCATGAACCGTCTCATCAAGCAGCTCACTGACATGGGCTTCCCGGTATGAATTTGATTAATTTTGCAATGTCAGAATCAGACCTGGGTTCAATTACTATTTGATATTTTACAATTACTTTTGCTCCAGCCTCCTGGAGTGCCAGATGGACAGGGTTTGCGGTTTTGGGACCGTTCTTTTGTCCATTAATCCAGGCAATTTCAGTCAAGCACAGACAAAGTATTTGAAATGATTTCAAATTGTGTTTGAACCCAGGTCTGATCAGAATCCATGTATTTAAATGTATGTATCAAGCATGTAGTCAGTGTGTTGTGTAGTTGAGGTTGTCACTGACTCATGTTGTCGTTGTGTTACAGAGGGATCCTGCCGAGGAGGCTCTGAAGAGCAACAACATGAACCTAGACCAGGCCATGAGTAGGTTTCTCCCTGAGTGTGTGTGTCTGACTGTGTGCGCGCACATCTACGTGTGTTTCTGCTTGTTGCTGTGTATGTGTATTCCATATTTGTCTGACCGTTTGTCTCTCTCTACCAAGGCGCTCTGTTGGAGAAGAAGACCGAACTGGACAAGCGGGGCATGGGCATGTCGGACTACAACAACGGGATGAACAAGCCGTTGGGTTGCCGTCCCCAGGCCTTCTCCAAAGACCCCTCCTCGGACCGCAGCCCATTCCTAGACAAGGTACTATATGACTGCCACTAGTATTGTATCAGAAATCAACAGCAGTTATGTCCAGTAGAAACACAACTAGTATAATGCATTTCCGTTGATGAAGGATTAAACTACAAACACACGTGCCAATGAAAAATGAATGGTGTAAATAGAGGTCTTGTTAGAGTTTTTCAGTCCCACTTTATCTTATTACCCATGTTGGGATTATGAGAAGTTTACAGAATCCTTTGTAAAACGTGCCATACAAAATAAGTGATTGATTAACTTAAATGATTTACTGATTGACTGAAACTGACTGACTGTTCTTCTCTCCCTCCTCCCTGGTTCCAGGATGGTGGTCTGTCAGACGACGCCCCCCCCTCACCGTTTATGCCTTCTCCTGTCAGCCTGAAGCTCCCCCTGGTTAACAACCTGCAGCCTGGGCAGGGCCTGGGCTCCCCGGGGCTCAACATGCAAAACTTGAACAACAGACAGGTACGGGGGTTAAACGCATGTGCTGCACGTGTAGCGGACATGAGTCAGGCTCACAGTCTCGTAATGAGGTAGCCCTTCCTGCGATTAGTGTCACGCTCGGCCCAAAAGCAAGTGTCCTATTATGGCTACCGGTTAAGACGTTGGTTCAGGTCCGTCCTGTGACACATACACACAAATAGGTATACAGTAACAACCACAACCACATTTACTGTACGTAGGTATACAGTAGCACCCACAAACACACATGTACATTATGACAATCTCTCTCACACACACACTTCAGGAACCCATTGCCAGGAACTGGAGAATAGCCTCAATATGCGACACTAAAGAGAAAACACTTTGAACGAAGTTGAGAATACCATTCAGCTCGCCACCACTGTCTCAAGTGTTGTTGCGTCCATAACCTTGCCTGGAGTGCCCATTGAAATGGGATAGTTTTTGTGTTGTCAACGTTACAGAGAGGAGCTACCATAGAAATAAGAGTCCTTTATAGAAAATAAGAGTCCTTGAAAGCCCAACAAAGCACTGTAACTCTGTCATAAGTGTTGAATTGAATAACTTCTTTCCTGACACTGAACATAATTCTCAGTACCTGTGGCCCATTTTCCTTTATTGGCATATTGCTGGAGGCATTTAAAGAGCACTATCATTTAATCACAATCACCATTTAATCCAACTGAAGGCACTCCAAATGTGCCAGTTTCTCTAGTATTGGTCAGTGGTTCAGGAAGGTAGACCTTAAGTTTTCAACTATTTTCTTTCAAATGGACCCTGGATGATTTGGTAAATGGTGGAGAAGTAAGCTGATCGTTACAGTAGTATCTTGTCTTTATTTGTGGGCCAATACCTGAGTTGTATTGTGAGGGACATCCTATTCATCGGCAGTCTGTGTAGGGAATGAGTGATTTCCATGTCAACTCTTATTGACATTCTGTCATTTCCTCTCCTGTGTGTGTGTGTGTGTGTGTGTGTGTGTGTCTAGATGCAGAGTGGAATGTTTGGCAGTAGCGGAGCAGCACTATCCCGGGCCATGCAGCAGCCTCCTCCTCAGCCGTCAGTGCCGCCTCTCGGCTCCTCCCAGCCTAGTCTACGCGCTCAAGTGCCTCAGTTTCTCACCCCTCAGGTACACACACACACACACACACACACACACACACACACACACTATACCTCAGCGAAGTTTCTCTCCGTTCACACACACCACCTTGTTTTCTTTCCCCCAGCCTCAGGCTCTCCTCATGACTCCTTTACTCTGCTGTTTGAAGATACTTTGAGGTGTTCTGACAAACCTCTCATCTCCTCTCTCTGTCTCCTTGTCCTCCCCTCCAGGTTCAAGCACAGCTCTTGCAGTTTGCCGCAAAAAACATTGGTCTGAACCCTGCACTTTTAACCTCACCAATAAACCCTCAACAAATGACCCTGTTGTACCAACTTCAGCAACTGCAAATGGTGAGTCAAAGGCAAAGGCCCCTGTCTGCATTAGAAACAGGGTTCGTACTAACCGAACCAGACAGGATGGGCCTGTCTGCATTAGAAACAGGGTTTGTACTAACCGAACCAGACAGGATGGGCCTGTCTGCATTAGAAACAGGGTTTGTACTAACCGAACCAGACAGGATGGGCCTGTCTGCATTAGAAACAGGGTTTGTAATAGCTGAACCAGACAGGATGGGCTATTCTTATTGTATTTTTTATGGACACTCTCAGGGTACCCCACAGTCTTTTGGATAAGGTGATGACCCTTTCTCTCTCTCTTTCTTTTCATCTTTCTTTCTCTCTCTTTTTTCTTTCTCTCTCTTTGCCTCTCTCTCTCTGTTTCTAGGCGTACCAGCGTTTACAAATCCAACAGCAAATGATGCAAGCTCAGCGCAACGTATCCGGCCCCATCAGACAACAGGAGCAGCAAGTAAGAGGCCCCTGTTTCAACCCCTATACATTCTCATCACTATGTGTGACCCTCTGGGTCGTTCCATTTGATTTTAATCACTTTTTGACCCCACCCCTTTTGATTTTGAATAAAACTTTCCATACGTACAGTTGAAGTCGGAAGTTTACATACACTTAGGTTGGAGTCATTAAAACTCGTTTTTCAACCACTCCACAAATTTCTTGTTAACAAACTATTGTTTTGGGAAGTCGGTTAGGACATCTACTGTGTGCATGACACAAGTAATTTTTCCAACAATTGTTTACAGACAGATTATTTCACTTATAATTCACTGTATCACAATTCCAGTGAGTCTGAAGTTTACATACACTAAGTTGACTGTGCCTTTAAACAGCTTGGAAAATTCTAGAAAATGATGTCATGGCTTTAGAAGCTTCTGATAGGCTAATTGACATAATTTGAGTCAATTGGAGGTGTACCTGTGGATGTATTTCAAGGCCTACCTTCAAACTCAGTGCCTCTTTGCTTGTCATCATGGGAAAATCAAAAGAAATCAGCCAAGACCTCAGAAAAAAATGTGTAGACCTCCACAAGTCTGGTTCATCCTTGAGAGCAATTTCCAAACGCCTGAAGGTACCACGTTCATCTGTACAAACAATAGTATGCAAGTATAAACACCATGGGACCACGTAGCCGTCATACCGCTCAGGAAGGAGACACGTTCTGTCTCCTAGAGATGAACGTACTTTGGTGCGAAAAGTGCAAATCAATCCCAGAACAACAGCAAAGGACCTTGTGAAGATGCTGGAGGAAACGGGTACAAAAGTATCTGTATCCACAGTAAAACGAGTCCTATATCGACATAACCTGAAAGGCTGCTCAGCAAGGAAGAAGCCACTGCTCCAAAACCGCCATAAAAAAGCCAGACTACGGTTTGCAACTGCACATGGGGACAAAGATCTTACTTTTTGGAGAAATGTCCTCTGGTCTGATGAAACAAAAATAGAACTGTTTGGCCATAATGACCATCATTATGTTTGGAGGAAAAAGGGGAAGGCTTGCAAGCCGAAGAACACCATCCCAACCGTGAAGCACAGGGGTGGCAGCATCATGCTGTGGGGGTGCTTTGCTGCAGGAGGGACTGGTGCACTTCACAAAATAGATGGCATCATGAGGAAGGAAAATTATGTGGATATATTGAAGCAACATCTCAAGACATCAGTCAGGAAGTTAAAGCTTGGTCGCAAATGGGTCTTCCAAATGGACAATGACCCCAAGCATACTTCCAAAGTTGTGGCAAAATGGCTTAAGGACAACAAAGTCAAGGTATTGGAGTGGCCATCACAAAGCCCTGACCTCAATCCTATAGAAAATGTGTGGGCAGAACTGAAAAGGCGTGTGCGAGCAAGGAGGCCTACAAACCTGACTCAGTTACACCAGCTCTGTCAGGAGGAATGGGCCAAAATTCACCCAACTTATTGTGGGAAGCTTGTGGAAGGCTACCTGAAACGTTTGACCCAAGTTAAACAATTTAAAGGCAATGCTACCAAATACTAATTGAGTGTATGTAAACCTCTGACCCACAGGGAATGTGATGAAAGAAATAAAAGCTGAAAGAAATCGTTCTCTCTACTATTATTCTGACATTTCACATTCTTAAAATAAAGTGGTGATCCTAACTGACCTAAGACAGGGAATTGTTACTAGGATTAAATGTCAGGAATTGTGAAAAACTGAGTTTAAATGTATTTGGCTAAAGTGTATGTGAACTTCCGACTTCAACTGTATTTGCCCATGGTAGAATTGGTCAGAAAGTGAGAAGATGGAGGTGCTCAAAGTTTACCCATTTTGCCTTACCTACATCCATGTCTTCATCACTGGAAAAGATAAACGGTTGAGTTTGATATGATTTAAAAGCTTACAAACTATTTTATAATTTCAAGAAATAAATGTTTTTTTATACAAAATAATAATATCCTTTAATGTCAATTATCTAAAAACCGCATATTTTGTCATTTAGACCCTCTATGACATCATCTGAGTTTTTTTTTTGTGCCTGCCATTGGTTGAGACACAGCATGCTCTTGAATACTGGGTGGGTGTCATTTCAATCATAGAAATAGAATGGACATATCCCTTCAAACTGGTGATAATTACCTGGTACATCATTGACATTTGAATTGAAATGTTTACTTCCAATTACTACGACAAAGATGGCCGCCGGTCCACCATCGACTGTCAACATAAATGTCTATTCTATTATTTATATTATTTCAATAGGTTTCCTATGGAAGACATACAGTATAATATAAAACTGATATTCCCATTCAAGTCAACATTCTCTGATGTGTGGACCTCCAACCATCTTTGTGCTACCATTTGAAAGTGAAATGTAAAATGTATTCCCATTTTAGAACATCCACCCTGTATTCAAGAACATGCTGTGTCTCAAACACCTCAGATGATTTCAAATAGGGTCTAAGCTACAAAATATGCGAAAATGAAAATAATCAGTTTACAAATGTAAAAATGACGATTAAAAAATGTATAATCATACTATAGATATGATGTGCTATAATTTGTATTGTTTATTATGAGTGTTGAAATAGACCGGATATGCTTACTTAAAGCTGCGTGTGAGTCAGGAGAAATGTGTTTATCAAAAGCATCTCCAGTTGCTCAAACTTGCTATTTCTCCAGAATGGATAGAGAAGTGGTTACAGAAGCCGGCTGCTTGTGTGGTTGGATCCTCTTTTCTTGCAAAAATGGGAACTTCTGTAAAATAATCTGTGATAAGACACTAAAGCACGGTTTCCCAAACACTTTTGGCACACCACCCAATTTTGATATCTGAACATTCTCGCGACCCCAACCATGTGATTAACAGCCAATGTTTACTTTTTTTATTGGGGCTATGGCAGTCAATTGCAAAACATTCTAACAGTTTTTCTGATTGTATTCGCAACTCGGCATCATATACAGTGGGGAGAACAAGTATTTGATACACTGCCGATTTTGCAGGTTTTCCTACTTATAAAGCATGTAGAGGTCTGTAATCCAGAAAATCACATTGTATGATTTTTAAGTAATTAATTTGCATTTTATTGCATGACATACAGTGGGGGGAAAAAAGTATTTAGTCAGCCTCCAATTGTGCAAGTTCTCCCACTTCAAAAGATGAGAGAGGCCTGTAATTTTCATCATAGGTACACGTCAACTATGACAGACAAATTGAGGGAAAAAAATCCAGAAAATCACATTGTAGGATTTTTTATGAATTTATTTGCAAATTATGGTGGAAAATAAGTATTTGGTCACCTACAAACAAGCAAGATTTCTGGCTCTCACAGACCTGTAACTTCTTCTTTAAGAGGCTCCTCTGTCCTCCACTCGTTACCTGTATTAATGGCACCTGTTTACATTTACATTTACATCATTTAGCAGACGCTCTTATCCAGAGCGACTTACAGTTAGTGAATACATTTTATTTATTTATTTTTTATACTGGCCCCCCGTGGGAATCAAACCCACAACCCTGGCGTTGCAAACACCATGCTCTATCAACTGAGCTACATCCCTGCCGGCCATTCCCTCCCCTACCCTGGACGACGCTGGGCCAATTGTGCGCCGCCCATGAGTCTCCCGGTCGCGGCCGGCTGCGACAGAGCCTGGATTCGAACCAGGATCTCTAGTGGCACAGTTAGCACTGCGATGCAGTGCCTTAGACCACTGCGCCACTCAGGAGACATATAAAAGACACCTGTCCACAACCTCAAACAGTCACACTCCAAACTCCACTATGGCCAAGACCAAAGAGCTGTCAAAGGACACCAGAAACAAAAGTGTAGACCTGCACCAGGCTGGGAAGACTGAATCTGCAATAGGTAAGCAGCTTGGTTTGAAGAAATCAACTGTGGGAGCAATTATTAGGAAATGGAAGACATACAAGACCACTGATAATCTCCCTCGATCTGGGGCTCCACGCAAGATCTCACCCCGTGGGGTCAAAATGATCACAAGAACGGTGAGCAAAAATCCCAGAACCACATGGGGGGACATAGTGTATGACCTGCAGAGAGCTGGGACCAAAGTAACAAAGCCTACCATCAGTAACACACTATGCCGCCAGGGACTCAAATCCTGCAGTGCCAGACGTGTCCCCCTGCTTAAGCCAGTACATGTCCAGGCCTGTCTGAAGTTTGCTAGAGTGCATTTGGATGATCCAGAAGAGGATTGGGAGAATGTCATATGGTCAGATGAAACCAAAATAGAACTTTTTGGTAAAAACTCAACTTGTCGTGTTTGGAGGACAAAGAATGCTGAGTTGCATCCAAAGAACACCATACCTACTGTGAAGCATGGGGGTGGAAACATCATGCTTTGGGGCTGTTTTTCTGCAAAGGGACCAGGACGACTGATCCGTGTAAAGGAAAGAATGAATGGGCCCATGTATCGTGAGATTTTGAGTGAAAACCTCCTTCCATCAGCAAGGGCATTGAAGATGAAACGTGGCTGGGTCTTTCAGCATGACAATGATCCCAAACACACCGCCCGGGCAACGAAGGAGTGGCTTCGTAAGAAGCATTTCAAGGTCCTGGAGTGGCCTAGCCAGTCTCCAGATCTCAACCCCATAGAAAATCTTTGGAGGGAGTTGAAAGTCCGTGTTGCCCAGCGACAGCCCCAAAACATCACTGCTCTAGAGGAGATCTGCATGGAGGAATGGGCCAAAATACCAGCAACAGTGTGTGAAAACCTTGTGAAGACTTACAGAAAACGTTTGACCTGTGTCATTGCCAACAAAGGGTATATAACAAAGTATTGAGAAACTTTTGTTATTGACCAAATACTTATTTTCCACCATAATTTGCAAATAAATTCATTAAAAATCCTACAATGTGATTTTCTAGATTTCTTTTTCTCATTTTGTCTGTCATAGTTGACGTGTACCTATGATGAAAATTACAGGCCTCTCTCATCTTTTTAAGTGGGAGAACTTGCACAATTGGTGGCTGACTAAATACTTTTTTTCCCCACTGTAAGTATTTGATCACCTACCAACCAGTAAGAATTCCGGCTCTCACAGACCTGTTTGTTTTTCTTTAAGAAGCCCTCCTGTTCTCCACTCATTACCTGTATTAACTGCACCTGTTTGAACTCATTACCTGTATAAAAGACACCTGTCCACACACTCAATCAAACAGACTCCAACCTCTCCACAATGGCCAAGACCAGAGAGCTGTGTAAGGACATCAGGGATAAAATTGTAGACCTGCACAAGGCTGGGATGGGCTACAGGACAATAGGCAAGCAGCTTGGTGAGAAGGCAACAACTGTTGGCGCAATTATTAGAAAATGGAAGAAGTTCAAGATGACGGTCAATCACCCTCGGTCTGGGGCTCCATGCAAGATCTCACCTCGTGGGGCATCAATGATCATGAGGAAGGTGAGGGATCAGCCCAGAACTACACGGCAGGACCTGGTCAATGACCTGAAGAGAGCTGGGACCACAGTCTCAAAGAAAACCATTAGTAACACACTACACCGTCATGGATTAAAATCCTGCAGCGCACGCAAGGTCCCCCTGCTCAAGCCAGCGCATGTCCAGGCCCGTCTGAAGTTTGCCAATGACCATCTGGATGATCCAGAGGAAGAATGGGAGAAGGTCATGTGGTCTGATGAGACAAAAATAGAGCTTTTTGGTCTAAACTCCACTCGCCTTGTTTGGAGGAAGAAGAATGATGAGTACAACCCCAAGAACACCATCCCAACCGTGAAGCATGGAGGTGGAAACATCATTCTTTGGGGATGCTTTTCTGCAAAGGGGACAGGACGACTGCACCGTATTGAGGGGAGGATGGATGGGGCCATGTATCGCGAGATCTTGGCCAACAACCTCCTTCCCTCAGTAAGAGCATTGAAGATGGGTCGTGGCTGGGTCTTCCAGCATGACAACGACCCGAAACACACAGCCAGGGCAACTAAGGAGTGGCTCCGTAAGAAGCATCTCAAGGTCCTGGAGTGGCCTAGCCAGTCTCCAGACCTGAACCCAATAGAAAATCTTTGGAGGGAGCTGAAAGTCCGTATTGCCCAGCGACAGCCCCGAAACCTGAAGGATCTGGAGAAGGTCTGTATGGAGGAGTGGGCCAAAATCCCTGCTGCAGTGTGTGCAAACCTGGTCAAGACCTACAGGAAACGTATGATCTCTGTAATTGCAAACAAAGGTTTCTGTACCAAATATTAAGTTCTGCTTTTCTGATGTATCAAATACTTATGTCATGCAATAAAATGCAAATTAATTACTTAAAAATCATACTATGTGATTTTCTGGATTTTTGTTTTAGATTCCGTCTCTCACAGTTGAAGTGTACCTATGATAAAAATTACAGACCTCTACATGCTTTGTAAGTAGGAAAACCTGCAAAATCGGCAGTGCATCAAATACTTGTTCTCCCCACTGTACTTTTAATGTGGGGCTATGAGAGTCAATTGCAAATTAGTTTGACATAATTGATATCTCACCACCACTAATGAGATGGGTGTGCTTGATGCGTGTCGCGTCTGAGCTTCTCAAAGTCAGGGGCCATGGTCGACAGTGCGCACCTCATCTCTCCTGTCACATCCAACCTGGATTTATATTTGTTTTTAATGCAGACGAGAGCACTGAATCGGCATACTATGGGTTTTAATGCTCAGAGGGAGACGGCACAGTATTTCCTTTGAGTCAGGAACCAAAACTCCTCCATAGTGACCCGTGAATGCGATGTCTGCAACATTCGGTCACATCAGCTCGATCAGCTGTTCGATTTCACTTACCGACATGTCACCTGAGCCAGGATCACAAACGGATTTCGCTGATTCGGTCACTCATCTGTAGATTTTTTTTTTGTATTTGCCCTGCATGCTTGCGTTCAGTTCGTTCAGTTTCCCAAATATGTCTGTTACATAGGCAAGGAGACAAAAAAAAATGTAATTACACAAAGTCAACGTACTGTTTTTTACATCCATTGCGAATGACAATTCCTCTCAATTCAAAAAAATCTTTCCAACACCCCCTCGATAACCACCAAGCCTTGGTGTGAAATGAAACATTGTCATGCTCTGATCCCATATCTCCACATAGTTTTGCGCGATGTAGTTTACAATCGAAGTTACCTGCTGCATATCGCTGAGTTCTGCGCTCAGCCCTTTTGCCACCAGTTGCTGTCGGTGTATCCATTATAGCTCAGTGGGTGTATCATACAATGCGTCTATATGGCAGAGGGAGACACATTCATAATTAGAGTAGAATCCATTTTTCGTCAATATAGCCACGCAGCGCACTGAACATCACCTGTGCTGTTTCATGCTCGGGAATCATGAGACAGAACATAATGTCCTCGTGAATAGCATCCCCCGACATGTAGGGAACTAAAGTCAATGCGTGGGCATCTCTGCCCTCACAGCTAATGTCCATTTGGAGAGCATAAGGTGGGGAGTTTGAGTCGTTCAGTCAGTTTCCTCTTGATTGCTAGCTATAGCATCAATTCTTAGTTTCACAGTGATATCGGACAAAGGTATTGATGTGATTTTCTGTGCCTCTGGCTCCCCACACATTGTTTTCACCATATCAATTGTGGTCGGTAATATCAGTCTCTACAATAGTGTGTGGTTTCAGCCATTCACTGTGGCAATGATTCAAGTGCAACGGTCAAGTGCAGCCTTTTCCCACGACCTAAGGGCGCTCTCTGGTTGAATTTTTACTTTTAGATTTGAATAATTTTCATTTAGATTTTTTAGGTTAACCACATTTACAATGATTTTGAGAGACAAAGCTGACCCCATTTTCATAGACCCCTAGTTTGGGAAGCGCTGCACTAAAGGCAGTCTAAGTGACTTGACTGTTGATGAGGTGCTGATTGTAGGAGTCATGTCATGGGTCTGTTGGACTTATACCCCCTCTCTCTCTCTCTCTCTCTTCTCTCTCTCTTTTTCTCTCTCTCTCTTTTTCTCTTTTTCTTTCTTTCCCCCTTCCCCTCCAGGTTGCACGTACAATCAATAACATGCAGCAACAGATCCAACAGCACCAGCGTCAGCTGTACCAGGCCCTGCTGATGAAGCAGCAGCCCCCCGGCTCCCACTCCTCCTCCGGCCTGCACCCTGGCCAAGGCAAATCAGCCCTGGACTCGTTCCCAGGCCACCCCCAGGCTCCGGGCCTCTCCGACCTGCACACCAAAGAGCCGCAGTCTTCTCCCAACTCCTACAGCCCCTACCCCCTCTGTGAGTCTAGCACACAGATCTACACTCACACACGCACTCCTTCAGCCCTTACGCTCTCTTTACACCTCTCTCAAACTAGCTGTTTGTATAGCTAGTAAGTATTATATACGTCAATATACAGTTGAAGTCGGAAGTTTACATACACCTTAGCCAAATACATTTAAACTCAGTTTTTCACAATTCCTGACATTTTATCCTAGTAAAACTTCCCTGTCTTAGTTCAGTTACGATCACCAGTTTTATTTTAAGAATGTGAAATGTCAGAATAATAGTAGAGAGTGATTTATTTCAGCTTTTGTTTATTTCTTCACATTCCCAGTGGGTCAGAAGTTTACATACACTCAATTAGTATTTGGTAGCATTGCCTTTAAATTGTTTAACTTGGGTCAAACGTTTCAGGTAGCCTTCCACAAGCTTCCCACAATAAGTTGGGTGAATTTTGGCCCATTCCTCCTGACAGAGCTGGTGTAACTGAGTCAGGTTTGTAGGCCTCCTTGCTCGCACACGCCTTTTCAGTTCTGCCCACACATTTTCTATAGGATTGAGGTCAGGGCTTTGTGATGGCCACTCCAATACCTTGACTTTGTTGTCCTTAAGCCATTTTGCCACAACTTTGGAAGTATGCTTGGGGTCATTGTCCATTTGGAAGACCCGTTTGCGACCAAGCTTTAACTTCCTGACTGATGTCTTGAGATGTTGCTTCAATATATCCACATAATTTTCCTTCCTCATGATGCCATCTATTTTGTGAAGTGCACCAGTCCCTCATGCAGCAAAGCACCCCCACAGCATGATGCTGCCACCCCCGTGCTTCACGGTTGGGATGGTGTTTTTCGGCTTGCAAGCCCCCCCCCTTTTCCTCCAAACATAACGATGGTCATTATAGGCAAACAGTTATATTTTTGTTTCATCAGACCAGAGGACATTTCTCCAAAAAGTATCATCTTTGTCCCCATGTGCAGTTGCAAACCGTAGTCTGTTTTTTTTATGGCGGTTTTGGAGCAGTGGCTTCTTCCTTGCTGAGCGGCCTTTCAGGTTATGTCGATATAGGACTCGTTTTACTGTGGATATAGATACTTTTGTACCTGTTTCTTCCAGCATCTTCACAAGGTCCTTTGTTGTTCTGATTTGCACTTTTCGCACCAAAGTACGTTCATCTCTAGGAGACAGAACGCATCTCCTTCCTGAGCGGTATGACAACTGCGTGGTCCCATGGTGTTTATACTTGAGTACTATTGTTTGTTCAGATGAATGTGGTACCTTCAGGCATTTGGAAATTGCTCCCAAGGATGAACCAGACTTGTGTAGGTCTACAATTGTATTTCTGAGGTCTTGGCTGATTTCTTTTGATTTTCCCATGATGTCAAGCAAAGAGGCACTGAGTTTGAAGGTAGGCCTTGAAATGCATCCACAGGTACACCTCCAATTGACTCAAATGATGTCAATTAGCCTATCAGAAGCTTCTAAAGCCATGACATCATTTTCTGGAATTTTCCAAGCTGTTTAAAGGCACAGTCAACTTAGTGTATGTAAACTTCTGACCCACTGGAATTGTGATACAGTGAATTATAAGAGATATAATCTGTCTGTAAACAATTGTTGGAAAAATTACTTGTCATTCACAAAGGAGATGTCCTAACCGACTGTAAGTCCCTGCAATGTCCTACTTTATCTCTCTGGTTTGTGTTGAGCTGTGTATTCAATGTTCATGATTTTTTTCTCTTTTAGCTGGACTCAATCCAAACATGAATGTAAACTGCATGGAGGTGGGGGGCCTGTCCATGAAGGAGCCTCCCCAGCCCCAGTCCCGCCTGTCCCAGTGGACCCACCCCAACTCCATGGACAGCCTCTCTGGAAACTCCTCTCACATGGAGGCCAACCTCAATAAGCACGGTAGGAGGAACACTACGAACTGTATGACAAAGTCATATTCAATACAACAGTTTTTTCCCTCAGGGGCAATAAATATACATATACACGCTGTCAAACAAGAAATCAATCTATTAGTCATCTCGATAGGGAAATTGGGTTTGCTGCTCTCTTAGTAGTTTTCTTGTAAGAAATAGTAACTTTCAGTTGACTCGCGTTGAATGACAGTGTGACAAATAACATTTGATTAACGTATTTCACACCAACTCTCTCACAAGCCAACAAACAGACAGTCTCTGGGTTTCTTTCACACTGTTTTGCATTCACAACAGAGATGTTAACGCTGGAAATAAAACATGTGAGCCACAAACACCACCTCCCCTAACCTCTCCCACTGTGGAGCGAGCAACAAGCTGCTGTTCTGCCCTTTTTTATAGTAATCAATGTGTACCGGTAAACAGGCGTTGTCATTACTCGGAAGGCTTTTGTATGTTTCCACATGTCTCAATGATGAAACAGTGTGGGAAATCTCGTCTGGAAGTATTCAGTGTGAAATCAATTGTTTGTTTATCTCTTTAGTGTCTGACATTTAAAATGACTATCTATTTCTCAAATTATGTCTCACGTTGGTATTCATCTGGATGGATCCTTGAGACCCAGTGTTCCTTTTACTCTCCATACTCCACTAAGAGCAACACTGACAACCACTCTTACTTTGTCGTGTTTTTAAGCTTTCTATGATAAAAAAAAAAAAAAAAATGTTTGTACTCCAACGGCTGAGACATCTATACATGTATTTTAAATGTCAAAATACATTAATTAATTCCTTGTCCTAGGTGCCATTTCTGCTGCCTCTAACCTGGGTCCCCCTGGAAAGCCCCCCCACATGGATGACTCCTACAGCCCCTACAATATGATGGGTGGGTCTGAGTCCCCCACCTCCCCCCTGGTTCCCCCTGACAGCTGGGGCCAGGGACCGGGCAAGAGCCCCAAGGACCAGATCACCAACGGCACCAATATCAACTGGCCCCCAGGTTGGTAGCGAAGACAGACACTTCTAAATCCCTTTCAATCAGATCAAACTTTATTTCACACAAGATCATGACACACTTTAACGAAAGGGAGGATAAAGAAAAGAGAAACATACAACTATTTTGATAATTTGAGAGAAAATATTTAGAAAGGAAAACACGTATTTAAATTGTTCCCCACAACATCATGTGAGTTTAAAGGTTAAATAACCAATGTACTGACTGTATTGTCCTCCATGTTGTCTCCTCAGAGTTCTGTCCAGGCGTGCCCTGGAAGGGCCTGCAGAACATTGACCCTGAGAACGACCCCAACATGACCCCAGGAAGTGTTCCCAGCGGCCCCACCATCAACACCAACATCCAGGACGTCAACCGCTACCTGCTCCGGGACCGCAGTGGAGGTGAGGAAGGGGTCTATCAGGGAGACAGGGTCTGGAGTTACTTGCCTTTGTTAGGATGCACGGATCGTCAAATAGACTGTATACATTCATTAACAGGGCAGGTCTCTGCTGTTGATGCTCAAACAGGTTTTGACTTGTATTAATGTATTGACATTTCACTGTATTGACAACTTTTAGCTAATCCTATTCCTTTCCATGGCACTGAAGGGGTTACAGTACTACCTCACTTGTTGTGGCCGTGCCATCCAGTAGCACAGGCCCTATTGAATTGATACAGTTTCTTTAAATCAAGTTGTACATGTTTCTTTCCCCACCACCCCCTCTGTCCATAACAATGGGTCCCACGGCTAGGCTCTTCCCCTCCTTCACCACCTCAGAACGGTGCTCTGCCCCCCTCCAGCGACTGGCCAGTCAGTGGCTGCTACACTAGCTCTTTCAGTCTGTCCTCCCCGGATGAGGAGAGTGCAGGTACAGAGTACAGCCCCCCCCCCCAGCCCCTATGTGGACTTGCTGACCCCTTGACCACCATGCTTGACCCCCCTTTCCCCTAATTACCACCATAGCAACACACCTCTATCCTATTGTTTGTGTGTGTGGTCTGTGTTTGTTGATATGAGTGTTACGGTAGATAGGTCCTTCCTTTGCCTAATTGAATCCTACTACCCAGTGCTGGTGTATCAAGTGCTCCACAATGTGATTGCATTGTACTCCTCATGGAATGAAAAGTTTGAGTGTTTGAATCAAGAAATGCTTTGAATGTTGTGGCCCTAGACCCGTATGCATAAGCATGTGTTGACGTGAAATTGTTGTTGCAGTTAAGCAACCCACTTAGAATTGCTATGAAGTCTTGAAAAATGTCCCCTTTTTAAATGTCTGTTTTTACATTCATGTTTCCTGTAGAGTCTCCAATATGACTCCTATAAACCGATGAAGTCAAGATTGAGGTTTATTGTTGATGAACAAGTGTTAATATGGGGCTTCATTTTAAAACTTTGCATCTGCCCAAAGTTAGTTAGATTTCAAAGAAAATCTTTCTAATAACAGATTATAGGCCTACATAAATTGTCTCAATCTCTCATAGAACATAGGCTTCCATAGAGGGTCTCCATCTCTACAACAGTATCTCATATGTTCCCCTCTTTTCTCTCTCAGGTAAACTATCTGACATGAAGTCCACCTGGTCCCCGGGGCCCATCTCCCACCCCTCCCAGGCCTCTCTGTCCCACGAGCTGTGGAAGGTCCCCCAGGGGCCCCGCAACAACACAGCCCCCTCCAGGCCACCTCCGGGCCTCACCAACCCCACCAAGCCCTCTTCCACCTGGGGAGGAAACTCCTTGGGTCTGGCCCAAGGCTGGAGCAGTTCATACACCTCAGGTGAGATGCCACACTACAACTCCCCAGCCTGAAATATAGACCAGGGGAGTTACGCTGTAACAAGTGTAAAGACTAAAACCTGGTAATATACCTAGTAGAGGAAAATCAACTAACACTATGATCAGGGGTTTGGACTTAGTCGTTTTGAGATTGATTAAAAGTCAATTCATGACTTGATGCTCATTGAAAACCATTGAGTTGACCCTCGATTTCTGCCTACACTACCTTGTGCTTTGTCAACATCCTACACATTTACCTAAAGAAGCATAGCTTCTCCTATGTGTGGTCGCTGTATAGTGTGATGCTCCCCCACTATGTTTTATGCTCCTCTCCCCTCCTCACTCGCTGTAGTAAGGTGGAGTCAGACACACCTCGCTGTGGTTAGAGGCCCTTGTCTCACTGAAGTCTTGTGGTTTACCAGATAAGACTAAAGGATTGTTGTCATGGCTTCAAAGAGAACCGTAACTGTGTGACCTTATTTTTGCACGAGTCCTTAAGCTAACACTGATGTAAAAGTGCTTACATGAGACAATGTTCTCATGTTTTAAATGTGTTTTGAATAAAACATTTTTTATATTTTATAAATATATATTTTTTACAATAAACATGCATAGACAAAAACAATAGACAATTTAACATTTACATACATAGAAATATGTTTTCATCAATAGAAGACAAGTTATTGACCAAAAAGGATTTATTTATATTTTGTGTGGAACTGAATGTTGACTGATCATGTTTCTCTCAGAGGGCTCCACCTGGAGCACAGACAGCTCCAACAGGACCAGTAGCTGGCTGGTCCTGAGGAACCTCACCCCCCAGATAGACGGCTCCACCCTGCGGACGCTGTGCATGCAGCACGGCCCCCTCATCACATTCCACCTCTTCCTGACCCAGGGAAACGCTGTGGTGCGCTACAGCTCCAAGGAGGAGGCTGCCAAGGCCCAGAAGTCCCTGCACATGTAAGACTCCCATACTTGAAGGGAAAAACTACTCAAAACCACTCTGGATTTTGCATCGTCATGATGATGTGGCCGGTGACACTTTGCTTCTTGAAAGTCCAATATCTTGAAAGCTTGACTGCTGACATGCAAAACATTTTGGGACTGTGGACTAATAACAAAATATAGTTTTTGAGTGGATTTTCCCTTTAACCCATACTCTATGCTGTTCAGGGTAGTGATTATCTCCATCTAACCTAAAACAACACACAAAATATTGTCTCAACCTCCAGGCTATATACATCTCACTGACAAAATATCAACGCCTATTAGGAAATACTTGTACTGTACTTCACCACGTGTAAGAAAATACATTTTGATACTGTAACATCTGTAAGTATGTGATGTATAACTGAGTCCTTTCCTGCTCCTAGGTGTGTGCTGGGGAACACCACCATCCTGGCGGAGTTTGCCGGGGAGGAGGAGGTGAACCGCTACTTTGCACAAGGCCAGCAGCAGCAGCAGCTTCCGCCCACCACAAGCTGGCAGCCCAACCCCGGCACCAATCAGACGCGCATGGGCGGAGGCTCGCAGCAGCACGCTATTGGCCATCACTGGAGCAGCGGTGGTGGCGGCCTGGGGGGAGGAGCCAAGACGGGTGGAGGCGGAGACCTGCTGTGGGGGGGCGTGCCCCAGTACTCCAGCCTGTGGGGGCCCCCTAGTGGCGATGATAGTCGCGGTGTCATCGGGAGCCCCAACCCCATCAACACGCTGTTGCCAGGCGACCTGCTGAGTGGAGAGTCCATGTAGGACAACACACTAACTAACAAACCAACCATGAGGATGGATGTTTCACCGCTGGAACAGACAGTGGAAAAATTATAATAAATGCAAAAATACAAAAAAAAATTACAATGAACAGGAGCAAAACCAAGCAAATCATGTGGCGATAATCAGTATCAATGGAACTGTGAATCGTGTACCGGAAGGCTGGGGGCGACGACACAAGACTGCTGACCCCTACGCCCTTCGGTTTTTACGTTTTTTTTTCTTCTGTTTAGTTTTCTTTTTAAAGGGGGATTTCGTTTTTAGTATTTGATAAACGTTGATAAACAAATGAAATGCCGAAAAGACTCAATGAAGAGAGAACCATTAAGTGTTTTTAAGTTTCCCATGAATATCGCACATTCTGTGTGAAGTGTTTTTAAGGAGAAGCAATCGAAGAAGCTACCATTTTGAATATTTCCTTTGCTCCTGAAACTCCAAATTGATACAAAAAACTATCATTCCCAACATGCCCGTGGCCAATGATGTGGTTCAAATACCTTTTACTTATTATATTGTTTCATTTCTAAGCACTAATATTAGCCTTAAGTGCTCTACTGCGGCCCAGGTCCTCCTCCTTCAATATCAAGCCTTTTTCATTGTTTTGAAACTGAATTTTTTTTTAAATGCGTTTGAAAGCTTGCACAGTTCCCATCTGAGCCAGCGAATGGAACAGAACAAGTGTGATCAACCAAGGTCGTATTCATGAGGAACGAAATCCGAAGCAAGCGGACTGAAACAGAGAGGGACTACCTGAACTTTGTCCAATAAGAAACGCTTGTTTTCGCTTGCCGTTGCAAAACGTTTTGCCACCTGTGCACTAATGAAATGACCCCCAAATCACAGTATGAGGCCTGTCAACACTGACCCAACCAATCATCAGTTAAAACCTTTTCCGTTTTTTGGTCATTTGTTTGTTCTTAAAGGGATTTACACTGCTGTTTTTCTTCTTTTTGTATATCCAGGCGCATTTTTATAATATCTATCGCAACATAAGCTGAGATTATTACACATCGACCGACCTAGCTGCGCGTGTTTTATGTGTCTGATGGAACCTAATTATTCATGTCTGTGAGTTCAGATTACCACTGCTCAGAAGAACTACAACTTCAGCTATACTCACCTAACAGGACTTACAGGTGCTTCTTGTCAATTATTAACGTTATTAGTCGATTCCGTTGGTGACCCTCTCATCCCCATTGTGGTCCAACAGTTTCTGGAAACAACAACAACAAAACACGTCACCTTGACGTGACAGTTACATTGTGCAATATATATGCCACAGACCCTTCTTCCGTCCACACTCAAGTCAAAGCAGGAGCTGGTTTCTTTAAGTTTTTCGTTGTTGATTTTTGTTGTCGTTGTTGATCAAAGCAAAGAACTTAAGAACTACAGAAATGATACCGTTTCATATTTTTGATTCCCACCAGGCCCCCCCTCCTTGACCCCTGCCCCCCCTCCTTGACCCCTGCCCCCCCTGTTGGGTTAACTCTTGCGGAGAGGAGGAGCGAGGATGGTGTTACTATTATAACTGTGCGTTCAGAAACTGTCCCTGCAGCCCTGAAACTCCTCATACGTACACATTGAACTGGGGTACATGGAAAGCACCATCAGAAAGCCCTTCCTCTCCGTGTTGCCACACCGAACAGAGACTGAATCCAGATGGGGGACTCACTGGAGGGGCACTGGGCATCTGGCACAATACCAAATAAGAGGGGTTTGGCCTAATGCAGTAGATCTACTACGAGTGTTCCTTGTATTAGGTACTGTACATAAATGTAAAAGATAGACTAAGTAACCTTTTGTCTATTTCAAAGGGTTTTATCATAGCACTTATGAAGAGAGCTAAACGCTTCAACTTGCAATCCAATAAATCAGAAAAATGGAGCAGCAACTTTGAAAACTGAAAAAAAAGACAAAAAAAGAACTCTTGCTCTTTTTTTTGTACTGTATCTATACTTGGAAATAACTTCTGGCATTTAAGTTTGTTCCTCTTTGGTCCAAGGACTTGTATGAACTTTGAAATGGTAGCAGGATGAAGAGAAACTAAACAAAACAAAAAAAAGGAAATCAAATTCTATCGGACAAAAAAAAGTCTGCAGTGCGATTTTTTTTTCTTTTCTTCTAAATACATTTTCTTTGAACTATATCAAAGTGAATATCACTGTTACTCCAAAATGTTTAGCCTTTTTCTTGTCTGGAGACGCTAGACATGCAATGTTACTTGTCTCCGGCCAACGGTCGGTCGGAGTGGGGAGGGGGACGGTCACGGTCCACTGAGTGCCTCTCTGCTGTGGTGCCCATGGCGACGGTCGCTAGGCAAGGCTACCCCCACTGCAGCAATTCCTCCTGGGCTGGCACCAAGCTCTCCCATTGGACCCCCTCAGCCTGGCAGGAAACCACGCTCCCTCCAAGACTGGCCAATCAGCACGGAGCTAGCTAGCTAACGACCGCGCCAGCAGCACTCGACCTTGTCTCAACCAACCCTCTCCATTTCCCCTCATCTTCTTTCACACAAAGATCACTTTAGCTGGAAGTCAAGAGACAGTCAAATTTCTGGAATTTTGCCAGTGTTTGATGAATTTTTGTTTTTGTTTTTCTCCTTTTTGATGTTTATGATGTATTTTTTGATTGATTGATTTGTCTACATGCAGTGATCTTTTCAAGATGGCTGCTTGAAACTAGCCCTTTTCACTGTTCATATGCAGAAACACTTTGGTCAGAGGTGCCTCTGTATGTTCATCCTGTGTATTGAATGCAAACGAGGATCAATACTACAGCCCGTCATTGATTGTCTATTATTATTAGTTGGTATCTTAACTGATTGATTGATCATTGCTTTGTTTTGGACAGTATTCTGTAGTACTTCCAGGTAGTATCTCAAGACGTGTAAGTTAGACCAATAGGGTGTCTCAGATGGGTGAGTGTGTCCTCCCTGACCCTAGCTGCTCCACCTGGGCTCCACCAGGGCTGTCCCCTCTCGCCCCCTCACACAGCTGCTACGCTACACCCTCCTCCAGTCCCCTCCAAAGCAACCAACCAACCTAGACCATGGCCCCCCACTTGACCAGACATAAACAGAGACTCAGTTCTGTTTCTATGCAAAAGACTAGAGGCTGCGGGCCCTTTAATCCTGCCCTAAGGAATGAGCACCGATTCCCAGAGCTAGACCCAACAACCTCCTGCTGTATGTACCCTTCAGCACTTAGAACATGGCCGCTCCTGGTCCTTATAGCTGGGTTTAAACCACAACACTGTCGTATTCCAAACGTACACCCTCCCTCTATGGGGAGTTAGTACCACTGGAGTGGAGGTATAGTAGGCCTCTCTCTTTACTTTACTGTGCTGAAGAAGACTGATCTCCTGTCAGCTTGATCTCAGGGTAGAAGGAGACGACATTAAAAGACGCAGCTCTCTCTGTATGCATGTCCTTTTGCTGTAGTGTAAGAGAGACAAGTTCACTGACTAATGGCAAGCTGTGCAGTAGTACTAAACTTGTATTGGCTGGAGCATCGTTTTTGGGAATGAGATAGTAATGAATTCCCTTCCCAACTATGGGCCTACTGTAATGTTACAATGTAGAGGCCCATTCTGCATGTAAGATGCCAATGTTATCCTATGTGCCAATACAACAAAATATATACACTGCTCAAAAAAATAAAGGGACTAAAATAACACATCCTAGATCTGAATGAATGAAATAATCTTATTAAATACTTTTCTCTTTACATAGTTGAATGTGCTGACAACAAAATCACACACAAATTATCAATGGAAATCAAATGTATCAACCCATGGAGGTCTGGATTTGGAGTCACCCTCAAAATGAAAGTGGAAAACCACACTACAGGCTGATCCAACTTTGATGTAATGTCCTTAAAACAAGTCAAAATGAGGCTCAGTAGTGTGTGTGGCCTCCACATGCCTGTATGATCTCCCTACAACGCCTGGGCATGCTCCTGATGAGGTGGCGGATGGTCTCCTGAGGGATCTCCTCCCAGACCTGGACTAAAGCATCCGCCAACTCCTGGACAGTCTGTGGTGCAACGTGGCGTTGGTGGATGGAGCGAGACATGATGTCCCAGATGTCCTCAATTGGATTCAGGTCTGGGGAACGGGCGGGCCAGTCCATAGCATCAATGCCTTCCTCTTGCAGGAACTGCTGACACACTCCAGCCACATGAGGTCTAGCATTGTCTTGCATTAGGAGGAACCCAGGGCCAACCGCACCAGCATATGGTCTCACAAGGGGTCTGAGGATCTCATCTCGGTACCTAATGGCAGTCAGGCTACCTCTGGCGAGCACATGGAGGGCTGTGCGGCCCCCCAAAGAAATGCCACCCCACACCATGACTGACCCAACGCCAAACCGGTCATGCTGGAGGATGTTGCAAGCAGCAGAACGTTCTCCACTGCGTCTCCAGACTCTGTCACGTCTGTCACGTGCTCAGTGTGAACCTGCTTTCATCTGTGAAGAGCACAGGGCGCCAGTGGCGAATTTGCCAATCTTGGTGTTCTCTGGCAAATGCCAAATATCCTGCACGGTGTTGGGCTGTAAGCACAACCCCCACCTGTGGACGTCGGGCCCTCATACCACCCTCATGGAGTCTGTTTCTGACCGTTTGAGCAGACACATGCACATTTGTGGCCTGCTGGAGGTCATTTTGCAGGGCTCTGGCAGTGCTCCTCCTGCTCCTCCTTGCACAAAGGCGGAGGTAGCGGTCCTGCTGCTGGGTTGTTGCCCTCCTACGGCCTCCTCCACGTCTCCTGATGTACTGGCCTGTCTCCTGGTAGCGCCTCCATGCTCTGGACACTACGCTGACAGACAGCAAACCTTCTTGCCACAGCTCGCATTGATGTGCCATCCTGGATGAGCTGCACTACCTGAGCCACTTGTGTGGGTTGTAGACTCCGTTTCATGCTACCACTAGAGTGAAAGCACCTCCAGCATTCAAAAGTGACCAAAACATCAGCCAGGAAGCATAGGAACTGAGAAGTGGTCTGTGGTCACCACTTGCAAAACCAGTCCTTTATTGGGGGTGTCTTGCTAATTGCCTATAATTTCCACCTGTTTTCTATTCCATTTGCACAACAGCATGTGACATTTATTGTCAATCAGTGTTGCTTCCTAAGTGGACAGTTTGATTTCACAGAAGTGTGATTGACTTGGAGTTACATTGTGTTGTTTAAGTGTTCCCTTTATTTTTTTGAGCAGTGTATATAGATATATAAAAATAGCCCATGTTATACTATCTAGATAAAGAGCTCTTCTCTTCCCAGGATGGAGGATCTTTGATAACCTTTGTGATGGAGGCGGGGGGGGCAGGAGGGATCAAACAGATGGGTGGGGGCAACACACCTCATCCTGAACCACTGAGATAATATGGCTGGGTCTCAAATGGCACCCTGTTCACTATGTAGTGCATTATATAGGGACATAGGGTGCCATTTAGGACAATGGCAGTCTTTGCTTTTGTGGGGAATGCCCCGTTGTCGAGGATAAAATCTTCACTGAGTTTGGGGGATCCAAGTATGCTACGGTGCACAGTCAGTTTGGTGATGGGTAATCCCGGGTACATATTTTTTTTAAACCAAAAATGAAATTCTTGCATTTTAACGTCATTTTTAATATGAAGTTTGACAAAAAATCTTAAGAAAAAAAAACGTACAAAAATTAAAATAAAACATATATAATTTGTTAACTAAAGCTCTGCACTTCTAGCTGAAATGTCTCCAGTCCAACAACCTGTAACTTCCACCATCCAGGGAGTCAGAGTGCAAGCTGGGGTGCCTTTTTGTGGATGCTGTATTTATCGTATTTGTTTGTGTTTCTGCTCAAAGCGGCCCACAACTGTATATTTCCACAGACCCAGATGGCTTCGGGCCCACTGTATCAGCCCAGGTCGCTCGCCTCACTGCGTCTGCGGTAGGCAACGAGAGGGGGCGCATTTCAAAAGGTACAAAAAGTCTAAATTAAAATTGGATAAGGCTACCTTTTGGGACTCCGTTCGGTGTCCTGCAGCACACTAGCAAAAATCACTATTGCCTGTTTTTGTAACTGCCTTGATCCAAGCTCAGAGAGACCCATTAGCCGGGTGGGGGCCTCCAAACGTCCGCTCAGTGTGGTGGGGGCGGGGTCCCCCTGCTGCACCAGCACTGAGGGTCATGCCGTGCGCTCTCTCTACAGCTTAACTATAGATAGATATATATATCTATATATATACGGATATGTACGTACGGTGTGTGGTAGCACATCAACAGATAGACACCTGGGATCTCAACCTCTGAAACCTTTTGTTCCTTTTAAAAGGTCTGGGTTCAATACAAACTGAAGATGAGCAATATGTATTCCCCCTGCAAATAAGTGATACAAAGGAAATAGAATGGGGTTAGGGGTTAAACTGGTACTTGATGGATCATGAGTAATGTATTTCCTACCTGGAGTTGGATATGCACATTCTGGATTTATGAACATATTACAGTAAGTACCTTGAAGTACTTGTACTGTATGTGAATTTGTCTAAACAACCCAACCTGAAATCACCTGTTTTTTTAAATGCATACTTTCCCAGTAGAGAAAATATCATTAAACATATCAACACAAAAATATAAACACAAATACTTGAATTAAGGAGCGCCAATAACGTAATGTGAAGTCTTTTGTAAAAAAATAAAAAAAAATAAAAAAATGTCTGAGTTGTACACTTCCAAGCTTGTTGAGGTCATCAGTTAAAAAATATATTTAAAATATTTTAAAGTGGAGAGAAAAAAAGTGCAAAAATAATTTTGGTTGTGTGCTTGAAAGTCAAATGTATGAGTTTGTGTGCAAACGACTGTGTGCTTGGCAGGCTGAGGACTGTTGTCATGTTCTATTCAGTATGTTGTGTATTGACATTGTTGTCTGTTCTTTTATTCAGTTTATTTTTGTCAAAAACTATATTCTAATAGACATTATCTTCTAACGTTGCACTGAGTGTCTTCTACTCCTCACTCAGCTAATCGTAGAAAAACAAGACTAAGTACTGAGGGGAGAGGGTGACAATTCATGTGTAAATGTTTACTCAAGGACTTCATGGAAAAAAAGTTTTTGTTTTATCTGTAAAATGTTGATCTACCTTATAGTGGCTTTTATTGTGGAATAATCCAAAACAAGGATTATCATTGAGTATTGCACCATTTTCTTCTGATTACATTCACATTTAATGAAAAATAAAATACAAAAAAAAATACAAAAATCGATAAAACAATCTAAGAATTGTGGCCATAGATAGTAGGACTAGTAATCCCTATGTTAACTTCATGGAGAAATGGAAAGGGATCATGTGGGGAGGTGAGTTTGTTACAAGACTCATTTCAGAGGTGCCTATCTTTTCTGTTCTTTTTTTGCAAAGCCACCCATCGTTTACAAACATTTCATTTGTCTGAAGTTGAGGAAAAAGGAATTTATAATGGAATGTTGAAAAAGACAAATTCCATCTTCCATCAGATGAACATTAAAAAAAACTTTGCAAAATTAAGATTTATGCTACTTTCAGAACTCTGGGATTGATCAGTGTTGTGTCGTATTTCTTTTTATGTCGACAGACTATGTATGTATTGATTTATTGATTTTTGTTTGAAAAAGACAACGCAATTTGCTAACTATCTTGCACACTCAAAATACGTGGATCTTGTCTCGGGAAGGCCAGGATTTCTAGAGTTCCAACTCCACCATTTCTTATTTTAATTTTTTAGAAAGTTTTAAATTACAATAACTTTGAGAAACGTATCTCCAAGCACTGAAAGTTAGGGATTTAAATAGAATATGAAATACCATTGCTAAAAATCCGTAGCGGTTACATATTTACCAAATAAATGACTGAAAATGAACTTTGAGATACAAAAAGTGGAGTGCTTTACATGTAAAAAATCTATGTAGAAATTGCTTTACATTTAAACAAAAATGATCAATGGTTTTGATTGTCAAAAGGCAGTGATAGTAGTATGTTTTACTTCTATATTTTCTTTGAGGTTCCATCTTGTAACGTTCAGGAGCATTGTGCATTACTCTCTCCTGTCTTTTATGTCTCTTCCTGTGGCAGGTATTCAATGAGTTAAGAGATTCTAATGTCCAATAGATGGTTTTCAGGAGACAGATTTGAAGTGGAGGGGGGAAAACAAAAGCTGGTTTTTAAAGGATCATGATCTATGCACAAGTGGGAGGGAGAGTCCAGGCCTGCTTTTCTCTTGGGGCCCGCGACTCGTACTCTGGGGTTCAGGGTTTGATGTAGGGGCGTGTCTTTGTTGTGCTACAAATTTGCTATGTTAGATTTTCTTCCCCCTCATTGTCATCAGATTTATGGCAAATCGTTGTATTGCTTCGCCATGCTGTGTAATCCTTAACCAATGAGCGCTTATCCTTCTGCTAAAGCACTGTGGGTTATACTGAGAAAAAGCCTGTGACTTTTAAGGCTGTCCGGTTTTTTGTAAGGGGGAGGAGGTACTCTGCCTTCTGCCTTTTTATTTTAAAAACGTTAAGGAGAAATGTCTGTACTGAGAAAGTTGTGGCTTTTAAATGTTCTTTTTTTCTCCTCATAATGTGATTGTTAATGACATGCACCGGAAAAAACATGTTTCCATGAGTTATGGAGCTTCTTTCGGACTATATTAATAAATTTACATTTTTCTTGGCTGTTAAAAAGCGTCTTGTCGAATTCTTGTGTAGTCTTCACTGTGGGTTTGATTTTTCATGTGGACATTAGTATTAATGCACCTCTAGAGACAAGGAAGCCACTAAACTAGATGCATATGGATAAGGACGCAACTTTAGTCTACTCACCCTCACACGGAAGCCACTAGACTATTGAGACGCACCACTGAGGAATCCACTTTACACTTTAGAAGCAACCCTTGTTATAAAGGATTATTGTAAACTGGAGTTACATCCATTTTGCACTTTTTCAGGTCAGAGGGAGTTCTCTCAGAATTTAACTTAAAGGAACTTGCAACAGCTTTTGCATCCAACTGAAGCCTTAAATTATGCTGTGGTTCAGCACACCATGCAAACACATCCGGTGGACTGTACCACTGTTTGCAATTGACTGGTTAATTTATTTGTAAAATGCACATCATTTCTGATATGGAGCATGGTAAAAAACTCAATGTGGAAGGGCACCCTGTTCTCTCTGGCCCCAGTTATACCTGATGCTAGCCATTGCACCGTCCACTGTGTCCGCATTGAGACCAGGTTTTCCTGGTCCCATCCGGTATGCAAATGATTTGACACCATAATGTTTTCACTGTCCAGATCTGTCTACACTTGATATCCAGACAATGTGTACCTGACTATCTCCTGAGGTGATATAATCACAATGCATTTAATAGTCTACACCTGTCTCAGAACGTGGACAAGCTCCAGACAAAGGACGCATGTCAGAACCAGGTATAAATTGGCATTTTGTAAGTCCTGGTATAGGGATGGCCACGATTCTTGTCTGTTTCCAGCACTGATCCAACAGGAATATTGATCCAACCTCCATGATTGGCAATAATGACAGTTCCCTGTGGACTGGACAGTGAGCATGGATAAATGTAACATATCAAAATACTACACAACACTAAAGATAAGTATTACACTTTCTTGCTTATAAAATACCTTTAAAAAAGCAAAGCAGGGCTACATTGAGCACGCCTTGTCTACAACATTCACATCAAATACGAAACATCCTTGTTTAAAACTCCACAACAGCATTTACAGTACACCACACTAAGTTAGGTGGGTTAAGGTGGATGTTTGTTGTCCAAATGTAAGGTTGTGTGAGTAAGTTATAGTCCAGACTCCAGTTTATAAATGAATAGTCAAACACAGTGTTGGTGAGATTGGGCCGACCTCATTCCTCACATCTCCCCAGCAGTTTCAGATACTAGTGGTGCCCCTTCGGGCCTCTCATAGTGGTTTTCCTGTCAAGACCTCAGAGGGGGGTTGTCATAGGCGGAAGCATCCATTTACTCCAGATGCAATGGGGGGCCTCAGGTGGTAAGAGGGGGCACTTTTCCATTTCTGTTGGGGGGCCGCACCCCGACCATCTCCTCGTAGATGGAAGCCTGGTGGGGCTGCGGTTTGACACGGTCGCCTTGGGTCTTACCCTGACAGAGGACAGAAGCCAATCAGAGAAGGCAGCAGCTGAAAACAACTAGTGAAACTAGTATATTTCCTATGTGAAATTCTGTGAATAGTAAGAGGATGGCTGTTTTTTTTATTCAAAGTGGCATCCTTCCTCAATGTGAGGTGTTTTACAAATCACTGTTACTTAGTCATACCTGTCAGAAATCAATGTTATGGTACTGCTACTTGAGGACTACAGTAGCTACCAAATGACAGTGTGGCTTTATAAACTCAGAGTGAAGAATGGTTTGTGCATTCAAGAAAATGTAATATGAATTATTGCAAAATGTGAGGTTGTAATGCTTTTTAAATTATGACCCCAGGAAAGCAGCAGAAAACTGGAGTGGCTACCATGTATATATTTGATCTAAATAATATTCTGTGCATCAATCCTTTTGTCCATAGTCAGTAGGTTACAGTCCTACTCACATAATGAGCCACTCCCAGGGCCATGAGGAAGATGAGCAGCAGCCCCACAGCAGCAGAAAGGACATAGAGCAGTGGAACATAACCAGTACAGCTACACGTAACACCTGGGGAAACAACAATAATGCCCAATACGCAGTATCACACTTAAAAGCCTTACACAGAATGTCAACTCACTTCCTGAATTAATTGAATTGAAAATAAATTGACAACCATTCATATACTGTGTATGTTGAACATGAAATTAATTACTAACAGAACCGTGCCTGTTTGATAATTGTTACCTGGGTTACTTGATTGGCTACTAGAGTTAATAAACAATACAGCGTCATGGAAACAGCTTCCACAGATGGCCTGGACATTTACTGGCATGAATTTAAAGGGATAGCTTAAAGGGATAGTTTGGGATTTTGGTAATGAAGCCCTTTATCTACTTCCCCAGAGTCAGATGAACTTGTGGATACCGTTTTTATGTCAGTGTGCAGTTTGAATCATTGTGCTAATGCTAGTTAGCATTGGCTCGCGAAACTACTTCCAACTTCATCTGACTGTGGGGAAGTAGATCGGGTTCCTTGCCAAAATCACAAACTATCCCTTTAAAACCAAAACCACTGACCCCCATTTCCTACTGCATCTGTCTAATGTCTAGTTTCAAAGTGAGTATAGAGACCGATGTGGTGAGGGGAAGTGGATAGATAGACTTTTCGTGAAGGTCAAAACCTTGCATAGACACACAATGCTTAGGCACATAAAGTGGCCCATTTGAGATGTGTAAGCTCAACGAATGAACAAGTGTTATTTGTTTATATCCACAAGCCCTATGATAAATCAGGTGTTTTATTGGGGTTGAATCCACTAGCCCTATGATAAGACCCACCTTGCACAGACACAAAGTACACGTGTCTCCCTAGCCTGGCGCTGTTGTCGGGCCTGCCGGGGAGCAGCAGCTCACAGCTGTAAAAAGCGCTCTCTTCCGGCTGCATCTCTAGCAGGGTGAGGTTGTAGGCCAGGCCACCCAGCCCCGTGACCAGGTGAAGCCTCTCTTCTGGGGGGAACGAGGCGGAGGAGGGGAGCTTGGAGTGGAACAGCACCTCCACTGGATCCCGGTTCCACCGCCTCTTCAGGCATACCCCCTCCATGGCCGAGGGGGAACCATGGGGGGCGAGGCAGGGGAGGACAGCTGACCCCCCGGCGCACGTCTCTATCAGGCCTACATCCATCTTGTTGTCTGGGGCATCTTCTCCACATGGGAAACAAACACTAGTATGACTGGCTATGAGGGCATGGGAGAGGGGAGTCTGTTGCTAGAGCCAGGGCTATTCTTAGGAGGAAGTAGTGGCAGAATGCATGATAACATGAACAGTGGGGCTCAGCTATGGCATCAGGAGTTGTTCCCAAAAAAGGGGAAAACACACAGGGCTACTGTGACTGTTTAACACACATATCATGATGTCATCAACTCCACTCGCATCAAGAAACATAAAAAAGGAAATAGGAAATCAATGGAGGAATCCATAAAGATTACTCACCAGCATCGTTGACGTACAGGAAATAACTCCATCTTGCTTGGAATATTTTGATCGACGCTGGTGTCGGGGAATACAAACTCACAGTAGTAGAGGTCCGTGTCTGTTCCCTTCAGCTGGCTGAGGGTCACATTGACCCGGTGAGTACTCGGGTCTCCGGTGACATGGATGCGCTGTTTGACATCAGGGTAAAGAGCAGGCTTTTGTGCAGTATACATGAACAGGACCTCTCGGTTGGGCTGCAGCCACTTGCGTTTCAGGTAGAGCCCAATGGGCTTGGTGGCATTGAACTCAGAGATACAGTGGAACTCTACAGAGTCACCCTGCGGTCTCTCCAGGAATTCCATATCACAGAACACTAGAAATCAAGATATAGAGAAGGTAATACAACGTTAGCTTCCCGTTAGTGTCATTGGTTGTTTTTTATGGCTTGTTGGTGGTCATAAGGGAAGCCCACTGTACTGAGGCATTGTTTGGACCTTCCTAACCTGGTCAAGAAAGCATCTGCATAATGATCTATAGGCATTAAAATACTCCATGATAAAATTATCCCAAATTTGCAATGGCAGATTATTTTTTTGGCCAACACCACAGGAGGTTGGTGCCACCTTAATTGTGGAGGACAGGCTCGTGTTAATGCCTAGAGTGGAATGGTATCAAATCAATCAAACCCATGGTTTCCATGTGTTTGATGCCATTCCATTCACGCCAGCCATTATGAGCCATCCTCCCCTCAGCAGCCTCCTGTGGCCAACACAGTTCCCAAATAAACTAACCCCACACCAAAAGTGACAGAAACACAACTTACCCAACACAGTATGTGTGATGAGCAGCAGCCAAAATCCTGTCAGATGAAGATCCATCAGGACTTCCCTTGTTCTTATATGATGACGCTTTCACACACTTAACAGCATGCAGTGAGCCTCAGAGACATAAGTGGAGTAGTAAACTACAATTGTTGAGTGTGACTCACTGACTGACTGGGGGAGGGTCTCAGCCAGATAAGAAAATGGTGATGACTAGTTACAGGAACTTCTAAATGCGCCACCCCAAACCTTAACGCTAAAGAGGAAGAGATGTTTCTAAATTTCTCCTCATCACTAGTGTCACAGCAAATAGCCAAGCCTACCATTAGTAATTACTACAAAATATGTATTCATTGTTAAGATGAGATGGTTCTGCAAATGCAAAATACTGAAACCAGACAAAGTGTTTTGACCTTATACTAAGAGTATAAAATACTGAGTATTTAGCCATTTGTAAAGCTGCAGAAATCAGTCAATTTCAGCCAAATACTGCTACTAAGAGAAAATGTAAAATATATTTAGGTATCAACCATCAACAGTTACTTTAAGTTGTTTAAGGTTTATAAAAAGTTATTATAAAAGTTAAAACATACCACAAATGACTAACTATTTACTGTAATGTCTGGGAGATATTGGAAGTTCACAACCCAACAAGACCATCTAGTGGTCAATTTACAAAAATGCTTCAGCTCTGTCCTGTTCCTGGTATAAAATGTTTTAACAAGATATGCTTGAAAAAAAACAGACATACTAAAAATTGTACAGTATACACATTATTTATTATTAATAATACAGTGACTGTGTTTTGATACAAAGCATTTGGAATTTGCATTCATTTTACATTGGGATACATTTATGTATGCACATCAGCAAGGGGAGAGCAACTGTGATACTGCCTACATTGTCTTGTGAAATTACCATCACGTCTATTTGCTTTATGTGAAATGTATAGTTAGATGAGCAAACAGGCTCATGATCCCTTTAAAAGGATGGTATAGTATGCACGTTGACAATTATTTATAAACGGGGGAGAATTCAATTATAATGGTTAAGCTAAACCTAGTAAGAGCTTTATGGAGTAACAGCAGCAGATCCAAGACAGTTTTGAGCATTGTTGTGGAAGTTGGAAGACGAGGTGTTTCCTACGTAGAAAATTTTGGACACGCGTTCAAAGGACGACATCTAACAGGGCAAATACTATAACCCATCATTATTAATAATCTGTAATCATAATGATCATAACTTTAAAAAACTTCAAACTGTCATTAGTGTAATATTGTCTGGCAGTGTTTTCAAATGAACTTGTCAATCATTATTTTACAACTGCCATGTACAGTGCCTTCCAAAAGTATTCACACCCCTTGACTTTCTCCTCATTTTGTGTTACAGCCTGAATAAAAAATTTACTAAATTGAGATTGTGTCAAAGTGGATTGATATTGTTTGAAATTTTCACAAATTAATTAAAATGGAAAGCTGAATTGTCTTGTCAAAAATAATTCAACCCCTTTATGGCAAGCCTAAATAAATTCAGGAGTAAAAATGTGTTTAAGTCACAATATAATAATAATAATAATAAGCCATTTAGCAGACGCTTTTATCCAAAGCGACTTACAGTCGTGCGTGCATACATTTTTGTATAAGATGTATGTACTCACTGTGTGCAATAATTGTGTTTAACATGATTTTTGAATGACTACCTCATCTCTGTACCCCACACATACAATTATCTGTAAGGTCCCTCAGTCGAGCAGTGAATTTCAAAACACAGTCGCCAAAGACCAGGGAGGTTTTCAAATGCCTCGCAAAGGGTATCTATTGGTAGATGGGTAAAAATAAACTAAAAAGCAGACATTGAATATCCCTTTGAGCATGGTACAGTTATTAATTACACTTTGGATGGTGTATCAATACACCCAGTCACTACAAAGATACAGGCATCCTTCCTAACTCAGTTGCCAGAGAGGAAGGAAACCACTCAGATTTCACCATGAGGCCAATGGGGACTTTAAAACATTTAAAGAGTTTAATGGCTGTGATAGGAGAAAACTGAGGATGGATCAACAACATTGTAGTTACTCCACAATACTAACCTAAATGACAGTGAACAGGAAACCTGTACAGCATAAAAAATATTCCAAAGCTTGCATCCTGTTTGCAATAAGGCACTAAAGCAAAACTGCAAAAATAAACAGAATAGAGCTAAGCACAGACAAAAACCTAAAAGGAAAACCTGGTTCAGTCTTCTTTCCAAGAGACACAAATTCACCTTTCAGTAGGACAATAACCTAAAACACAAGGTCAAATATACACTGGAGTTGCTTAACAAGACGACATTGAATGGTCCCGAATTGCCTAGTTACAGTTTTGACTTAGATCTGTTTGAAAATCTATGGCAAGACTTGAAAATGGCTGTCCAATGACCAACCATCAAATTGACAGAGCTTAAATCATTTTTTAAAGAATGTGCAAATATAAATGCAATCCTGGTGTGCAAAGCTCTTAGAGACATACCCAGAAAGACACTCAGCTGTAATCGCTTCCAAAGGTGATGCTAACATATGACTCAAGGGGTTGAATACTTATGAGATATCTGTATTTCATTTTCAATAAATGTACAAACATTTCTAAAAACATGTTTTCACTTTGTCATTATGGGGTGGTCCTCTGTAGCTCAGCTGGTAGAGCACGGCGCTTGTAACGCCAAGGTAGTGGGTTCGATCCCTGGGACCACCCATACACAAAAATAAAATAAAATGTATGCACGCATGACTAAGTCGCTTTGGAAAAAAAGCATCTGCTAAATGGCATATTATTAATATTATTATTAGAAGTGTGAGAAAAAATATATATATTTAATCCATTTTGAATTTAGGCTGTAACAACCAAATGTGGAATAAGTCTAGGGGTATGAATACTTTCTGAAGGCACTGTATATCATAGCCGATGTGAAATCCTACTTACCAAATGAGTGGGGTAAAAATGTGTCCAGTTTCCACCGAACTGTCTCCTTCACCACCAGACAGGAAGAGGCAACAATGGCACACCACAGCATTCAATATTCATTACATTTGTATTCAACCAAATTGTGTAACAAATCTTGATAGCAAGTACTTTAGAATGATACATCTACAATACTCAAAACAATATGTAAAAATCCTGGAAAAACTCCCACAATGCATTATTTCAGTGTGATTCAATAACTAGTTAATACTTAAACGGTACATCCGGTGCAAGATACAGCCACACTATGGTAAGGGAATGGGTACTTACAGATATAACTGACCTGTTTCGCAAGAAATCTGTGTTTTAGGCTGAAAAGCAGATAAGGACATTACCATCAAAATAGACATGGTACTGTGCAAAAGGACTTACAAAATGTTGCAAATGCTCTTTTGATTTTAATATACTAAGCACAGTGTTTCCCCTAGTATTATTTTCAGCAGCGGTGGCAAAGTTAGCATGTGGGGGGGGTAATGGGTGTGGCAAATGGCCCGGTTTTAGAGGCCCTCTTGGCCAGAGAGAAACTGTAGCTGGTTCTAAAGCAAATATTCCGCAATTCTACACATTTTGCCATGGGTCGGAGAACATTTTACAGTTTTAAAGCTAATTTCCTGCAATTCTTCACATTTTGCCATGGCTTATGCTGTCTTTATAACGGGTAGTGGGTTCGATCCCCGGGACCACCCATATGTAAAAATGTATGCACACATGACTAAGTCGCTTTGGATAAAAGCGTCTGCTAAATGGCATATTATAAACTATCTCAATGACTCAAACATACCAAAATCAATGGGGGCCCCATGCCATGACATTTTGGGAATTTTAGATTCTCCGACTGTCTAAATGCATATAGGGGAAACACTGATGCACCATAGTGGAATAACACCAAATAAGGCCCTCTGACTTGAAAAGGTAGATACCCGGAGGACATGAGTAGGTGGTTTAGGAAAAATACACCCGACATCAAGTAAAATGTATATTTATCATCAACCACACACACACATACACAGTAGAGCACTTGCATGCAAATGTTAGGTTCACTAAGGTGAGGAAGATACTCATTCAGGGTGCAGGTATTAAATGATTGATTACTATTAAAGAACATCTAGGCTATAAACTTAGCTGCATCAAGACAATGTGTATATTAAAACATGTTTAAAAATTCAGGAGATCTGGAATATTGACATCCTATTATTTGAGCAATATTTCATAAGTAAAACATTTATGTACAAACCTTCATGATGAAGGTACTAACCTCCATGGTACAAACCTTCATGAAGCCTCATCCCCATCCACGGGTCAGGAAGAAAACAGTGTTGGATTTTAAGTGGGTTTTATTACAACAGATTGTTTAAAACAGTACAGAGAATAAATTCACACAAGTTACCCTTTTGATCATGGAATAAACCTGAAATAAGAATGAAGCTAGTGACTGATAGATAATAATCCATAGATCTGGTGGTAAACTACTAAACAGTTGGAATCATCGTCATAAAGGAGGTCCCTCACCAACCATACGGTTGGGGACAGGGTGTCCAACAACACCTAAGTGTGCTGTGAGGGCCTCGCCACCGACTTACTCTACACAACAGAAAATCATATTTACAGGAAACTTGCCTTTTTGTAAGGGGGGGGGGGGGGGTACGGTACGATCATGTTACTCCAGCAGCGAGCAGTCAAAACAATATGAACCATATTTAACACACTTCACTTCTACAAACCTGAGTGAAACATGAGAAGAAAAACACCATACATGTATCAAATCTGCACAACGACAAAGTTGTCATCATCAAGTTGTTTTGTGTGTTTGTGTGTTTCTATGTTTTTTCCCCCATTAAAGATGTCATGTTAAATGTCCGTGTGCTGCGTATATATATATATATTTTTTTTTTCATCAATACTTTTCTTCACCATCACTGGTTGGTCTTACTGCTCATTGGCTTGGGCTAGTTTTAAAAAGCACAAGGTGAGAAAAGGTTTAACCTCCAAACCTAGTGAGGGGTCAAGGTCGTTGCGACTGCTTCAGTATCGTCCGGCAGGAGACATGACGGGGGGCCGCATGCCCATGGGAGGCCCTCCTTGGTATCCCATCGGAGGGCCCTGCCCATACGGAGGCATCCCGCCCTGCATGTAGCCAGGCATGCCCTGGGGGGGACCGCCATACTGACCTGGAGGGAGGAGGAAGCATATTAAAACATCACGCTCACAATGCAAAGTGGCAAAAGCAAAAACATCATGTTGCTAGTGTTAGAGTGATTCATTGTTCTCTACCATATGTTTTGACTGGTATGATACTTGGTCTTTCATGCCATCACAAAGGCTACAAGTTTCTCTCCTCCAGTTCATTTTTGGTCTGGTGATGCCATAACGTCTCTTACCATGCATGGGGTGCCTCATGCCAGGCTGCTGGGGGGGCATGCCCTGCTGTGTGGGCATCATGCCGCCCACAGCCGCCACAGGAGGGGCAGACATGTGGACCTGCCCCTGCCTGGGCACGTTACGCTGGTACCGGGGCAACTGAGCCCGTCGCTCCTCCTGTTACCGGGCAGACAAACACAGAGGGGATTCTTAAACATCACGCAACTCTAGCCTATCCCTTTCAGTGCAACGGCAAGGACAAATCACACAACTCAATTACATTATATTTGACTACTTTGTTTTAAACAAATATTACAAGTATCAAAACAGTAACGCGACAGATAAAAGTACTTTATCTCATTCATTACTTACTGTGAAAGGGCAAAACGCAAAGCAGGAGCAACTTACCAGTGAGATATCCTCATCAGGGTGGATCAACTTACTGGTTGCACTCGTGGTGGTGAGGGTGGCTGGCTTACTGGTCACTGTGGCGGGGGGCTTGGCCACAGTGTTACTAGGGGGGATAGAGGAGGAGGCAGAGGACTGGGTGTAGGCGGGGAATGTTGCTTTGGGAGGGTCGGAGGAGGTGGAGGGCGCGCTGTGGGGCACAGCTCCAGAGGCACTCTGCTGGGCCTGGGAGACAGGAAGGAAGAGGCACTGTCAGATGGGTGAGTGACTCAATCACACACAGATTACAATGCTGTCCTCTCATAGGAATCAGATATTTAGACTTTTGACCCATTGATTCCTTAAAAGTGCTTCCTAAATAGAATTTCTGTCCCATGATTTTTGATCACAACAAGCGATTGGTTGATTCCTCAGATTTTTATGAGCAGAGTGCACTGTACATCAAATTAACGCTGAGCCGATTAGCACTTTCAATGACTGGAAAATATCAGGATTCCACAGGTGGTTATATTCATATAAAACTGCACTTTCAAAAAGTCAGTTCAGCATTTTTTCCGCAAAGGCTGAAACACTCAAGAAACACTTGTGTCATGTCACACATTGCTGATAAGCATTGCATTGTGCAAAATACCATCTGAGGAAATCAAGCTAACAAGTCACAGGAGGGAAAAATAAGCTAAATGCAAGCTGTGCCTAAACAAAATACATTTTAAAATCACCAATCCAGTGCTAAGAAAACGAAGGAAGGCCACACACAGGCATGCAGCAAGTCCTCCCAAGGGAAAGCCGAACGTCAGCTCATCCTCTTGGTGGAGCGATTCATAAAAATGCATAAGGAATGTCAAAAAAGCCTGCCGAATATGTTACCTTAACTTGTTTATATGTCAGAACAGTACGTTTGTAGCATTCTCAACCAAATAAAGCTGATATGCTGCATGCCACAAGCATCTCTATGGGACATTAAGTGAAACAGTCCTGCCTACTTGTGGAGAGTTAGAGAACCGAGGCTTAGAGGCAGCAGACTGAGAGTCTGCAGTGCTACTGGGAGAGGCTGTGATGGTGTTTGGAACATGAGAGCCCATCTGAAGCATAAAGAAGAGAGGCAGAGTGTGAACAACACTAGCAGAACCTAGAGTGAATACTAGCAGAGGGCAGTTGATAATGAGCTATAGTTGACCATTGTTCCTTACTATGGATGCATTACTGATACAACGCTGCTATTGCTGCTCCCTATTAGGCTTGGGCGGTATACCTGGGTATTTGGAAATAGCCACGGGATGGTTTTTCAATAACATTGAAACTATTTCTTTGAAGTTTTTTAATACATTTTAATATTTGTAGCTACTTAAGTAAATACCTGCAGTCAACTTGTGCAATATGTTAGGAGATAAAGATCGCGTTTTTCATTTAACATAATTGTTCATTATGAAGATTACCGGTAGTACCCAGTCACATGGTTTGTTTACAAGCACACAATAACAAGAGACCAGAGCCTTGAGTCACTCACTGTTGTGCAGCACACGCCAGGTGATCTAGTTACAGTATGGAATTCACAACTAAATGTTTGCCAGCTAGATGACGCCCCGTGTAGCTCAGTTGGTAGAGCATGGCGCTTGCAACGCCAGGGTTGTGGGTTCGATTCACACAGGGGGCCAGTATGAAAAAAATGTATGCTCTCACTAACTAAGTCGCTCTGGATAAGAGCGTCTGCTAAATGACGTAAATGTAAAATGTAGATGTCTTAACTTTAACTTAACTGTCTAAAATGTGCTAAATGCTCTGCAGCTGTACATTTGGTTTGTTAATTTAGTAGCTATCTAGCTAAGTGGTTAGCTTCTTACAAAATCAAGCTTCGCTTGCCGTTATCAGCAGAGAATCCCCTCCTGGATCAAGAGACTTGCCGTCTAATATTTGTTTTGTAGCTGCAGCAAACTGTAGCATTTTTTAGTTACTTTTATAACTTTGTGAGCTGGGATGTCGGTCCTGAAAATTGTTTAGGTCAGAGACTTTCTTAAAATGTTCGCAATGTGACAGTTAGCATTCTCTATGGGATTTTACATGTACTTGTTAGTATTGCTAACCTTCAGATTTTAAAAGCTCAGTGAATTTGAAAATAGTGCCCCTTGTGTTCAGTACCGGTATTACCGAATATCCCGATATGGCACAAGATCGGTATGAAGGTATGACAATCTGGATACCGCCCAAGCCTACTCCCTATCATTAATGATGATACTCTGATAGTATGCATGTGCCTGAGATGAGCGCACCAGTACAACCTTCAGACAGTGACTCTTAAAATAAGCACTTCATCTTACTACAGAGGAAATCCTCTTGGTGAATTACTCAATGGACACTATTTAAATAAGGTAAACCAGTTATGACAAGCTACACCTCCATCTCACCTCGCTTCTAGGCGAGGAGACCCACCTGTACTGCGCTGGGGAACAGGGGCTTGCTGACGGCAGCAGGGGCTGCTGCGGCGGGTCGGGGCATCCCTGCCGCGGAGGGGGCCTGGCCCATGTGGGGCATACCAGGACGGTGACCCATGTGGGGTGGCATTCCTGGAGGACAAGACATCAGGGCTCAATATCAAATCACAGTTCTTTCTCAGGAAGTTAGGGAATCCATTACAAATATCATAGCAGATGCTTTCTAGGATAGATTTGAGAGTGAACATGATTCTGTGCTACTAGAGCTGGGACGATAAACCAAAAACGATCAAACTTATCGTGGACATTTTGCTGATATCGTTCATTTCTATAAATAACCTATAGGGCCCTACTAGAGAAATGTGAAGTTTGAAACTAAATAAGTTTGCTAATATAGGTGATTGATAACTGGACAATTGATAGCTACAACATTCAGAGAAGTAGTAGTAGTAGTTTAAGGGTAATATTAAAACAATAACTGTGGTGCACATTAATGTTATAAGCTTATCATTTAATCGATTTTTGTTTATGTCGCCCAGCTCTATGCGCTATGCTAGTTTTGTGAAATTGTCAGCTCTCATAAGCCTCATATAGGAGAATAGTCCTAGATGAGAGAGGGCCACGTTGCTGTATCCCCTGTCAATGCCAGACCACCCCACTGGGTACAGAGTGACTGGAGTAAGGGAGGGGAAAAGGGGTACCTCCTAGGACAGTGCTTACCTGGGGGCATACCGGGAATCCCTTGCATCATTGGAGGCATCATCCCTCCCATCCCGTGCATCATGCTGTAAGGAGATCAAACCAACAGGTGTGAGTTATAATCTAAATGAGCAAATCTAACTGTCTGAAGCTGTAATAATGAGGCAGATTCTTCAGTGACGGACCAGTTCCGTGCGACATTTTCCTCCTGCAGAGTGAGCAAACGTACCGTGGCTTTGTGTGTCTTTGAGAGGGGAAAATGTCACCCACTGAGTAGTATGAGTTAGTATTACATTTTAGTCATTTAGCAGACGCTCGCTCTTATGCAGAGCGACTTACAGTTAGTGAGTGCATACATTTTTCATACTGGCCCCCCGTGGGAAACGAACCCACAACCCTGGCGTTGCAAGCGCCATGCTCTACCAACTGAGCTACAGGGGACTATTGAACAAAACCCTTACCCTGCAAGCCTAAATGTTCCCCCTCTTGTCTCAACTACTGATAAAAAGCAATGCCTTAATTGTCAGTTTGAATTGGAGCTGAATGCGAACGGGACGCTCACATTTTCCTATACAGACTGGGGTGACGCAGTACTCACCCTGGTGGCATTCCGTGCATACCAGGGGGCATCCCATGCATCATGGGCGGGACACCGTGTCCTGGCATCATAGGGGGCATTCCTGTATTGGGAAGAAAATAGATTTTAAACAATACACCAGGTATAGTTTATAAGCCATTATATGGTGATGCTGGAAATTTCTATTTTCCAGTTTGTGGGTTGTTCAGAACGGGCATGATTCATTCACAATTCAGAGCAGTTGAACATTTTTGCCAATCATCATTACTTCATGCGAATGTCTTCCTGGCAGAAAATAGCAATCGTATGGCCATTCTGCCCATGTTCTACCTGAGTAAGCTCCTGGTGGCATGCCTGGAGCCCTGGCCCCGGGGGGCATGCCGGGCTGGGCCATGGGAGGGACATAGCTAGCCTGGGGCTGGGCAGTAGGCATCTGCTGCTGAACGAACGAAGGGCCTGGAGCATCATCATCCTCGTCATCCTCATCAGAGTCATCCTGATTCTGCTTCTTCTTCTGGCTCTCTGTAAACACAAGGTAAAGGGGTATTTTAGTCACACAGTATTTCTTTAAGATGATTTGCCCTGAGACATGGCTGTAGACTTCTATTGTCAAACTCCCCCCATGTCTCACTACAAATGCAGGGAAGGATGTTGACACTAACCCTGTTTTTGTTCTAACGTCCGTCTCCTCTCCTGCATATCCTTCTCTGGAATTCCTTCCATGCCATAGATTTCCAATTCTATGTCTACCCTTCCAGGTATGGCGTTGGGGACCCCATCGATGGTCTCTTTGTGAACCTGAAACACACACAACATCAATGATTCATATCACAAATAAAAGGTTTGACAACACAGATGAATTAATAATCAACATGTTGTTAATGTGAATACCAACCTGCATACAGTGGATTGCCAGCCCTGGACCAGTGTACAACTTCTTGTGACATATATGGCACTTAAAATGTTTGGCCTTTTGATGTTGGATGAGGATCTTTTCATCATCGAAATCTCGATTACAATACCTTCAAGTTGTGAATTAAGGAAATTTCAGACAGAAAGTATAAACTAACGTTAGCAAGCTAGCTAATGTTAGATGATTTCATTTAATTCAATCGAGGGTGCCTGCTCCCTGCTATTACCCCTTTATTTCAACGTAAGGTATAACTACTCTTTGAGCACAACTTCTGACCACCATCTATGACAGACAAAGTATGCCGACTAAGCGTCATAAACTGGGTAGCTGCATCGAGATAGCTAATTAGCTTAACTTACATAATGAATACAATACCGTGCTAACTAATAATGTCGCTAGTTAGTTAGCCAACGTAGCTATATTTCCGGCTAAAATGTTTGTCAATATACACCATCAGGTTTACTTTGTTGAAATAAAACTAGAAGAGAGACTGTTGGAAAATGAAATTGCCACAACATTATTACAAAAAGACGATAAAGTATCAAAATTGCGAACAGGTCTTGTGAGGCCTACAGTATCTTACTTCGCTAGCTAGCTTGCTAAGCACTCGAGCCATCACTTTCCTTTCATGATTCGCGTTTTGTCTATTCCCCAAACCAAAGGATACCAGCACCATGGCTTCATCTGCTTCTTCTTCTTTCGCCCCATTTTCAGATAGTACTTAGAAACCTAACGTATAATAACAAACACTGAAATTCGTTCTTATTATGTGATAAACATTAGCGACATGCTGTATGACAACGCCGAAAATGGCGCTTCTTCAAGTGGAGGAAGTGGATTATGATTGCACCCACAATGCTGTGCTGATTGAACACGTGCACATTTCCCTAAACAAAAGTTATTTAAATATGTCTTTACACTATTTTGACGAAGTTGTACATTTTGGGGGATTTAATCCGATATAATCTGAAATTAATAATCATACCAAATTATTATATGCTTTCATGTTTTTCTGCTCGCGTCATTTCAATGCATTCTGTGCTGGTGTAATAAGTTAAATGTCCACATGGGGACGACATTGCACCATACTATTGTATGGTGATGAAGAGGGCGTCAATACTGTTGTCAATTCAAATTTAGATCCATATAGTCATTGACTGAGACCTACTGACTGATGTCGTGACTTGAATAAATAAGAATATATTGAGTTGCGGGCCTATCCCTCCTTATAATAGAACAACAACAACAACAGCTATACTGAATAGTCCATGCTCGAATTCTCAGCACCAACGTGCAATGCATGCCATGTACATTTACATTTACATTAACGTCATTTAGCAGACGATCTTATCCAGAGCGACTTACAAATAGGTGCATTCACCTTATAGCCAGTGGGATAACCACTTTACAATTTTTTATTTTTTTTGGTATTATGATATGGATGTTCAATTTCATTTGATTCAATAAAATGTTATACAAAATGTATTAGATCAGCACATAGACTCAATAGGACCTATATTGTAAGTCCCCCAGCCCAGTGCCTTGCATATAAACCAGACTAATTCGAATAACTGAAAACTTTACCCAATGCTGTGCTCAGCTGTCTGAGCAGAAAGGAAACAATACATCTACTTGAGAGATTCTCCATCTTCACCCTCCCTCCCTTTCTCTCTTTCTCTCCCCTCCCTCCCTCCCTCTCTTTCTCACCCCTCCCTCCCTCCCTCCCTCTCTTTCTCTCCCAGGTGAATGATTAATTTGGAAAATGGGATATTTATGCAAGTGGCCAACACAACAGAAGTCGATTTCAGGGCTCCTAATGAATGTTTCATTGTAGGCATTGGGAGCTGCTGTTGTTTCCCATATGGCAGTGACTAGACTGAAGAGAGACCACTGTGGCAGGCCTACCTTCTCTGAATGAATTAGGGGCCACTCTTGTGTCCCAAGCATTTTTTTGTTGGTAATATTTTATTTTACTTTTTTTTTTTTTTTTTACAATAAACACAAACATACATAGACAAAAACAATAGACAACTTAACATTTACATACATTAATGATATCACACTTGCTCAGACCCACATGTTCCCACCATATTCACACCCAATGTTGTTTTTAATGCTTGTAAGACTCTGTCCCATTTGTCTGTAGCCAGATTTTTGAAAAAATATTTAAATAATAAGGCATGTAATTGCGTTCTTTATGTTCCAAAACTCCCTCCATCAATTATCAGTTATATTTCAGTCTTGGTTCCAATAGTTTATATACAGTGAGGGAAAAAAGTATTTGATCCCCTGCTGATTTTGTACGTTTGCCCACTGACAAAGAAATGATCAGTCTATAATTTTAATGGTAGGTTTATTTGAACAGTGAGAGACAGAATAACAACAACAAAAATGTCAAAAATGTTATGAATTGATTTGCATTTTAATGGGGGAAATAAGTATTTGACCGCTCTGCAAAACATGACTTAGTACTTGGTGGCAAAACCCTTGTTGGCAATCACAGAGGTCAGACATTTCTTGTAGTTGGCCACCAAGTTTGCACACATCTCAGGAGGGATTTTGTTCCACTCCTCTTTGCAGATCTTCTCCAAGACATTAAGGTTTTGAGGTTGACGTTTGGCAACTTGAACCTTCAGCTCCCTCCACAAATTTTCTATGGGATTAAGGTCTGGAGACTGGCTAGGCCACTCCAGGACCTTAATGTGCTTCTTCTTGAGCCACTCCTTTGTTGCCTTGGCCGTGTGTTTTGGGTCATTGTCATGCTGGAATACCCATCCACGACCCATTTTCAATGCTCTGGCTGAGGGAAGGAGGTTCTCACCCAAGATTTGACGGTACATGGCCCCGTCCATCGTCCCTTTGATGCGGTGAAGTTGTCCTGTCCCCTCAAAGCATAATGTTTCCACCTCCATGTTCTTGGGGTCAAAGGCAGCATTCCTCCTCCTCCAAACACGGCGAGTTGAGTTGATGCCAAAGAGCTCGATTTTGGTCTCATCTGACCACAACACTTTCACCCAGTTCTCCTCTGAATCATTCAGATGTTCATTGGCAAACTTCAGACGGGCCTGTATATGTGCTTTCTTGAGCAGGGGGACCTTGCGGGCGCTGCAGGATTTCAGTCCTTCACGGCGTAGTGTGTTACCAATTGTTTTCTTGGTGACTATGGTCCCAGCTGCCTTGAGATCATTGACAAGATCCTCCCGTGTAGTTCTGGGCTGATTCCTCACCGTTCTCATGATCATTGCAACTCCACGAGGTGAGATCTTGCATGGAGCCCCAGGCCGAGGGAGATTGACAGTTCTTTTGTGTTTCTTCCATTTGCGAATAATCGCACCAGCTGTTGTCACATTCTCACCAAGCTGCTTGGCGATGATCTTGTAGCCCATTCCAGCCTTGTGTAGGTCTACAGTCTTGTCCCTGACATCTTTGGAGAGCTCTTTGGTCTTGGCCATGGTGGAGAGTTTGGAATCTGATTGATTGATTGCTTCTGTGGACAGGTGTCTTTTATACAGGTAAAAAGCTGAGATTAGGAGCACTCCCTTTAAGAGTGTGCTCCTAATCTCAGCTCGTTACCTGTATAAAAGACACCTGGGAGCCAGAAATCTTTCTGATTGAGAGGGGTTCAAATACTTATTTCCCTCATTAAAATGCAAATCAATTTATAACATTTTTGACATGCGTTTTTCTGTTTTTTTTTATTGTTATTCTGTCTCTCACTGTTCAAATAAACCTACCATTAAAATTATAGACTGATCATTTCTTTGTCAGTGGGCAAACGTACAAAATCAGCAGGGGATCAAATACTTTTTTCCCTCACTGTATATGTGCTTTCTTGAGCAGGGGACCTTGCAAGCGCTGCAGGATTTCAGTCCTTCACAGCGTAGTGTGTTACCAATTGTTTTCTTGGTGACTATGGTCCCAGCTGCCTTGAGATCATTGACAATATCCTCCTGTGCATTTAACAATATGTTGCAAGTAAAAACCTTGAGTGGCGAGTTGATACAATTCCAAATCTGGAAGGTTAAAACCACCCTCAGATTTAGGGACAGGTAAAACTTTCCTATTTATTCTATGAGTTTTATTTGCCCATATGAAGTCTGTTGTGGCCGAGTATACTTTTTTAAATAATGTATTCTGTGGGGTAATTAGTATTACCGAAAATAAATATAAAAACTTTGGGAGCCATGCCATTCTAAAGAGGTTTATTCTACCTGTAAAATGTATCGGGAGATTGATCCATTTCATTAGATCATCTTTCAAGTTGTTGAGTAATGGGATAAAGTTATCTTTATGTATTTTTTCTTTGTTGTAACCTATTAAACATCCTAAGTATTTAATATTTTTGTGGTTCACATAAAGGATTACTGTAGATCATGAGTTATTATTTTTCTTTTTCCTATTGCCATTATTTACATTTTTAGAGTATTCCGAAAATATTTTTAACAAGGGGTGCATTGAGTTGTCAATATTAGTCAGGTATATAAGGAGATCATCGGCAAATACGTTTACTTTATATTCATGTTTATCAATACTGATACCTGTTACGTTTGGCTCCTGTCCAAGCGGTTCAATTGCCAGTACAAACAGGACGGCTGAGAGAGGACATCCCTGTCTCGTGCCCCTTTCTAAAGCAATTTCATCAGACAATGTATTATTTGTGCATATTTTTGCTCTATGATGTTTATATAATATTTTTATGAAATGTATTATTTCAGCTGGAAAGTTGAATGCTTCCAAAGTTTTGAATAGAAAAGGCCACTCAAGACGGTAAGTAGAAAGCCTTTCGACATCAACAGCCATTATTGATGTCCTCACGCATTTCATTGATTACTGTGACATCCACTGTTTTCCCCAAAGCCTCCTCGGCCACTCAGGCTAGAGCTCTCTCCAAACGCCATTTGTAAAGTTAATCAAGTTTTGTGACTGAACCATCTGTGGTTTGAGAAGGTCTCTTCGCACAACAGGGGGTCGGGTAAGCCCTGACAACTGAGAAAGACTGGTGTGTGTGTTTGTGTCTGGACACTAGGATGTTTGGAGCTAGGCAAACAATTGGGTTTGTTTAGATATCTTCACAACACTGAGGCCTTTTCTCTAATGGTCCCTTATTGTCTCCATGGTTTGCCTGTGTGAAAGGGGCCTTAGTCTACTCTAGACAAACAGTTTCTACATCAGTTTGCTGAACAGTCATCTCAGCAAAAAAATGTTTGCTAAAAAGCTGTCTGTCTGGGGTAGTTGTGCAATAGGGTTATTGTGTATGTGTGTGTGTGTGTGGGGGGGGGGATGAAACAAAAGGCATTGAATGAAAATGGTCTTTCAAAACACTTGTGCAGGTTGAATCATAAATAACACCAAGAGGTCAGAATAAGTTTCATTATAAAAACACTTTAATGTATTCCAGTATTTACATATAAAATCTACAAAATATGCACATGTTAAAATATTGTCAGTTACCACTCTGTTCCGTGTCATAGACCTTATTATATACAATCAACAAATGTTAATACACAGGATATTTTATACATCACAATGTAGACCAATTCAAGAAAATCATCAACCAGCTATTGTATGTTAAAATATTCATTTGTTAATAATTACAGTCTTCGTTATTATTCATTATGTGTGAAGCCGTGTAACGTGAGGTTAAGTTAAAGTACACGCTTGAGCTAGCCTCTGTGCCAGTCTGTTTCTGGTACCATGTCAACTCCATCGTCATGCCAAACAGCTGTGGCTTGACAACGACAGCAATGGAGTTGGTAAGAGCACAAACAGATCTGGGACCAGGCTAATTTGAGCCTTGGTTGGTTGAGATGCGACGTGTTCTCCTGTTGAAGCAAACCCAGCATCCAATACAACATGGTTTAGCTTTCTCCTTAAGGGCGTTGACAGTACAGTACTAACTGGAGGCTAACTCTGGAGAGAGGGATCTATTTACATGTAGCACCGTGTCCACAGTCTGTAACAGAGTTAAATATTGGATACATATCAATAAGTCTGTGCCAGAGGGAGAATGCTGACGTTCAACTCAACCAGTACTCATCCCAAAAGGCAACATATTCCGCTATTAATAACACAGTGCATGTTCTCTGTAGTGCTCTGTCTTTTGTATGTTATTGGTTAAGGGATGGTTTTGGCAACAGTCAGGAACACAGGATTTGAACGGCACTTTATCTCTGTTTCAACTTCCATTTTCATTTGCACATAACAAAATAATGTAAGCCACTCCTCCAATACTGTCCACTCCTGCAAACTGTGCATGCATGCCATACTGTATAGATGACAACTCACTCACACACACACTCACACACTCACACACACACACACACACACACACACACACACACACACACACACACACACACACACACACACACACACACACACACACACACACACACACACACACACACACACACACACACACACACACACACACACACACACACACACACACACACACACACACACACACACACACACACACACACACACACACACACACACACACACACACACACTTCTTTGAGGTGACCAGGGTGTTTTACACAGTTAAGACTTACTTAGAGCAAGATATGTGCTTCCATACCCCTTTCTTTTAATGAATGGCACACACACCAAAGGCAATAACAAAACATAAGCCTATTCTCCCTGCAAATATCTAGCTTGAGTACCCACCTCTTTCTGCTTTAGCTATTTGTCTTTGTCTTGCCAAACATATTGTGAAAGGCAGCAATGTAGCATCGTTGAATGTAGAAACAGTCAGGTAACCAGACAAAAATCTGGAAGTTGGAACAAAATCATGTCACATCAGATGTACTCAGTACAGTATAACATGTCAACAGTGTAACATTTCATAGCTTCAGTTCAGACTTACATATAACAGTACTATAGTATGACAGATTGAAGACACCTGTGTATCATAACAATCTCCAACCCTATGAAATTGTCCTTTACTGAAGCAAGCTGTCATAATAACCTCTTTCTTAGAGTAATAGGCACCATTGGGTTTAAGAGGAGGTGCCGCCATACTCTGTTCTATACAGTACTCTAGAATGAAGATACCAATTCTGAAGTCTTGGACCTAGACAGTTCTGTTCCATTGGATCTGAAGTACGTAGTTGGCCCTCTCAGTCTTCTCTGAGATTTCTCTGAAAAGCCCAACTGGTTTAGCATGCAGCACTGCACTATTGAGACCAGTCTAGTTCGGAGGCCTGGAGAGCTGGAGGGGAGGGGGCGAGGCAGCTCACGTAGCCCCCTCCGGAGTTCATGGCGTTGGGGGGAGCCGGACGTCCAGCAGGCTGTAGGCAAAGACATTCCAGAAGACAGCACAGAGGACAAAGAGGAAGTAGACGGAGAAGAAGATCCAGAATAGAGACTGCTCCTGGAGCCGCTGCTCGTAGTTCTGGAGGACTACAACTCCCAGGGTGAGCCCCACCATGACACCTCCCAGGTGGGCCACGAAGCTGGGGTTGGGGCAGGGCGGGAAGGCCGGCGGGTAGAACCGCAGCCACACGGCACGGCCGAACTCCACACTCACTGATGAGGGTGGAGAGAGAGAGATGTGTTACGATAATGTTATAGTAATGTTTCCATAGTGAACAAGTGATATTGTTATTTTTATATTACAACCTTTTTAGTTTTAGTTTATTGTAAATACTGCTATGTTTATCTCTTACAAATCATGGTAACTCGCCAAATTGTAAGAGTATGCTTATACTAAAGTGAAAAAGAAGAAGTTGGTTATGTACTATAAAGGTTAAGACCACAACAAACCCGTCCTCGTTGCTCACATTAATCTTACATGGGTGGGTCTGTTCTTTCTATGCTTCTATTGCTAGCCACAGGGCCCTTCCTGTCTACAAACCTACATCCACCACGTTACTAACTAGGTCAAGAGCAAGGTTGTTGTAACAGTACGCAAGGGTGGAGGTCCCTCTAGCGACTTAGTTTTTTAATGATCCAAATAAACTGTGTGTTGGTTTTGATTACCTGCAGGCCGTAGCTAGTCCTTCAGTGCTGTAGGGACTGGGGTATCTCAGATAGGATTTTAATATAGAGAAACTTCAGAGTTTAGACAGACTTACTGCAGACCAGAGCCATGGCCATCCGGAACAGCTTAAACTGACATTTCATTCCTGACCAGTTCTGGGGAGAGAGGAGCAGAGTGAGTTGATGAGAAAAGGAGTGAGAGAGAGTGCAATATGAAGGGTTTATGATTCAGGCCAGGAGTTTTCCCATGTTAGATAACATGGACCTGGGTTTGTCCCTGACCACGTAGCCTGACCAGGAAAAACTCCTGGCCCTATTAATAATGATACCACAATCCATGACACTAAGCCTCTTTCATTAAATGCTTAATACAGTAATGTAACAGACACTTTTATCCAAAGCGACTTACAGAACTGTCAACATTCAGAGTGACACATAGATTACAACAATAACATATCTTTCCCCTTTCATGATAGCTTTCAGAGCCAAAAAAAGATATCACATGATGACCCTTGACCTTCTCTCTTTGCTTGTTGTTGTAGGAGGAAGGACTCCTGAGGACTGTGAAGGGCCCACCAGTGTAAATAGTTGATGACTGGGACCATCCTATTATATAGACAGCGGTATGGCCTTATGGCCCCTACTTCTAAGGTCATGACCTTGTAGTGTAGTATGCATGGACTGAACCAATCAGAGCATAGCTAAGGTCAAAGGTGAATTTACATTCAGCCTCGGAATGGGAGAAAATCAAGTTATATGACCATGATCTAATTCCCATCCCTGATAGGATGTGTACACTCTTCAACTCGACACAGTGCACACTCACTCACGTGCAACACACACACACACACACACACACACACACACACACACACACAGAGAGAAACACTTTTCAACACTAGATAGTCGACACACACTTCCTCTCTTTGTAAATGGGAAAGCTGAAAGGCAGGAATGTATGGAATCCATAGACAGACAGAGCACCTGCTGGGCCCCAGAATGCCCTGCTTTGATGCCACATGATGTATGTCTGAGCATGATAGTTATCTCATGACAAGAGAGCTGCTCTGACACACACACACACACACACACACACACACACCCTTACCATGACGACGTTGGCCAGGTGTGCTGAGACCAGGGCGTAGACTCCTCCAGACGACCCCACCACCGGAGCAGTCATATCAGTGACAGACACGGCCAGGGAGCCTGCCAGGGTCAGAGGTTAGAGGTCAGAGGTTTGAATCAATCAAATAATCAATCACCTTCATATTCACTGGGGCAATTCATATTCAATATGTCAATTCATATCCATAGCCATAATGTATCTCAGAGCAGCTTTGAATAATAATCATTGATTCAATGAGCAGCTTCAAATAAATAACATTCATAGGTAGAAACAGTAGACACTGTATATGAATGCAGTCACTCGTGATGTTTTTTGTTGTTGTGTTGAAGCACAAACAGAGGCTTACATTAGTCGCCATTGATCATTTTAAGAATAATATGTATCAACACAGTCTGTTAGTAGACTGTTAGTGTTACACTGAATAAAGGTTACCACTGGTACCATCGTGGCACCAATTCACCCCATTCACAGAAGAGTCAACCATTTACATTTTACATTTTAGTCATTTAGCAGACACTCTTATCCAGAGCGACTTACAGTTAGTGAGTGCATACATGTTTTTAGTTTTTTTCATACTGGTCCCCCGTGGGAAACGAACCCACAACCCTGGCGTTGCAAACGCCATGCTCTACCAACTGAGCTACACGGGACTAAATTGTCCAGGCATTGAAAGGAGTGAATATGGGGCAAGTGAATGATTGAATCCCCAGTGAACATTGGTGTAATACAACCAGAGCAACAGATACAACCAGAGCAATAGAGAACTGCTTGCTGGGGGGGGAGAGAGAGTTCATAGTATTCCCTAGGAGGGTGTGTGGACAGAGGAGTTCTGACACACACACTCTATATGCAGGCATGTGTGCGCAGACACACACAAACACATGCACGCCCGCCCACCTACCCCCACACACTATACCCCAGGGGTGTATCCTCCCCACACCTTAGCTCAGCGACCATTGGCCGGCTTGCTTGAATTATGGATGCTAACTACATGAGACGCAGGGGAACATGTGATGAATGATCTCCACTGTATGTGTATATAGGTATGGCTGCTGTCATGAAGAGTCTGCTCTGTGGGAGCTTCACTATAGCAGCCCTTTCCTGCAGTCAAATGACCTAGTGGCCTCATGGGTGGAATGTTATTAACATTATACTTTTTTTACGCCGAAAATCCGGTGTTTCTATGTCAAAAGGTTTTGTTATATTTCAGTCTTCTGTGATGTATACAGTATAAATTGTAATATTGGGATGCAAACTCAAAATTGAATACATTTAGACTATATCTGACATGGTACAGTTGTCTTATTTTTCTTAAGCCCATAATCACGTGTGTGAGTTGAAAACTTTTGTTTCAAAGTAGATTTGTTTAAGACTACCAAGAAACAGTGTGTGACCAGGATTTAGCCCACTGCAGTAAAAGGTTAAATCACCATACCATAATAAGTAATCACAATCAAGCTGCTATTTATGGAAGGAAAACAGCAAGGGGTATTTTTGTATTTTGTATTTATTAAGGATCCCCTTTAGCTGCTGCCAAGAAGCAGCTACTTTTCCTGGGTCCCGCAACATTAAGGCAGTTATATACAATTTAAAATGTACATTACATTTCATAACACTTTTCACAACACATTAAGTGCATTCCCTCAGGCCATTACTCTACTACCACATATCTACAATGCAAAACCCATGTGTACGTGTGTGTAGAGTGCGTGTCTTATCATGTGTATGTGTAAGCGTGTGTCTGTGCCTGTGTGTGTCTCTTCACATTCCCCTCTGTTCCATAAGGTGTATTTGTATCTGTTTTTTAAAACTGAATAGAGTTCCATGTAGCCATGGCTCTACGTAGTACTGTGTGCCTCCCATAGTCTGTTCTTGACTTGGGGATTGTGAAGAGACCTCTGGTGGCATGTCTTGTGGGATATGCATGGGTGTCCGAGCTATGTGCTAGTAGTTTAAACAGACACCTCAACACTTCTTACAAAAACAAGTAGTGATGAAGTCAATTTCTCCTCCACTTTGAGCCATGAGAGATTTACATGCATATTATTAATGTTAGCTCTCCGTGTACATTTAAGGGCCAGCCGGGCTGCCCTGTTCTGAGCCAATTGTAATTTTCCGAGGTCCCTCTTTGTTGCACCTGACCACACGACTGAACAGTAGTCCAGGTGCGACAAAACTAGGGCCTGTAGGACCTGCCTTGTTGATAGTGTTGTTAAGAAGGCAGAGCAGTGTTTTATTATGGACAGACTTCTCCCTATCTTAGCTATTGTTGTATCAACATGTTTTGACCATGACAGTTTACAATCCAGGGTTACTCCAAGCAGTTTAGTCACCTCAACTTGCTAAATGTCCACATCATTTAGTACAATATTTAGTTTAGGTTTAGGGTTAAGTGAATGATTTGTCCCAAATACAATGCTTTCAGTTTTGAAATATTTAGGACTAACTAATTCCTTGCCACTCATTCTGAAACTAACTGCATCTCTTTGTTAAGTGTTGCAGTGATTTCACTCGCTGTAGTAGCTGACATGTATAGTGTTGAGTCATCCGCATACATAGACACACTGGCTTTACTCAAAGCCAGTGGCATGTCATTAGTAAAGATTGAAAAAAGTAATGGGCCTAGACAGCTGCTCTGGGGAATTCCTGATTCTACCTGGATTATGTTGGATAGGCTTCCATTAAAGAAAACCCTCTGTGTTCTGTTAGACAAGTAACTCTTTATCCACAATATAGCGAGGGGTGTAAAGCCATAACACATACGTTTTTTTCCAGCAGCAGACTATGATCTGACAAAACAGCTCCCACAATCTTTTTATCATCAATTTCTCTCAGCCAATTATCAGTAATTTCTGTAAGTGCTGTGCTTGTTGAATGTCCTTCCCTATAAGCATGCTGAAAGTCTGTTGTCAATTTGTTTACAGTAAAATAGCATTGTATCTGGTCAAACAATTATTTTCTCAAAAAGTTTAATAAGGGTTGGTAACAGGCTGATTGGTCAGCTATTTGAGCCAGTAAAGGGGGCTTTACTATTCTTGGGTAGCGGAATTACTTTTGCTTCCCTCCAGACCTGAGGGCACACACTTTCTAGTAGGCTTAGATTGAAGATACGGCAAATAGGAGTTTCAATATCGTCTGCTATTATCCATAGTAATTTTCCATCCAAGTTCTCAGACCCCAGTGGCTTGTTATTGTTGATAGACAACAATACTTTTTTTCACCTCTTCCACACTCACTTTACGGAATTCAAAATTACAATGCTTGTCTTTCATAATTTGACCAGTTATACTTGGATGTGTAGTGTCAGCGTTTGTTGCTGGCATGTCATGCCTAAGTTTGCTAATCTTGCCAATGAAGGGGTGAGCCCAGGCACAAACACACATACAGTATGTGCAGTGGTGGAAAAAGTACCCAATTGTCATACTTGAGTAAAAGTAAAGATACCTTAATGGAAAATGACTCAAGTAAAAGTGAAAGTCACCCAGTAAAATACTACTTGAGTAAAAGTCTAAAAGTATTTGGTTTTAAATATACTTAAGTATCAAAGTAAATGTAATTGCTAAAATATACTTAAGTATCAAAAGTAAAAGAATAAATCATTTAAAATTCCTTATATTAAGCAAACTAGACGGCACCATTTTCTTGTTTTTGTAATTTATGGCTAGCCAGGGGTACACTCCAACACTCAGCCATCATTTACAAACGAAGCATGTAAGAGCGGTAGCTTAGTGGGTAAGAGCGTTGTGCCAGTAACCGAAAGGTCGCTGATTCTAATCCCTGAGCCGACTAGGTGAAAATCTGTCGATGTGCCCTTAAGCAAGGCACTTAACCCTAATTGCTCCTGTAAGTCGCTCTGGATAAGGGCGTCTGCTAAATGACTAAAATGTAAATGTAAAAATGTTTAGTGAGCCCGCCAGATCAGAGGCAGTAGGGATGACCAGGGATGTTCTCTTGATAAGTGTGTGAATGGACCATTTTCCTGTCCTGCTAAGCATTCAAAGTGTAACGAGTACTTTTGGGTTTCAGGGAAAATATATGGAGTAAAAAGTAAATTATTTTCTTTAGGAATGTAGTGAAGTAAAAGTAAAAGTAGTCAAAAATATAAATAGTAAAGTAAAGTACAGATACCCCAAAAAACTACTTAAGTAGTACTTTAAAGTATTTTTACGTAGTGTACTTTACACCACTGCATATCTGAAGTCATACAAATACTGTTCATGCATACAAATACACATGTATGTACATATGAGCACGCTCACACACACCACACACACACACACACACACACACACACACACACACACACACACACACACACACACACACACACACACACACACACTGAGACCAAGCAGCCACTAAATCATCACTTAGAAGTTTAACAGTACATCACATCATCAACTAACTAGAAATGTATGAATGTACTGTATTAACTGAAATACCTGAACTAGTTGAAGTAGCTAGTGCTCTTCCTGAAGTAGGCTCTTACCAGGTGTCATTTAGATCAAAGCAGAGGAGGTGTGTGTGTGTAATTAAAATGTATTTAAGCATCAATCACTAAATGGAGATCTAAGCAGATGATTACATGTTTCCTGAGACACACACACACACAAACACACAGAAACAGAAAGAGAGAGAGAAATATACACACACAAAGAGAGAGACACATACACCTGTTAGACAACAAACACCACCCTGGTTCCTCTGCTCAAGGTGTGTGTGTGTAGACAGATGGGAAGACCATTATTACCACAATTATCTCTGTTAATATTATTGTTTTATCACTGTAACAACACCCACACCCACTAAAGGACTTCCTTCCCTTTGTAGCCTCTCTGGAGGCCCAATGGGTCAGTTGTTGGGTGAGAAACTGATGTGTCATTTATCTTGTTTGTTGGTTAAACTTCCAAACTAGGACACAGAGATGAATCCTGCTGCCAATGAGGGAATACTACGTTTGGCCACATTATCTACACAGCATCAGTGCTACTCATCAACAGAGACAGGTAGTGTTCAAAGTTACTGACTGTCCTTTAAAACTTCAGAGTCATCTTATAATAATCAGATACAGAAAGTGGCAATTCAGTGTTTCTCTCTCTCTCTCTGTGTGTCTCTGTGTGTCTCTACGTATAATAATCAGATACAGAAAGTGGCAATTCAGTGTTTATCTCTCTCTCTCTCTGTGTCTCTACGTATGTGTGTGTGTGTGTGTGTGTGTGTGTGTGTGTGTGTGTGTGTGTGTGTGAGAGTGTGTGTGGGCTTGTATTACTATCCTTGTGGGTACCGGAAATCCCCAAAAGTCCCCACAAGGATAGTAAAACAAGGAACATTATCACTTGTGAGGACATTTGGACAAATACTATTTTAGGCTTAGGGGTTAGGTTTAGGGTTTGGGTTACAATTAGGGTAGGGCAGGAATTAGGGTAAGGATAAGGGGTTAGCGTTAGGATTTATGGTTTAAGGAAAATAGGATATTTAATGGAAAACAATTTTAGGTCCCCACAAGGATAGTAAAACATATGATGTGTGTATGTGTTTTTGTTGTTTGTGCAGGCATTCGATCATGAGTCTCTCTAAGTATTGACTTCTCGCTGGTCACCTGAGTCCCTTTTCACCTCTGACTCTGAGCCTTCCCACCATAACAACATTATCCCAGACAAAACAACACAAAGACAACCTCCCTACACACACACACACACACACACACACACACACACAGACACACACATACACTCCTCCTTCCAGTGGGTCGATATCTAATTAACCAGCAGGTTCCCGTGGGGACAGTGACCCTCTCAGTACCACCACTATCTGTGTGTGAGTGTGTGTGTGTGTGTGTGTGGGGGGGGGGGGGTTATAGATACAGGCCAATACAGCTGGGGCCAAAAGGCTTCTGTGTACACACCAGATACAAAGCCTCATACACATATAGAGTATTTATCTCCACAAACACACACCAACATAAACACAAACACACACGCCAATGTAAAATAAACACACACACACACGGAATGGGAGATGTGATCATTTAATCACCATTGCACTCTCTGCTGGCAATCCCTTACCCTGCCCTTCTACAGCTTCTTCCCACTCACCCACAGGGCTGTTATATCCCTGCTAAATATCCCCACACGTCTCTCAAACATCATCAATTTTCATCCAAATATTTCCACTCCAAATATTTCCTGAGCATTTAGTTCCCAGAGGGCAGCAGGCAGAAATCCCTGATAATATTTGTTTGGCTCCAGAGGTAGTTGAAGCTAAAGCTGGATTATCACCACTCCTCATGTACACTGCATGATGAGTACGCAGTGTAGAACATACCCCATGGTCATATGGTAATCACTGAGCACTGAGCCACAATGAGCCAAGCCTGAGCTGGGCCGGGGGGAGAGGGGAGAGAGGAGGGAGGGGAGGCAGAGGGAGATAGGGGAGCCCTGGGCGTTCAAATGACATTAGCAGCTAATGTCACTAGGGAGCTAGAGATGACATTTGCCTTCAAAGCCTCTTCCTCTCTCTGATGCATAACATCCTAGTAGGCTTGGTCCTTTTGCTCTCTCTCAATGTTCATGGACCTCCTATGGAACATGAACAAGTCTCTCTCTCTCCTTTACCTCCCTCCCTCAATCCCTCCTTCTCTCTCTCTCTGGAATGTGTTTTGAGATGATTCACTTCCCCCTCTCTCTGTTGTCCTGGACCGGTGGGGGAACATTGACGCTCAACATTGTCAGAAAAAAAACCAAGCCTTTGAAGAGACACAACAAGAAACCCTGTCAGAACACAAGCCCATCTGTCCCAAACATCCGTGTGTTCTGAATGACTGTTATCCAAACACAGTGGGGTGAAGCCTGATAGCAGGGGGTTGAATACACACACCTACTCAGATGGGACCAGGCCCGTTTATGAACATGAAGGCTGGGAGATGTGTGTGTGTGTGTGTGTGTGTATGCGTGCGTGCACCTGCACCCTGTGTGTGTGTTCATCCGTCAGTTTGTGTGTGTACCCTAATCCAGTACTCACCTGCCAGTACGCCACACACGTAGACCAGTCCTATCCTCAGCGCTCCATGGACCATCTCCAGAGGGACTCCCACCAGCAGCTGCATGGCCATGTTCAGACCCAGGTGTTCTATCCTGCTGGGACACAACACACAGCCGTTAGTTAAAGGACAGGACACATCCACAGTCATATACAGTTTATGGTCATATTATATATTTTATCTGTAGAGCAATGTTTCAATCCTGGGAGTAGAAGGCCTGATCTAGGATCAGGTCCCCCTGTTCATGTAATCTAAATAAAATCAAATTTTTTGTCACATGCGCCGAATACAACAGGTGTAGACCTTACCGTGAAATGCTTACTTACAAGCCCTTAACCAACAACGCAGTTTAAGAAATAGAGTTAAGAAAATATTTACTGAATAAACTAATAAAATAAAAATAAAAGTAACAGAATAAAATAAAAGAACAATAATGAGGTTATATACAGGGGGTACCGGTACCGAGTCAATGTGTGGGGGTACAGGTTAGTTGAGGTCATTTGTACATGTAGACAGGGGTAAAGTGACTATGCATAGATAATAAACAGCAAGGAACAGCAGTGTAAAAATGCTATTAGTCCGGGTGGCCATTTGATTAATTGTTCAGCAGTCTTATGGCTTGGGGGTAGAAGCTGTTAAGGAGCCTTTTGGACCTAGACTTGGCGCTCCGGTACCGCTTGCTGTGCGGTAGCCGAGAGAAAGGTCTATGACTTGAATGACTAGAGTCTTTGACAATTTTTTGGGCCTTCCTCTGACACCGCCTAGTACATACAGTGGGGGAAAAAAGTATTTAGTCAGCCACCAATTGTGCAAGTTCTCCCACTTAAAAAGATGAGAGAGGCCTGTAATTTTCATCATAGGTACACGTCAACTATGACAGACAAATTGAGGAAAAAAAATCCAGAAAATCACATTGTAGGATTTTTTATTAATTTATTTGCAAATTATGGTGGAAAATAAGTATTTGGTCACCTACAAACAAGCAAGATTTCTGGCTCTCACAGACCTGTAACTTCTTCTTTAAGAGGCTCCTCTGTCCTCCACTCATGACCTGTATTAATGGCACCTGTTTGAACGTGTTATCAGTATAAAAGACACCTGTCCACAACCTCAAACAGTCACACTCCAAACTCCACTATGGCCAAGACCAAAGAGCTGTCAAAGGACACCAGAAACAAAATTGTAGACCTGCACCAGGCTGGGAAGACTGAATCTGCAATAGGTAAGCAGCTTGGTTTGAAGAAATCAACTGTGGGAGCAATTATTAGGAAATGGAAGACATACAAGACCACTGATAATCTCCCTCGATCTGGGGCTCCACGCAAGATCTCACCCCGTGGGGTCAAAATGATCACAAGAACGGTGAGCAAAAATCCCAGAACCACACGGGGGGACCTAGTGAATGACCTGCAGAGAGCTGGGACCAAAGTAACAAAGCCTACCATCAGTAACACACTACGCCGCCAGGGACTCAAATCCTGCAGTGCAGACGTGTCCCCCTGCTTAAGCCAATACATGTCCAGGCCCGTCTGAAGTTTGCTAGAGTGCATTTGGATGATCCAGAAGAGGATTGGGAGAATGTCATATGGTCAGATGAAACCAAAATAGAACTTTTTTGGTAAAAACTCAACTCGTCGTGTTTGGAGGACAAAGAATGCTGAGTTGCACCCAAAGAACACCATACCTACTGTGAAGCATGGGGGTGGAAACATCATGCTTTGGGGCTGTTTTTCTGCAAAGGGACCAGGACGACTGATCCGTGTAAAGGAAAGAATGAATGGGGCCATGTATCGTGAGATTTTGAGTGAAAACCTCCTTCCATCAGCAAGGACATTGAAGATGAAACGTGGCTGGGTCTTTCAGCATGACAATGATCCCAAACACACCGCCCGGGCAACGAAGGAGTGGCTTCGTAAGAATCATTTCAAGGTCCTGGAGTGGCCTAGCCAGTCTCCAGATCGAAGTAAATAACAAAATATTTTTTTTCTCATTTTGTCTGTCATAGTTAACGTGTACCTATGATGAAAATTACAGGCCTCTCTCATCTTTTTAAGTGGGAGAACTTGCACAATTGGTGGCTGACTAAATACTTTTTTTCCCCACTGTAGGTCCTGGATGGCAGGAAGCTTGGCCCCAGTGATGTACTGGGCTGTACGCATTACCTTCTGTAGCGCCTTACGGTCGGATGCCGAGCAGTTGCCATACCAGGTGGTGATGCAACCGGTCAGGATCCTCTCGATGGTGCAGCTGTATACATTTTTGAGGATCTCGGGACCCAAGCCAAATCTTTTCAGTCTCCTGAGGGGGAAAAGGCATTGTCGTGCCCTCTTCACGACTTTCTTGGTGTGTTTGGACCATGATAGTTTGTTGGTGATGTGGACACCAAGGAACTTGAAACTCTCGACCCGCTCCACTGCCCCGTCGATGTGAATGGGGGCGTGTTCGGCCCTCCTTTTCCTGTAGTCCACGATCATCTCCTTTGTCTTCCTCACGTTGAGGGAGAGGTTGTTGTCCTGGCACAACACTGCCAGGTCTCTGACCTCCTCCCTATAGGCTGTCTCATCATTGTCGGTGATCAGGCCTACCACCGTTGTGTCGTCAGCAAACTTAATGATGGTGTTGGAGTCGTACTTGGGAGTACAAGAGGGGACTTAGCGTGCACCCCTGAGGGAACCCCGTGTTGAGGATCAGCGTGGCAGATGTGTTGTTGCCTACCCTTACCACCTGGCGGCGGCCCGTCAGGAAGTCCAGGATCCAGTTGCAGAGGGAGGTGTTTAGTTCCAGGGTCCTTAGCTTAGTGATAAGCTTTGTGGGCACTATGGTGTTGAACGCTGAGCTGTAGTCAATGAACAGCATTCTCACATAGGTGTTCCTTTTGTCCAGGTGGGAAAGGGCAGTGTGGAGTGCGATTGCGTCATCTGTGGATCTGTTGGGGCGGTATCCGAATTGGAGTGGGTCTAGGGTTTCCGGGATGATGGTGTTAATGTGAGCCATGACCAGCCTTTCAAAGCACTTCATGGCTACCGACGTGAGTGCTACGGGGCGGTAGTCTTTTAGGCAGGTTACCTTCATTTCTTGGGCACAGGGACTATGGTGGTCTGCTTGAAACATGTAGGTATTATAGACTCGGTCAGGGAGAGATTGAAAATGTCAGTGAAGACACTTGACAGTTGGTCCGCGCATGCTCTGAGTACACCTAATCTCATGAATTATGATCTAAAAGGTCAAACTGATCCAAGATCAGCACTCCTACTCTGAGATGCTGTATGAATCCGGGCCCGGACATTTGTTTTAAGTCTCTGTATTGGATGCCTCTATAGCTTTAGGATCCGTTTGTAGGAGCGTCCGTGCCTACAGTTACTTTAATTGCTACACTCAGCCTTACTCTACCCCCTCCACCATGCGCCACAGCCTACATGTCTTATCCGCGCCGTTCCCACGGTTAATCTGGTTTAATTAGCCTATACTGGCCTGATAATGTGTTCCTAGGTAATAAAGAACTCTAATAAAATGCTAATAGAACGCAAATAATTCGTAAATTAAATTACCCACCCAATGTTGTAGCCTGGATGGTGGAGGAGGCTGATGGATGATGGAGGATGGATGCTGATGCTGGATGATGGTTGAGATGATGGATGGATGGATGGATGGTGGATGGATGATGGATGGATGGATGGATGGATGGATGGATGGATGGATGGATGGAGAGGCAATGTGTTGCTGAAGATAATCGTGCCCACAGAGCAAGTAAGACATTTAACATACATTGGTTATCTAGTGAACATACTGTAATAGTCTCCCCTGAGGGGGCTTACAGCAGCTCTAGGAAGCAGCTCATACCGCCATTATCAACAACAACACATGTTTAAAGGGCCAATGGTGACTGGGGATAATATGCTTGTGGAGGGAAAGGAGTTAACATGTAGGCTTTACTACAACATCCGAACTAGGCCAACTGTATTGCAGCAGTGCTATCCACTGGTTTTGGCTCTAGTGCTAGTGCATCAACATTCTGGGAACACTTCAGGAACAGCAATAAACCTCCGGTAAACCTTTTGTAGATGATGTCTCAGTATTGATCCAGCATTGCTTGGCTCCTGCTGCCATGTGCTGGCAGTTGACACGTTTGATGCGTCATCATTGGCTGAGATTTTAGCTCTGTCCTCTCAGTCCAACGATGGTGCTGGATCCCTAACAGGCTTTTACAGTGTCCCTCATCTCCTCTCTCTATCTATCTGACTGGCTGCGTAGTGATCTCTCTGACTGTGATATGTCCGACATATTACACCCCTCCACAATGTAATCCCTTCACTGGCTCAACAACACTGCTGATACCCTCCCAATCCTACAACAACACAAACAGAATGCACATACAGTTGAAGTCAGAAGTTTACATACACCTTAGCCAAATACATTTAAACTCAGTTTTTCACAATTCCTAACATTTAATCCTAGTAAAAATTCCCTGTCTTAGGTCAGTTAGGATCGGCACTTTATTTTAAGAATGTGAAATGTCCGAATAATAGTAGAGAGAATGATTTATTTATCTTTTCTTTCTTTCTTCACATTCCCAGTGGGTCAGAAGTTTACATACACTCAATTAGTATTGGGTAGCATTGCCTTTAAATTGTTTAACTTGGGTCAAACGTTTCGGGTAGCCTTCCACAAGCTTCCCACAATAAGTTGGGTGAATTTGGGCCCATTCCTCCTGACAGAGCTGGTGTAACTGAGTCAGGTTTGTAGGCCTCCTTGATCGCACACGCTTTTTCAGTTCTGCCCACAAATTGTCTATAGGATTGAGGTCAGGGCTTTGTGATGGCCACTCCAATACCATGACTTCATGGTCCTTAAGCCATTTTGCCACAACTTTGGAAGTATGCTTGGGGTCATTGTCCATTTGGAAGACCCATTTGCAACCAAGCTTTAACTTCCTGACTGATGTCTTGAGATGTTGCTTCAATATATCCACAAAATGTTCCTTCCTCATGATGCCATCTATTTTGTGAAGTGCACCAGTCCCTCCTGCAGCAAAGCACCCCCACAGCATGATGCTGCCACCCCTGTGCTTCACGGTTGGGATGGTGTTCTTCGGCTTGCAAGCTGCCCCCTTTTTCCTCCAAACATAACGATGGTCATTATGGCCAAACAGTACCATTTTTGTTTCATCAGACCAGAGGACATTTCTCCAAAAAGTACGATCTTTGTCCCCATGTGCAGTTGCAAACCGTAGTCTGGCTTTTTTATGGCGGTTTTGGAGCAGTGGCTTCTTCCTTGCTGAGCGGCCTTACAGGTTATGTCGATATAGGACTTGTTTTACTGTGGATATAGATACTTTTGTACCTGTTTCCTCCAGCATCTTCACAAGGTCCTTTGCTGTTGTTCTGGGATTGATTTGCACTTTCACACCAAAGTACGTTCATCTCTAGGAGACAGAACGCGTCTCCTTCCTGAGCGGTATGACAGCTGCGTGGTCCCATGGTGTTTATACTTGCGTACTATTGTTTGTACAGATGAACGTGGTACCTTCAGGCGTTTGGAAATTGCTCCCAAGGATGAACCAGACTTGTGGAGGTCTACAATTTATTTTCTGAGGTCTTGGCTGATTTCTTTTGATTTTCCCATGATGTCAAGCAAAGAGGCACTGGGTTTGAAGGTAGGCCTTGAAATACATCCACAGGTACACCTCCAATTGACTCAAATTATGTCAATTAGCCTATCAGAAGCTTCTAAAGCCATGACATAATTTCCTGGAATTTTCCAAGCTGTTTAAAGGCACAGTCAACTTAGTGTATGTAAACTTCTGACCCACTGGAATTGTGATACAGTAAATTATAAGTGAAATAATCTGTCTGTAAACAATTGTTGGAAAAATTACTTGTGTCATGCACAAAGTAGATGTCCTAACCGACATGCCAAAACTATAGTTTGTTAACAAGAAATGTGTGGAGTGGTTGAAAAACAAGTTTTAATGACTCCAACCTAAGTGTATGTAAACTTCCGACTTCAACTGTATCTGTCCACAAACAGCACAGGACAACCCTCCACTAACTCTACAGGTAGGACTAGCTGCTGTCTGGTAGAAGGAACTTTGTATTGTATTTTTTATTTTAGGGGGTCTAGGACAAATTTTTGTAGATTACCATTGACCAAAGACTAAGCCATTTCCCAGACACTTAAGATTTGAACGGCATCTCTGCTCTATCACGTTTCGGCTGCTTAACTCCTTATGTTATCATCAATGTAAAAGCAGGATTTGACTTATTTTCCCGCCTTTAAGCTGGCATTGAGTGTACTGTACAGCAGCTCAGTGAAAACAGCATTGCGTTCTTTGTTTTCCTTTGTGGTTGTCTAGAGAATGACAGTGATCCATGTATTTGTCTGTGCCATTGTGTAGAGACAACGGGATGTATTCTCATAGGAACGTGTGTGTGTTTGTGTGTGTGCATGTGCATTTCTGTATGTGTGTGTGTGTTTTTGTGTGTGTGTTTTTGTGTGTGCGTGTGTGTGTGTGTGTGTGTGTGTGTGTGTGTGTGTGTGCATGTGTGTGTGTGTGTGTGTGTGGAGGCATCCCTCTTGGACTGGTTAGCATTGGGAAATGAATAGTCCTTTTAATCTCCAGTGGAACGTCCTTGTGTATTTGGACAAAGCCTTGCTCCTCCACAAGCCAATCAATATCGCCCTTGTCTCATTGTCAACTACAATGATTCTCTCATTCTCTCACTACACCAAGAGGACTCTTGTACGCTTCAACAAAACAACTCATAGATTTTATTCTGTTTGGGGATTTGTTTCTATGGATACCTCCGCTGTAGGGATTTTAAACCAATGTGTTCATAATATCTGAGGCTGAAACACACTGGGTTTTTTGGCCTGGTTTTGGCATGCTATCGTTGCTATGTTATAAATGGGAAGGTTAAACTATGTCCACTAAGCTGGGAGAGAGAGAGGGACAACTAGGAGAACTCCTGTCTTTTGGATTCTGCTGTGGCACCCACATGTGTCAGTGCTGAGTGCAGGCTCTGTGGGCATGAAGGACACGTGTATGTGGATTCTGGGAGTGTGGCAGTCACAACACTGAACGACCTCTCCTACACGCACTGCTGATAGAGAGCCAGAGCTTTGGGACGTTAAACATTTGGTTATATTCCCAGCAGCCTCCGCCTCTCTCAGAGCTGTGTGTGTGTATGTTTCATGACGAAGCAGATGTGGTGTGTGTGTGGGAGCATAATCATTTGGAAAGGAGACAGCTGATACTTAAGTGATATCACGACACACACACATCCAGGAATAGATTGAGAAACACTGCTCTACAGAGCCATAGAGTAGATATGACAATGTATATACTGTATACAGTGCATTCTGAAAATATTTAAACCCCTTGACTTTTTCCAAATTTTGTTACGTTACAGCCTTATTCTAAAATGGATTAAATTATTTTTTTCCCTCATTAATCTACACACGCTATAATATGGACTTTTACCAAATAGGGCTATCTTCTGTATACCACCACTACCTTGTCACAACACAACTGATTGGCTCAAACGCATTAAGAAGGAAAGAAATTCCACAAATTAACTTTTAACAAGGCACACCTGTTAATTGAAACGCATTCCAGGTTATTACGTCATGAAGCTGGTTGAGAGAATGCCAAGAGTGTGCAAAGCTGTCATCAAGGCAAAGGGTGTCTACTTTGAAGAATCTAAAATCTAAAATATATTTTGATTTGTTTAACACTTTTTTGGTTACTACATGATTCCATATGTGTTATCTCATAGTTTTGATGTCTTCACTATTTTTCTACAATGTAGATAATAGTAAAAATAAAGAAAACCCCATGAATGAGTAGGTGTGTCCAAACTTTTGACTGGTACTATAAGTATTCAGACCCTTTGCTATGAGACTCGAATTTGAGCTCAGGTGCATCCTGTTTCCATTGATCAACTTGATTGGAGTCCACCTGTGGTAAATTCAATTGATTGTACATGACTTGGAAAGGCACACACCTGTCTATATAAGGTCCCACAGTTGACAGTGCATGTCAGAGCAAAAACCAAGCCTTGAGGTTGAAGGAATTGTCCGTAGAGCTCTGAGACAGGATTGTGTCGAGGCACAGATCTGGGGAAGGGTAGCAACAAATGTATGCAACCTTGAAGGTCCGAAAGAACACAGTAGCCTCCATCATTCTTAAATGGAAGAAGATTTGAACCACCAAGACTCTTCCTAGAGCTGGTGGCCCGGCCAAACTGAGCAATCGGGGGAGAAGGGCCTTGGTCAGGGAGGTGACCAAGAACCCGAAGGTCACTCTGACAGAGCTCCAGAGTTCCTCTATGGAGATGGGAGAACCTTCCAGAAGGAAGGACAACCATCTCTGCAGCACTCCACCAATCAGGCCTTTATGGTAGAGTGGCCAGACGGAAGCCACTCCTCAGTAAAAGGCACATGACAGCCCGCTTGGAGTTTGCCAAAAGGCACCTAAAGGACTCTCAGACCATGGGAAGATTCTTTGGTCTGATGAAACAAAGATTGAACTCTTTGGCCTGAATGCCAAGTGTCACGTCTGGAGGAAACCTGGCACCATCCCTGTCGTGAAGCATGGTGGTGGCAGCATCATGCTGTGGGGATGTTTTTCAGCGGCACGGACTGGAGGACTAGTCAGAATTGAGGGAAAGATTAACAGAGCAAAGTACAGAGAGAAAACCTGCTCCAGAGTGCTCAGGACCTCATACTGGGGCAAAGGTTCACCTTCCAACAGGACAACGACCCTAAGCACACAGCCAAGACAACATAGGAGTGGCTTCGGGACAAGTCTCTGAATGTCCTTGAGTGGCCCAGCCAGACCCCGGACTTGAACCCGATCGAACATCTCTGGAGAGACCTGAAAATAGCTGTGCAGCGACGCTCCCCATCAAACCTGACAGAGCTTGAGAGGATCTGTAGAGAAGAATGGGAGAAACTCCCCAAATACAGGTGTGCCAAGCTTGTAGTGTCATACCCAAGAAGACTCAAGGCTGTAATTGCTGCCAAAGATGCTTCAACAAAGTACTGAGTAAAGGGTCTGAATACTTATGTAAATGTGATATTTCAAATTTTTAATACATTTGCAAAACATTTGTGTGTAGATTGAGGAGGAAAAAAACAATTTAATCAATTTTAGAATATGGCTGTAACCTAACAAAATGTAGAAAAAGTCAAGGGGTCTGAATACTTTCTGAATGCACTGTAGGACTGTACATGACTGTGACACGCACATCCAGGACTTGATTGACAAACATAACAGAGGATAGGCTTCGGGGAGAGCCAGGGGCGGACTGGGACCAGAAATCGGCCCTAGCATTTCTAACAATAAAAAAATGGACCAGCCCATCTGGCATTTACCCGAAATGCCAGCTGGCCAGTCTGCCCCAATATTCATACTTAGCATTAGCATGCACGGTCAATACATCACCAAATACTAAGTAGTATGCAAGTGTGTATATTGGGACATAATCTGATCATAGGGGGGCATAGTCTTACCCTCCCCGACCCAGGCTAGGTACCCACCCTGCATGCATGAAGGCGTAGCTGAGGTATCTCCAGGCCTGAATCCGTAGTTGGGGGTGGTAGGGCAGCGGGCCCCTCAGGAAGTGGGGACTGGACACCTGCAGCACCCAGCGGTCCAACTGCAGACCATAGTACATGAACACTGCCACCTAGAGGACGGGAGGGGAAGTTATTGTAGAGGAATATAAGATCTAGCCTGGGTACTAGCCTAAGAGACACATTTTAGTTTTCATTCTTCTCAGTCTGGCACCCAGGCTGGGGTAACACAGAGATATTTAGGTTGCCTCCATGAACAATGTAGTTTCACAGTAGTATAGACTGATTTCAAAGGCTTATCTCAATGGGGAGTTGAAGCCAAGGGCAAAATATAAATGATACTGTTGCTATCTCCCAGTCCTACCAAGTTAGAAGAAAAGAAGGACAAACTTTACAAAAGGCAATTCACACTATCTTGAAAAGAGAAGTTGAACGATAGGGTTCTCTTGTTTATCAAAACCAATACTTTACAGCATCAAACCCTCATCAGAAGGGTTAAGCCCTAAATCTCCCAGGGGCACATGCCAACTTTACACTTCAGTCGAATATTCACTTAGTCTCCCATTGACATTCATGCATGACTAAGAGAATTTGACTGAAGTAGAATTTAGGATTTACCCCTACATGAGTGGAACCTTACCTCAGCGATGGTGATAGCCAGGATGAGCCAGGGTGGTGGGCAGCAGGTGTAGCTGTCGAAGTACCACTTCCTGTCGATCTCCCGGGGCAGGGTCTCGTAGGCAATGTGCCTCACCAGCCTCTGGGACAGACCCAGACCCACCTCCTCCCCCAGGGCCCCGGCCCCCTTCAGCTGACGACTCCCCTGGAGGATAGCCCGCCGGAAGCTGTTGCTGCGCTTGCTGGACATCTAGCAGGGAGAGGGGAGGGAGGAGGGAGAGAGAGAAGTAGAGAGAGATTTATGGAGAGGGAGGGATGCGAGAGGGGAGAGAGAGGAATAGAGAGAGAGAGATGGAGAGAGTGAGACTGTTATGAGTGAAATTCCAACCTTACAGGTCTTGAAACTATTGCTGGCTTCTCTACAACACCCTAGTGTGTCGTCATAGCTCCCCTATGTTGTGAGCCCCTCCATCCTACATCCCACTGTGACAGCAACCACGCTGCCAGACCCTCCCACCTCGCCCCAGCAACAGAATGCCTCTGTCGTCACCTAGCAACCGCTGAGCCCTTCTCCTCGTCCCAAGTACTGGCGGCAGCTGCCTGACAACGCAGCCCTTCTACCCAGATTAGCAATATTCATGGTCCTCCTATGGAACATGGAATGTGGACAAGTCTCTCTCTCTCTCTCCCTCATTCCTCTCCCTCTCTCTCTCTCTCTCTCATTCCCCTCTCACTCTCTCTCTCATTCCCCTCTCTCTCTCTCTCTCTCTCTCTCTCATCCCACTCGCTCTCTTTCTCTCTCTCTCGCTCTCTCTCATTCCCACATCTCTCTCTCTCTCTCTCTTTCTCTCTCCGATCCTAAAAGTAGTTTACAATAGCACCATTCTTCAATCTATAATGACCATTCAAATTGAATAGATCCACAATTATGTGAGTCTTGATTGCAGTCAAGCGATAGTGTGGGATTCTTCATGACTGTAGGTTACCATGGCCACTCCCAGCCCCAAAGCCAAACAGAGAGTGGGATCAAACAGTACCAAACACACACATTCTGCACCACACGCACACACACACACACACACACACACACACACACACACACACACACACACACACACACACACACACACACACACACACACACCCCACACACACATTCCTCTCCAGGTCACCCCACATGGCCCAACCCCATAAAGACACAGTCTTCTTTCTTCCAGCAGTGCAGGGGCGATTCTTGTCCTCTTTTCTCTTCTCTTCAAAAAGAGAGAGAAAGGGAATGTTGTTCTATCTATTCACCCACAGCGAAGAGAGATTGGTATTCATCCAGCAAGGACTGAGGGACCAGGGACAATCTACTGCTATACTGGGAGATACTGTCAGGGAGAGGAGTGAGAGGAAGAGAGAGGAGAGCGAGGGGCGAGAGGGAGGGAGAGGAGAGCGAGGGGCGAGAGGGAGGGAGACGGAGAGAAGAGGCAGGGAGATAAAGAGAGCGAGAGAGATAAGAGAGAGCTAGGCAATAACTCCCAATCACGCTGACAGCTTTATGGAATAGGCAGCTGTGCAAAGTAAAGCTAGAACTGCAAATAAACCCCAGCAAGCCTGTCTCCCACTCCCACTCCCACACCTCCTCCTCCCTCTCTCCATCTATCCTTCCCTCACCCTGCTTGGCTTCTGTTGTGGTTCCAGTGAATGTGAAAGCCATGGGGGGTGAGGGGCGGTCTTTGTGGGTAACAATAGCAGCCACGCCCCCCAACACACACGCATACACACACACACACACACACACACATATCACTTGAGTACATGCTCCTCATTCCTCTCTGTCCCACTTCCAGTTCCTCGCCCTGACCTTTGACATGACCAGGACCGACCAATCAAAGATCCCCTTTCACAAGTTCCCACAGGCCCGTTCTCAGCCCACTGTACAAGACAATGGACAGCTTTGCAGGAAGCGGAGAAGACAAAAAGAGAGAATAGGAGAAAGGGAAAGTGAGAGGGGAGAGTTGGGAACCTTCACAAACCCACCCCCCACCGGCCACAACTTTAAACGTTTCCAAACAATTGATTATTTCTCCAGATGACTTCACCGTCCAGGGTCAAGAGTTCAAACTCTCAAGTTAAACACAACAGGAGCTAGACGACGTGTGAAAGTGCCAATTTAGACCAAGCTGTGTTGTCTTGTCTAATACCATGGAATATCCATGGAGACTTGGGTGAGTAGAAGGATGATAGTGGTGTAGATGCGTTTATAGAGGGTTGATATCATAAGACCACTTCCTCTCTACTATATGTCTCAACATGACCAATCGGTGTACAGTATAATCAATGCTATGCTTATACAATTATTATGGTTATCAGTTACTATGGTAACAGGAAGTGACTCGTGACTCTCACCAGGTTGACAAAGTCCTGGTAGCAGATCTTTCCGTCTGCGTTGCCGTCGGCGAGGGCCAATAGAACCTCCAGCTTGTGAGGGTCCAGCTCCGAGCCGTGGGCCGCCAGCAGGTCCCTGAACCGCTCTGTACTGATGAAGCCTGAACTCTCTGGGTCGAACTGGAACACACAGGGAGAGACATACGGTTAGAAGTTCTGTAGATAAACACAGAGCCAGGGACGTAGACACATGCAGGCAGAGACACACACACACACACACACAAGAGACTTGACAGATGTAGTCAAACAAAGCACATTTACAAAGACACAATGCACATACACACAAGCCTTATCGCATAGAGACACACAAAGGTTATTATCACAAATGAATTATAAATTAAGTCAGTATATAATCGCACAGTACAGCCTTGTACCGAACATTCAACACTGCCAACAAAAAAACAAGCCAAAAACCTATAAAAAAACATTTTGTTCATAATTTATGCTGCTTTGTAAAGAATTTAAATGAGCCTGAAAAGCTCATCTGGTGAGATTTAGCCTTGTATCATATTTATGGCTTTGGATTTCACAGGGAATTACTGTGGTGGGAAAAATCTAACCAGCAGCCATTTTGTTTCATTTATTATTTTCATTAATCACATTCAGTAGCTGAGGAAAGATCCAATAACTTCTGAGAATTTCCACAATTTAAAGAAGTTAGCTAATGTTGTGTATTTCAGTTCAATGTCAAGTGTACTGAAATGTTTAGATGCACTTTAAATAAAGTTTGATTTTATCTGACTATGTAAATACAGTTGAAGTCGGAAGTTTACATACACCTTAGCCAAATACATTTAAACTCAGTTTTTCACAATTCCTGACATTTAATCCTAGTAAAAATTCAATTTCTTAGGTCAGTTAGGATCACCACTTTATTTGAAAAATGTGAAATGTCAGAATAATAGTAGAGAGAATGATTTATGTCAGAAGTTTACATACACTCAATTAGTATTGGGTAGCATTGCCTTTAAATTGTTTAACTTGGGTCAAACGTTTCGGGTAGCCTTCCACAAGCTTCCCACAATAAGTTGGGATTTTGGCCCATTCCTCCTGACAGAGCTGGTGTAACTGAGTCAGGTTTGTAGGCCTCCTTGCTCGCACACGCTTTTTCAGTTCTGCCCACAAACTTTCTATAGGATTGAGGTCAGGCTTTGTGATGGCCACTCCAATACCTTGACTTCATGGTCCTTAAGCCATTTTGCCACAACTTTGGAAGTATGCTTGGGGTCATTGTCCATTTGGAAGACCCATTTGTGACCAAGCTTTAACTTCCTGACTGATGTCTTGAGATGTTGCTTCAATATATCCACATAATTTTCCTTCCTCATGATGCCATCTATTGTGTGAAGTGCACCAGTCCTTCCTGCAGCAAAGCACCCCCACAGCATGATGCTGTCACCACCATGCTTCACGGTTGGGATGGTGTTCTTCGGCTTGCAAGCCACCCCCTTTTTCCTCCAAGCATAACGATGGTCATTATGGGCAAACAGTTCTATTTCTGTTTCATCAGACCAGAGGACATTTCTCCAAAAAGTACGATCTTTGTCCCCATGTGCAGTTGCAAACCGTAGTCTGGCTTTTTTATGGCGTTTTCAATAGGCAGCAGCAGCCTCTAAAGTGCTAGTGATGGCTATTTAACAGTCTGATGACCTTGAGATAGAAGCTGTTTTTCATTCTCTCGGTCCCAGCTTTGATGCACCTGTACTGACCTCGTCTTCTGGATGATAGCAGGGTGAACAGGCAGTGGCTCGGGTGGTTGATGTCCTTGATGATCTTTTTGGCCTTCCTGTGACATCGGGTGCTGTATGTGTCTTGGAGGGCAGGTAGTTTGCCCCCAGTAATGCGTTCGGCAGACCGCACCACCCTCTGGAAAGCCCTGCGGTTGTGGGAAGTGCAGTTGCCGTACCAGGCGGTGATACAGCCCGACAGGATGCTCTCAATTGTGCATCTGTAAAAGTTTGTGAGGGTTTTAGGTGCTAAGCCGAATTTCTTCAGCCTCCTGAGGTTGAAGAGGCTCTATTGCGCCTTCTTCACCACACTGTCTGCGTGGGTGGACCATTTCAGTTTGTCGGTGATGTGTACGCCAAGGAACTTGAAGCTTTCCACCTTCTCCACTGCGGTCCCGTCGATGTGGATAGGGGGGTCCACCCTCTGCTGTTTCCTGAAGTCCACGATCATCTCCTTTGTTTTGTTGATGAGCCCTCACCTCCTCCCTGTAGGCGGTCACGTCATTGTTGGTAATCAAGCCTACTACTGTTGTGTCGTCTGCAAACTTGATGATTGAGTTGGAGGCGTGCTTAGCCCCGCAGTCATGGGTGAACAGGGAGTACAGGAGGGGGCTGAGCACGCACCCTTGTGGGGCCCCAGTGTTGAGGATCAGCGAAGTGGAGATGTTGTTTCCTACCTTCACCACCTGGGGGTGGCCTGTCAGGAAGTCCAGGACCCAGTTGCACAGGGCGGGGTTCAGACCCAGGGCCTTGAGCTTAATGATGAGCTTGGAGGGTACTATGGTGTTGAATGCTGAGCTATAGTCAATGAACAGCAATCTTACAATGAACGGTATTCCTCTTGTCCAGATGGGATAGGGCAGTGTGCAGTGTGATGGCGATTGCATCGTCTGTAGATCTATTGGGGCGGTAAGCAAATTGAAGTGGGTCTGTGGTGACAGGTAAGGTAGAGGTGATATGATCCTTAACTATTCTCTCAAAGGACTTCATGATGACAGAGGTGAGTGCTACAGGCAATAGTCATTTAGTTAAGTTACCTTTGCTTTCTTGGGTACAGGAATAATGGTGGCCATCTTGAAGCATGTGGGAACAGCAGACTGGGAAAGGGAGAGATTGAATATGTCCATAAACACACCAGCCAGCTGGTCTGCGCATGCTCTGAGGACGCGGCTAGGGATGCCGTCTGGACCGGCAGCCTTGCGGGGGTTAACATGCTTAAATGTCTTAATCACGTTGGCCATGGAGAAGGAGAGGCCACAGTCCTTGGTAGTGGGCCTCGTCAGTGGCACTATGTTATCCTCAAAGCAGGTGAAGAAGGTGTTTAGCTTGTCTGGAAGCGAGACATCGGTGTCAGCGACGTGGCTGGTTTTCTTTTTGTAGTCTGTGATTGTCTGTAGACCCTGCCACATACGTCTCGTGTCTGAGCCGTTGAATTGCGACTCCACTTTGTCTCTATACTGATGTTTTGCCAGTTTAATTGCCTTGCGGAGTGAGTAGCTACACTGTTTGTATTCTGCCATATTCCCAGTCACCTTGCCATAGTTGAATGAGGTGGTTTGCGCTTTCACATTTGCGTGAATGCTGCCGTCTATCCACGGTTTTTGGTTAGGGTAGGTTTTAATAGTCACAGTGGGCACAACATCACCTATACACTTCCTGATAAACTCAGTCACCGTTTCAGTGTATACGTCTAAATTATTTTCGGAAGCTACCCGGAACATCCCAGTCTGCGTGATCAAAACAATCTTGAAGCGTGGATTCCGATTGGTCAGACCAGCGTTGAATAGTCCTTAGCACGGGTACTTCCTGTTTGAGTTTCTGCCTATAGGAAGGGAGAAGCAAAATGGAGTCGTGGTCAGATTTGCCGAAAGGAGGGCGGGGGAGGGCCTTATAACCATCCCGGATGTTCGAATAGCAATGGTCGAGGATTTTAGCAGCGCGAGTACAACAGTCGATATGTTGATAGAACTTCGGCAGCCTAGTCCTCAAATTTGCTTTGTTAAAATCCCCGGCTACAATAAATGCAGCCTCAGGATATGTGGTTTCCTGTCACGGTCGTTGACACATGATGAAGCGGACCAAGGCGCAGCGTTGAAGGTGAACATATTATTTATTTAGAATGATCACACGATCAAAACAACAACGATAACGTGACGTCTACGGTATAACACAAACCAAATCAGAACAAGAAACCACAAATAATGAATGCCTAACGGCTACCTAAGTATGACTCCCAATCAGAGACAACGAGCTACAGCCGTCTCTGATTGGGAGCCACCCTGGCCAACATAGAATTACAACAACTAGAACATAAACCAATGAAAACTCACACCCTGGCTCAACATACTAGAGTCCCCAGAGCCAGGGCGTGACAGTACCCCCCCCTAAAGGCGCGGACTCCGACCGCGCCAACCAAATCCAACAGGGGAGGGACCGGGTGGGCACTCCGCCTCTGCGGCGGATCCGGCTCCGGACATGACCCCCACTCCTTCTCTAACCCCCCAAAGTACCCCTGGTCCGGTCTGGCCCTGCTGACCAGAGCTGAACTGAACACTGGTGGAGCGGATTGCTCTAGCTCCGGCGTGACGCAGCACCTGACCGGTGCCGGACCCGCCACCGGTGGAACAGGCACGGGCCGTGCCGGACTGACGACGCACACCACTGGCTTGGTGTGGGGAGCAGGAGCGGACCGAGCCGGGCTGACGTAGCGCACCACTGACTTGGTGCGGGGAGCTTGGATGGGCCGGACTGGGCTGGCGACGCGCACCACAGACTTGGTGCGGGGAGCTTGGATGGGCCGGACTGGGCTGGCGACGCGCACCACAGACTTGGTGCGGAGAGCAGGAACGGGCCGGACAGGGCTGACGAAACGCACCACAGACTTGGTGCGGGGAGCAGGAATGGGCCGGACTGGGCTGGCGACGCGCACCACAGACTTGGTGCGGAGAGCAGGAACGGGCCGGACAGGGCTGACGAAACGCACCACTGACTTGGTGCGGGGAGCAGGAATGGGCCGGACTGGGCTGGCGATGCGCACCGTAGACTTGGTGCGAGTGGCAGGAACAGGCCGGACCGTACTGGGAACACACACCACTGGCCCTACGTGGGGATCAGGAACAGGCCGGACCGGACTGGCAACACACGCCAGTACCTCTCGCCGTGCCTCTACATCTTCCACCCCCTCTTCGACCAGTGGCCCCCGTAACCTGGCGGCCTCCTCTGCCACACCGCTGGGCCGCTCTGCCGCGGTCTCCTGCTGGCCCGTCGTCCACGGCGTTAGCCCCCCCCTAAAAAATTTCTGGGCGTCTCTCCCCGTGGACCAGGCCTCCATGTCTCTCGCCAGACTCTCACCCCACTGCTCCAAAGTCCAACCTCTCTCCTCTTCGCTTGGCTTGGCCCAGTCGAGACTCCTACTCCACTGCTCCCAAGTCCATCCTCTCTCTTCTTCACGCTGCTTGGTCCTGTTATGGTGGTTTCTTCTGTCACGATCGTCATTCATATGATGAAGCGGACCAAGGCGCAGCGTTGAAGGTGAACATATTATTTATTTAGAATGATCACACGATCAAAACAACAACGATAACGTGACATCTACGGTATAACACAAACCAAATCAGAACAAGAAACCACAAATAATGAATGCCTAACGGCTACCTAAGTATGACTCCCAATCAGAGACAACGAGCTACAGTCGTCTCTGATTGGGAGCCACCCTGGCCAACATAGAATTACAACAACTAGAACATAAACCAATGAAAACTCACACCCTGGCTCAACATACTAGAGTCCCCAGAGCCAGGGCGTGACATTTCCAGTTTGCATAAGGTCCAGTGAAGTTCTTTGAGGGCCGTTGTGGTTTCGGTTTGAGGTGGGATATACACGGCCGTGACCATAACCGAAGAAAATTATCTTGGGAGATAATACGGTCGGCATTTGATTGAGAGAAATTCTAGGTCGGGTGAACAGAAGGACTCGAGTTCCTGTATGTTACTACAATTACACCATGAGTTGTTATTCATGAAACACACACCTCCGCCCTTCTGCTTCCCGGAGAGATATTTATTCCTGTCTGCGCGATGACCTGAGAACCCATCTGGCTGGACCGATTTCGACAGAATATCCCAAGAGAGTCATGTTTCCGTGAAACAGAGTATGTTACAGGCCTTGATGTCTCTCTGGAAAGAAATCCTTGACCGTAGTTCGTCGACCTTGTTAACCAAAGACTGAACATTAGCGAGTAGAATACTTGGAAGCGGTGGGTGGTGTGTGCGCCTCCTAATTTGAACCAGCAGACCGCTCCGAGTGCCTCTCCTCCTCCGGCGATGTTTTGGGTCAGCTGCTGGAATCAGTTCAGTTGCCCTGGGGAGAGCAAACAAAGGATCTGCTTCGGGAAAGTCGTATTCCTGGTCGTAATGCTGGTGAGTTACCGCCGCTCTGATATCCAATAGTTTTTCCCTGCTGTATGTAATGATGCAAAACACTTTCTGAGCTAATAATGTAAAAAATAATACATAAAAAAACAAAATACTGCAAAGTTTCCTAAGAGCTAGTCGCGAGGCCGCCATCTTCGTCGGCGCCAGGATAACAATCCCTAGGAGACAGAACGCGTCTCCTTCCTGAGCGGTATGATCGCTGCGTGGTCCCATGGTGTTTATACTTGCGTACTATTGTTTGTACAGATGAATGTGGTACCTTCAGGCGTTTGGAAATTGCTACCAAGGATGAACCAGACCTGTGGAGGTCTACCATTTTTTTTCTGAGGTCTTGACTGATTTCTTTTGATTTTCCCATGATGTCAAGCAAAGAGGCACTGAGTTTGAAGGTAGGTCTTGAAATACATACACAGGTACACCTCCAATTGACTCGAAATATGTCAATTAGCCTATCAGAAGCTTCTAAAGCCATGACATCATTTTCTGGAATTTTCCAAGCTGTTTAAAGGCACAGTCAACTTAGTGTATGTAAACTTCTGACCCACTGGAATTGTGATACAGTGAATTATAAATGAAATAATCTGTCTGTAAACAATTGTTGTAAAAATTACTTGTGTCATGCACAAAGTAGATGTTCTAACCGACTTGCCAAAACTATAGTTTGTTAAAAAGAAATTTGTGGAGTGGTTGAAAAACGAGTTTTAATGACTCCAACCGAAGTGTATGTAAACTTCCGACTTCAACTGTACATCCTGGTCGTCTATATCATGACCTTTCACCTACTACCCACTAAGGACTTCCAAGGGTCACAAGTCCTTGGCTCCACCCCCACAACAGTCTCTCACGTTCAGCAGAAGCAATTGCCAGACATCCCACACTAGGAATTCTTCACACTCACTCCTTAGTTCTCTCTCTCTCTCCAATGACGCATATACAGCACAGTGACTGCATCAGTGAATCAAAGAGAACAGTATCAATAGAAGCAATAGTCAACTTAAAAATACAGACACTGGATTCAAGACTCATCTCATTCAAATAGGTGTTTGTTTTTTCTCATACCAAATGTTATATGAGCAAACCTTCTTACACATTACCTCAATCCTCTCTGCTATGAGTGACAGTAATTCCAATGGAACTCAAACAGAATTGAATGGAGCCACTTTAGACTTCAGAGTTGTCTGTTCAACGGATGGTTAAATGGCCTAGATTTGAGTCCTCTTCTATTCCTGGATGCGCTTGTGTTTGATTTGAATGTCAGGTTGTTTGTGAATAGGGTCAGAATACAGCTGTCGTGCGTATAGTGTGTGACATATAGACTAAATGAGCAGTGAATCCAATTCCATCGCCCTGAGCAAAGCCTCAGACAGTGTGTTTGCCTTCTCCATATGCCACGTTTGGCAGGCAGCACAATGGAAGACAGGCAGAGGCCATAGAAATACCATCACAGACCATTGACTTGAATGGGGATTCCCCTTCTAGTTATTAGACAGGTCAGTACATCACTGGGGCCGAGCTCCCTGCCATCCAGGACCTCTATATCAGGCGGTGTCAGAGGAAGGCTCGAAAAATTGCCAAAGACTCCAGCCACCCAAGTCATAGACTGTTCACTCTGCTAACGTCCGGCAAATGGTACCGGAGCGGCTCTCGGACCAAGAGACAGTTTCTACCCCCAAGCCATAAGACTGCTGAATAGCCAGACGTCTAAATAGTCAATTAATGGTACCCGAACTATCTGCACTGACTCTATCTTGCACTGATCCTACGAACACTCACTAGACCTTCTATACACTCCATATACACACTCTCACACACACACTACACTGTCACTCCCACTACATACGCACACACACATGCATACCGACACAACACAAACACAAACACATATACTGTACATACACACACACTTTTACACTCATCATTTGCTGTTGCTACTCTGTTCTTTGTTTTACTCTTATTATTATCTATCCTGATGCCTAGTCACTTTACCCTGCCTTCATGTACATATCTACCTCAAATACCTTATTATTATATATCCTGATGCCTAGTCACTTTACCCTGCCTTCATGTACATATCTACCTCAAATACCTTATTATTATCTATCCTGATGCCTAGTCACTTTACCCTTCCTTCATGTACATATCTACCTCAAATACCTTATTATTATCTATCCTGATGCCTAGTCACTTTACCCTGCCTTCATGTACATATCTACCTCAAATACCTTATCATTATCTATGTTTTGATTATATTTCTATGGCAGTAGAATGGCAGGTGGGCATAAAGGGATGTTCCATTTTGCTCTTCAGAAAAACAACTGCGAGATGACAGTTGACTCTCATGCAGTCCTTTTCTATGGTAATTCCAAAAGTCATTGTTTAAAGACGCTACAATATGGTTGGAGCATTTTGGTGAAATTATACTTGATAACTATAAAGACTGCATTGGTGCTAAATAAACAAGTTGAAATCGACCACATTGACTCTTTCCTGAACAATATTCATATTCATATACTGGGAAAATGAGGTCAGGCATCAGGATTAGGTGATACAACCTCAACCCCCTACTTTCACACACTGGAGACTGTGTAAACACACATACACTCCAACACTATATCTGTCTTGATGCAGTGCTCACACACACACACACACACACACACACACACACACACACACACACACACACACACGCTCACACAATCATACACACATGCACACACACACACCTTCCCTGAAAGGGAAAGTGAACCAAACTAACCTTCTCCTGCAGGATGTCTGCCAGTTTCTGCTGGGCACCCAGAACCATATCTGATGTGTGCTAGCCAGCTAATAGTCACAAGAGACTAGTGTCTGTGTGTCTAGTCCAGTCCTGCTGCTCTCTGTCTCTCTCTGTTAGTATCTACCAGACTGTCTGGTCCAGAATGAGAGCTTGTTTACCCCTCTGACGGATTACAGTCCCATATTGAACCCCCACCCTCCAAACCCCCTGTTCTTAGCCCCCCCACAGACCCCCACAATACAACCCAGCCCCAAACCCCATTTTAGCCTACATTCAGATCTCAGACCCCCTCGCTCTCTCTCACATCCACAAACACGCCCCTAAGTAGGCGCATATTCACATACTCTATCTCTAACACACACACTCTCACATCTCTCTTAGACACACACTCCTACAACTCTCTCTCAAACTGAAACTAACACACACACTTTCTCTCACATGCCTACACACTCTCACTAAGACCCACACATACACATTCCCACACACCAGCTCCACATCCAGCCCTTCATACTCCAGTTCACACTCTACTGGCAACAGGCTCACTAGCAGGCAGGGATGAGTGTGATGTGGGGAACCCCTCCTTAACAATGGGGGCCTAACGGAAATTTCATGCACGGTTTACCCAATCCCTTTCCCCTAATAAGACCCTATTTCCCCTCATCCAGTTGAGGGCTTCACATAAGACATAGGAAAGACACATTAGAATATGGGAACAGCCCTGATGATGACATAGACACATTAGAATATGGGAACAGCACTGATGATGACATAGACACATTAGAATATGGGAACAGCCCTGATGATGACATAGACACATTAGAATATGGGAACAGCCCTGATGATGACATAGACACATTAGAATATGGGAACAGCACTGATGATGACATAGACACATTAGAATATGGGAACAGCCCTGATGATGACATAGACACATTAGAATATGGGAACAGCCCTGATGATGACATAGACACATTAGAATATGGGAACAGCCCTGATGATGACATAGACACATTAGAATATGGGAACAGCCCTGATGATGACATAGACACATTAGAATATGGGAACAGCACTGATGATGAAATAGACACTGAAACGTGTCCTCTTTTTTGTTTATCACTTATTGCACTTTGCACTGGTACGTTTGGCATTCTTTTGAGTATGGAATTACATCTCGGCTTCCTTGGGTTTTCCTCTTTATGGTTTGAGTGTGAGTACCTGCTGAACTCTATTACCATGGCATACACACACAGGGACATATCATTATGTTGTACTGTCCATATTCAAATGTCAATCTCCACCCAAAATGTAATATAGGCTAAGCCATGACTTGCTACTGCCTCCTCCTGACCATGGGGGTTGTTTTGGGCACAACAAAGGGGTGTGGGGTGTGAGACAAACCCAACAGATTGTTTCCCTGGACCAATGATAGAGTATTATGCAGGCCTTTTTTGATACATACACACGCACGCGCACATATCCAATAATCCTGCCATTTGGGCTACTCCATAGCCTAGTTTCAAGGGCTGAGGAGAGGAGAGGAAAGTAGAGGGAATGAGAGGATATTTGAGACTGAAGAGAAGAGAAGGGACTATTACTACTAAGCATAAGAGAATAGAAGAGAAGATAATAACTAGAATATAATATAATAACGAGCCTAGAATAGACTCCATTCTACCTACAGCGCCTCTCACTCCGACTCTCCCTTCACTAGCCCGCTTCCTATTCGTATCATCAACATGCCTGACTACCCTCTACCTATCCCCTCTACCTCTCTCCATCCCCCTCTCCTTTCCGAGAAGATTGGGGACAATGCTAGGCTGGGTCCTTTGCCTCATTTTTATAATGCTGCATATTAAGAAGCTTGAGGCAGCAGCCCTGGAGAGTTTAGAGAGTTCACCAAGCCTAACAGCACAGTCTGAAATATAATTGGTTCAAGTCTAATTTTGAGCAACCTTTTTCCCTCTATATGAGCTGACCACAAGGTCGTTCCTCCAACCTATTTAGATCTAATATCTTTCTAACATTAATACAACAGATGAATCCATCCAACACGTGGGGAAATGTGATTCTGTTAGCCCTCCAGCCACTCTAATATACATAAGAGTGTTCATGCAGCTACAGACATAGCCCTGTTGGAGTGATGTAAACCAGTCAACCCTGATATAATGACTCTACCACATCCACTGGGTGGGTGACCTCTGACCTGAACTTAATATGGGTCACTGTCCAACAGGCCCCCTGCCCTGCGCTGAGATAAACCCATGAGGCACTTTCTGGAACAGTGACCACCACCTCAAAGGAGAGCGGTTAACTGGAGTATAGGATAATGTAGGGTAATGATGTAGGATAATGAAGTTCAATTGGAAAAGACAACTGACAACTCAGTTTTGTGCAACTGATTGCTCACAAATTGTTATGTGGTTAGTTGATATTTAGGCTAAATCTTAAATCCTCTCTTTTGTGAACTACCATGGCAGGTGTCTCCATGAAACATGACAGCTGTAGGTGGATGTCCCACTCAAATGGTTAAAATTCATAAAGTCCTGAACAATGGAAAAACTACCGTGTCAACCTAGAGCTGGGCAATATGGACCAAAATCTATATCGCGATAAACTGCCTGAATTGATGTGATAACGATGAATAGAACGATACTTTTACAACAATGTGCACCACAGTCTTATTAATTATCCTTTATACTTCTACTACTAGTTTGATGGTTGTAGCCATCAGTTGTCCCCTAATCAATCACCCATATTAGCAAACTTATTTCATTTCAAACTTCACATTTCTCTAGTATAGGCTACTTATCGTAACGATATCAGCAAAATGCCTGCGATAAGTGATCGGTATGGTCGGTAATTCCGGTTTATCGTTCCAGATCTATGTCCATCACAAAAACACTGGAATAAGTTCACAATTCTACATAGTCTATTCAGTGAAGTTGAATAATGAAAGTAGTATTTTAAAGTTTCACCTACAATGATATTATCAAAAATAAATAGAGACGTCTCATTCACATTCCTTTACCACCTACAGGTTGCCGTGGTAACATGCTTGACTTGGCCGATCGGCACAGTAATAAGCCCCGTGTAGCTCAGTTGGTAGAGCATGGCGTTTGCAACGCCAGGGTTGTGGGTTCGATTCCCACGGGGGGCCAGTATGAAAATGTATGCACTCACTAACTGAAAGTCGCTCTGGATAAGAGCGTCTGCTAAATGACTAAAATGTCAATGTAAAATGTGATAACATGCGCGACCTGACTGTCTGTAATAACACGCATTCCCCTTAGTGCAGGGGTTCACAATTCACATAACTGCGGTGTTATGCCACTAATGGTACCCCATAGAGATGACAAAAGACTGCTGTGGAGCTGAGGGAGGCCATTAGTGAATATATGTTCCCTTTGGGGGCTTCCTGTACTCTGCATGATGGGTGATGACCTTTAACAGGTGATTAGGCTAGCTGTTAGCTCAAGGCTTGTGAAAGTTTAACAAGACACCAACAACCGGCAAAGTCAAAATTGCTCTCCATCCAGCTTTATAAAAGTTTAAGAAGCATATGATCTACATGCTATTCTAGAGAAGGGTTGTACCCTATCCTATTGGCTTCAACTAAATGACATAGTCTACAGTAGCTACATGAAACAATAAAATATCTACATTTTTTATATGACCCTCGATCGGCCTCATCATCTCAATCACTCAAGGCATGCAATGAATTATACTGCTGTAGAATAACACCTGACACCTACACAGTAAGGTCATACAGAATTATAAATGCATTAACATATAGGGAATATATTTATCTGTAGGCTCTTAGTCTCCAAAATGGCACCCTATTCCCTATGTAGTGCATTACTTTTGACAGGAGCCCTATCGGCCCTGGTCAAAGTCAGAGGAGGACTGGCCATCTGGCGCCTCAAGGGAAAAAATGGGCTGGTGTGGGGGCTCAAGGGAAAAAATGGGCTGGTGTGGGGGCTCAAGGGAAAAAATGGGCTGGTGTGGGGGCTCAAGGAAAAAAAATGGGTTGGTGTGGGGGCTCAAGGAAAAAAATGGGCTGGTGTGGGGGCTCAAGGAAAAAAATGGGCTGGTGTGGGGGCTCAAGGAGGTGAGGGGCAGGCAGCTGAACATGCTGCAGGGTCATGGGACTGGGGGTCACACACACACACACACACACACACACACACACACACACACACACACACAAAGTTAGAGTGCTCCCTTGACATGATCCAATTAGCTGGTCTAATTAAAAGTTACTAGACTGGTGGGGGAGAAGCTTGTTTCTCTCTCTGCTAATTACAGAGCAACACTGGGGAGGACAGGAGTGTCTCAGGGCTGTGATTCTTTCTCTCACACACACACACACAAGTGCACACACGCATTCACACACACCCACGCATGCATTCACACACACACGTGCATGTTCGCCCACACACACACACACACGCATGCACACGCACACGCTCACTCACTATCCCATCTCTCCTGGTAAGTGGTGTGATTGTAATGATCACTTCCTCCAGTCATGGAGACTGATAGGATCTGACTCCAGAGGGAGATGGAGAGGAGTGTATGTGTGTTCCAACAGCACTCTTCACTTAGCTACATTTACTATTAGATCACTCACGAAGACACACACACATGGAATGATTGATCTAAGTGAGCAGCAGATGTATACTGAACAAAAATATAAAAGCAACATGTAAAGTGTTGGTCCCATGTTTCATGAGTTGAAATAAAAGATCCCATAAATGTTCCATATGCACAAAAAGCTTATTTCTCTCAAATGTTGTGCACAAATTTGTTTACATCCCTGTTAGTGAGCATTTCTCCTTTGCCCAGATAATCCATCTACCTGACAGGTGTGTATCAAGAAGCTGGTTAAACAGCGTGATCATTACACAGGTGCACCTTGTGCTGGGGGCAATAAAAGGCCACATGCCAAATGTGCAGTTTTGTCACACAACACAATGCCACAGATGTCTCAAGTTTTGAGGGAGCGTGCAATTGGCATGCTGACTACA